TAATGCATTGGTTTGCGGAATGAGCTACAATTTGTAGCGAGTTGGGGACGCGTAAATCAAACGTGTGTCCCGAAGGCCTGATGCGCCGTTCTGTAAACACACGTGTTGCACCAAATAGGGTTGCTAAATTAAGTTTTCGGGGCCGCCGTATGACACTGCCTTTAGGTAAGATAATCTTTGAGACTATTTAATTAATAATAATAAATCTGTCATCATCATCATTAGCCTATCGCAGTCCATATTTATTTTGTTTATTATTTATTTACACATCATGCACATGCAACATTATTACCATTGGGTGAGGCAGAGAAAACTGTTTTTACAATGTTTACACGAGAAATAATAATAAAATACATAAAATAGAAGACACTATTGTATTTCAGCATGAGCATTATGTCTGTAAAGTGTGGTGATGGATTAAGGATTAGGAGTGTCAATACCCTTATTCATCAAATTAAGGGAGAAAACTATGCAGGACAACAGCTGGTATAGTAGGCTAAAATCTTCTTTCTAAGGAAAAGCCCATGTCCAGCAGTGGACTATTAAAGGCTGTTGATGTAATGTGATTTACAAATACCCGGTTGACGGTAATATGCTTGGCAGTTGTTGCATAAAATGGGACTAAAATGAAAGTCTGCAAAATATGAGTGCTTAATATACCTCTGTCTACCTCTTCGTATGTATATGTATGTGTTTTAAGTGTTATGAGTTTAGAAATGTATTAACATATAACTTTATGCTTTTATTTATGTTTCTTTCTCTTGATATTGTTGTGTGACTTTTGGGTTGAGTTCTAGATGGGCTTACAGCATCATCAAATACCAACAACTACTAGGACAGTTGTATCCTTTTTATCCTTCTTTACAATTCGTATCTTTGAAAGTTGACAAGAAAGTACTTATTAAGTTCCTCTGGGTAGTAACCCTATGCAATGCAACCGGAGCGCGACACAGCGGCGCGGCAACGGCGGCGCTCGCACACTTTAAATTTATAGCGCTCAATCAATGCGGATTTATTGCTGAGGAAGTGGCCAACTCTCGTCTTTTGTTACACCTTATTTATAGAATTGAAATCGATGTAATTGCTTCTATAATTTACCATAATTACTGCATGACAGTGTATATGCAGTGGTATTCCACCGGGTGTTCTTTATGTTATCTTAAGTAGTTAGCGATGATCAAGGTTCTTTTTTGTCTCTGTCACTTAATTCAAAATTTACTTCTATTTCTACTAAAGGTATTTTTAATACATGGAATAGAATTTGAATAACAATGATTTTTGTAACCTCAATCCGAAAAGTTATCAAAAATATATAAAACATTACGAAAATTGTTTTTTTTTACTCCAAATACCATTTTTTTGGCATAGTGATGCAAACGAGCAGACGTGTCGTCTGATGGTAAGTGACTACAGCCGTCCATGAACACCTGACCTCAAGAGTCACAAGTGCGTTGTCGCCCTTTCAGTCCCTAACCCCAAAATCAGAGGAAGGGGAAAGGTTTGGGCTCCGGTAACCTGACTCGATGAAGGAGACTAGGGCAAACTTTTTACTGTTTGCGGAAGCTATATTTGTTGAAAGTTGAAAGTCATAGAAAGGAATAAATAAAATAACAAATAAAAATTTAGAAATAAAAAAATAAAAAAGCATAATATTACCCAAACGATAACGAAAGACTTGTTATGCAGTTAAAAAAAAAAAAAACCTGACTCGGTGAGAAGCACTGAAAGAACTGCTTAAAATCGATTTTCTGTGAGGCGTTGGTATCACTCCGGTCGAGCCTAGCCCATATGTGCCGAAGTATGGCTCTGTTACGTTAAAGTTTGGGATTTTAGTAAAATTCATACATTTTCCTAAAGAATTTGTGAAGTAAAAAAATTTAAACATTCTCTCTCTCTCTTTATGTAGCAGTCAACGTTCATTGAAAGATATACAATGGGAAATCGAAAATAATCGTGTTACTTATTCACTTACCTATTTAATTTAAGATTTCATACTGTATTTGCCCAATTCCCATGTTCTCTTGCTTACAACATATTTTTCAAAGTCGATTCAATGACTGCCAGATTGAAATATATTTATATAAACACTTTAACGCTTATAGTTTCTTGGCAAGTGCATTGAGTTTTAGCGTAACTGGAGTGGAACAAATACGATACTTAGAAGTCCACTGTCCATACCGACAGTATTTATTGCCCTAGGTCTCAATTGACCTATATTCATTCAAGTCTATATCTCTATGGCTATTATCATACATATTTTTTTAGTGTAAGCTGTGTGTACCTCAATCACATAGAATTCTGAACGCTATGTTGTGAAGAGTGTGACTTAATTTTTAAGCAATTTTGTGAATTCAATAAAGAGGCGTGGCCCTAAAACAGCAACTTTTACAAGTGTCGCGGTGTCGACATCGACTTTCGCGAAGATTCTCGAAGATGCGCTGAGAACTGTATTAGTACACTTTTAATATTAATGCACCTCACGGATCGTTTTGATTGTCTTGTTGTCAAAGTACTTTCACGAAAAACAAAAATAGTTTATTTTAAGAAACGTAGACCCGTAGAAGAAGAAGAGAAACGTAGAAGAGTATGAAACAAGACAAGAACATTACAAGAACATGATGTTTTTTTGTAAACTACACAAGCGTTTAAAAAAAAAAGAACAGAAACAAAATAGCTTACAAATGAACAAACTAAGAATTACGAAACACATTTTTTTGCTATTACGCCTATCTGTCAACCAGCAATTATTTCATTTAAGATTATAAACATGTAAAAAAATCAACGGTAGGTTTAATAAATGATACATAGGTACTTTTTCCAGTGCAACATATCTTGTTGATTTACTTACAAATGCCACATTAGCGCCGATGGCAGAACACAAATAATTCATAATATGACAATTATGCGGTATTCAATGTGTTGGCGAAAAAATTTATTATTTCCGACTACATGTACTGGCAACGATGAAAGATGATTCATGTAATAAATTGTTTTGTTACTGTTTCAATAATTTGTAGTAAAATTCGCGTTAAAAAAGAATTTTTATATTTGAAGCGATTATAAGGTAACATTTATTGTCGTTGGTAAGATTAAGAAAAAATTATGTTCTTACAATGAAATAAGTCGCTTATGAAAATCGAGGATAGCTAAAATTTAGTTGTTGATAATTTGACTAGTTTAGTTCCGAAAATACATGTATAAATATTTAGAATACCAAACAGTGATAATTTTATGGTAGGAATAGATGTAACGAAACGATGGAACCAAAATAAAACATCGATTGCGTACTAAAATAAATTTAAGATCATTGTCGTTTCTACGCAAGGATAGTTTTCATCACCCGTTTTATTTATAATCCCTGTCTTGACATCGCGCGATGAAATTATTGCGGCCATTTTGTACGCATTTTGAGTTTTCCCGCCATTATACCAATTAGTTGAGTGAGATGTCCGCTGCAGGGTGGACGCTTTATAGTTTTTATGGGATTGTTTGTTATGTTTTTTTGTTAGTGTTACGTTTTATGCTTACAAATGTGGTTGTGATTAAAGTGAAGAGAACAACCGGCGGCGCCGTAAACTATTCTGTAGCCAGTGGCTTCTTTCTAAAGTCTACAATGATTGAGGTTCGAATATTTACAAGTTATATTAACTTTACATGAAATTAAAAGTTCACTGTGGGTAAATAATGTTTATATCGTTCTATTATTGTGTGGAAAAAACCATTAAAAAATAGATTTTGTATATTTCATTAGACAATAACTTCAATGAATTAAAAACTACCAGTAATGACTTAATCTTTTAATATATATATTACACAAGTCATTTGTTATTTTTTCGTGTTTTATGCGATATCGTGACATGCCATCGAGCACATAAGGTTCTTTTTATACGTTGCCAGTGATATAGGAAAGGATATAGCGTAAAAAAAAAACGAGTTTACTTGTGTGGTATCGTGGGCAAAGTTTGCTATTCCAAGTAGGTATATTGGGATACTCAAGTGTCATTTGTAATCAAAACAAGGACTTTTACTTTTACAATTAAACTGTTCTAATAGTATTCGTAACAACATCTAATAATATTGCACCTACAATAAAATGTATCAGCCAATTTGATAATATGAGGATGTTAGAATTAATAATTTAGGAACACTAATATAATGTTTGATATAGAAAATTTAAAAATTCAATCAAAAAATACCTATGTTTTTTTATGTTTGGAAACTACTACGGATTACCTTTTTGGTATGAAAGCATCAAATTGACATAAAACAAATCATGTTTGGTCTAGTCTACGATGTCTAATCATAAACAAGTCAAACAAATAAAAAATCACAGCAATTGGAAGGCGGCCACTAACTCATAATATTATTATCATCTTCCTACCCTACTCTCAAATTAATTTTGCAATGATTTTTCTCGACATCCTCTTTCACGCTCTCCTTCATTTCATTGCGAAATGGTTTTGGCTTTTTGCACTCCTTTGGGAAAGTAATAGTTCTTCGTAAATAGTATGCGGCCGAAGATATTTGGAAATTCCAAACAGCCAAGGTTTTTCCTACTGTCAAACCGAATGTCAAACCTAAATTCTTACAGCGCCACATTTTATTTATTTGTGTTTTTTTATTAGAGAATGTAATATCGCAATGATAACATCTTTAGAGTTTATTCAATAACTCCTTTTCTGACACTAACTCTTTTTTTTTAATACGATTTACGAAAAAAAAAATACGAATAAATATGCATAAACTAATAAGCCTATATAATTAAAACGGTAGCTGAAGCTAAAGGTTTGCAAACAGATAACATTCTTTTGAAACCTCGTTCGTTCAAATTTCGTTTTATTATTGCATGTAGTGTAAACTATGCACTTCTGATTATTCTCATATCATACTACATCTGTTGGACTAACTGAGACAAGGAGGTTATTCAACAATAACAGCTGGAACACATACAGAATACGCTTGCCTAGTTAAACGGCAACAAGACTAGAAGAACTATCACTATGACTTCAGAATCATTAATAATGATTGGAGGTATATATAATAACATATCATCACACACATCACATCAACAGCCTTTAATAGTCCACTGCTGGACATAAGCCTCTCCTTAGAAAAGAGGTTTTGGCCTACTATACTACGCTGGCCCGACAGGTTGGTATGGGTTTGTGTCAAGTTTTCCTTCTCTCTGCAATGCTGTTGTTCTGCGTAGTTTTTTCTCTTAGTCGGCTCCTACGACACCCACGTGATGAATAGGGGTGGAGACACTCTCGGTATTCTTAATCCGTCACTACACAACATATAGCCGTCTAATATACAACTAGACGGAACCTGTACTCTGGGAACCAGGCCGCTGTTAAACATACTGGTGTATTACGATATCGCTGGCAGAATGCCGTCACATGTTAAAAATTGGCCCATGTAATTAATCAGAAAAAAGGCCCTCTCAAATGGTCTTTGACTTGTCTTCCTATTATAAAAAAAAACATATAACATTAACTATTTTCTAGTTTTCTAAATTTTGTAAGAAAATCTTTACGAGATGGGAATTTAAATTTATAGAGAGATACGACAAAAAGCTTCCTGTCGTCGATATACACATTATAGATGGAAGTTACACCCATTACAAATAATCGTGTTTATTATATCAATATTCATTTTGGGTAGTTTAACATACCGGATCGAATACCACTGGACCAACATTGACTTTGCTTCTGTGCTGCAAATCTCTCGGATACCCCCCAACCGGTGATTATGTCGGATTCGAACCGACTAAAACAGCAGCCGTAGTAAAACTGGGACTAATCCCACCCACACGCCCACCACTGTAACTCCTGTACACCAGGATCCACAGCAGTGACCCACGAACACACCGAGTTATGACACTCGGGAAGTCCCAGGAAGAAATTAAACTGTCTTGGAACCCGCAACGAAATTAATCAGAAGAAAATTGGAGGAGTTGGAAATACAGTAAATCCACTTCCCTCCTTAGCAAAGCGGGAGACAAAATGAAGTAAAATGGGCATACACCCTTTTAAACAGGGAAGCACCACGGCCACAAATATTACGGGTCCTACGTGAGCTATGTTTGATTTCTATAATATGTATGGCAGAATCGCCTAAACGCACGGAAATTCACCCTAGTTGACACAAGATCCCCATAGTATACCGCCCCAGATGTCACCTGCAAGCTATTCAGCATTATATTACGTTCATTATACCAAAGACTACATTCCCAGAGGATATGATGAGCAGACTGTTCATAGTGAGAGTTAGGTGTTGAGCATTGACACAATGGTGACTCGACTAATTTAAATGCCGTAGTAGCCGGAACCAACCAGGAACCTACCCTTAGAAGGAAATCCCTGGCTCCCCGACGGAACCAGGCAATCTACGGCTTGTAGATCACCCCCTAGCACCCCCAGCACGTCGCACAGCCTACCCGGGCTAAGGTGGCAGATGATCTCATCTGTCACTTGTTTATTGGTGCTTGCCGCAGTCATAGTGTGAATATTTATTAATCCGATATAAAAGCTAAATAAGTTTTAGATGTCCGTATAACTTTGTACACTCTAGTGTTTATTAATGTAACATACATAAGAATAAATTCATTCGTGAGTAGTATTCGCATTCATGAAAGAAATACGGTTTTAATCATGTGTCTATTTCGGGGATGGTCGGCTAAATTTGGATCCGACGGGAGATCTTTAGCAAGAAGTAAAGGGATGATGTGATGAATGAACTAAATTTGTATTGCCGGAGGTCATAATCTAAAGTGAACGAAAATATTAATTGTTAACTTAAATAATTATCGCTTTGTGTACCTACTTCACAAAACTAAATTACTTACATAATTAATATTACTTAAATGATGAATAAATGACGAAACTGAATTGAGACCGAACTTTAATTACGAGAATTGGACTTCAGGTCTTTTAGGCCAGTAGCCTATGCGTTTGCACATCGGTTGCTATAGTTAAAGGAAGTTAAAGCTTTTTATACTGTCCAGGGTTTAAAATATGAAGTGCAGGACTTTGACCAATAACAGTAAATCATAAACCGTAAGATTCATACATATTATCATGGTCCTATCGTTATTGAGCAGTTTTAAGAAGCAATTAAAGATTTGAAGTTACAACCTTAGATGGATTCTTATCCTGTTTTAATTCATATTTTTGTTGAATTTTTGTTGTACTTTATTTTCTTGACGAATCATTTAATAATGTGTATGTTTCTTTGTGCACAGGTCTCATATCATCAAGTCAGTGCCCACGCGGCGGGTTTGCGTTATCACAGTCGTTGGTGGAGAGGCTCGGACGTGATCATGAACAGCCTCCCGTGCTACCACCCTTGCATCATCCTATCAGAGATGTAAGCATTTGTTTTTCTTATTTTCTTAAACGTAGTGTCTTAAGAAAATAAAAATAAAGTTTCACCCTGAGAGACCTTGACTGCATGGATGGCGTAGTGGTTTAAGCGGTCGTCACGCCGCTTCCTACTGCGCTGAGTGTTGTGGGTTCGATCCCCACATGGGACACCACTTTGTGTGATTCACAAATTGTTGTTCTGAGTCTGGGTGTTCTTTGTGTCCGTTTCATGTATGTTTGTAAAGTCCCCCGCGACACAGGATATATTCCTACTGCGGGAGCTGTCTTTAAAAAAAAAAAAAAAAAGCGTCATTCACCCCGGAAAATCAAGATAATCCGGAAGTCACACAGTCAATATTTTTGTTGTCTAGATAATAATAGATATACTCCAAGCACAGACAATTCATATGGATTGAAGCATAAGAGACTTAAAAATGCCTGAGGATTAATATGTTTTAAATTAGAAAGTATAAATTTACAAAACTATTACGAACTACGACAAATATAATACCATATCTTTGCACCTACCGCATCATATTTTTACATCAACCGAAGGTCGTCTGGTAGAGAATTCCTCATGGCATTAAGTCCGCCTTCCTACAACATGTGCATTAAATTTCAAATAAATAACAATAGATATAAATCATATGGTCAAAAAATACTTTTATAGAACTGACATGTACATTTAATGTACACATTTAATGTACATGAACTCAATCGAAAGTTCTTTCAAATTTGTTTATACTGTTTTCCTTTACTCAAGCCAAAATATTGTAACATTTGCCAGCCCGTGTAGGACCTTACCCGTACCATACCCATTTGATGCAAATAAGTAAAGAATGATATACTTTGGTTAATACAGAATGCAGTATGCGTGCGCAGTACATACTCACCGTTGCAAGCGTTGAGTGAGAGTACTTGCCGAGATCCCGGTGTACAGTCCGCACCTCCACCTCAGCCGCCACCTCGAGTGCAGGTAGGAATATATTTAGTCACACTAACATTTTGAAGGACGGACATACATATAAAATTAAAATTTTAGAACATACATGTAGCACTCCGCTATAGATATACACACATGATACAGATTCAGCTTAGCCAGTGGTTTAAGAACGAAAATAAAATATTTAATCAAGCAAATAAAACATTTTATCATGAACGTAGAATAATGTCAGTTTTGATGAAAAAAAAAAGGAAATTCAGTTTTTACCACCATATTTGGATACATGGAGTCTAAATATTATTACTACATCCAAGAAAAAATTATATGAATTTTAGATTTTAAATTATTCAGTGTTTGTTTGATAGGTGCTCAAAGTAAAATGAAGCATGTAATTTTTCTCGACAATTGTACAATTATTAGTTGTTATTTTTATTGCATTTTATAGCAAACCATATTTTTCACTTGTATGAGAATTTTCATAATTACAGATTTAGAATTAAAAAAGTTATGTCACGAAATTAACATAATTATTGGAAGTGGCTGCCCTGTAAAGTTTAAAAAGAAAAGAAAATTTTAAAACATACATGTAGCACTCCGCTATCGTGATACAGATTCAGCTAAGCCAGTGGTTTGAGAATGATAAAATTAATAAGATATTTAATATAATATTTAATCACGTAAATAAAACATTGGCATATTGCGAGAATCGAACCAACAAATCCCGACGTTGCAATCAAATGTTCAATCACCACCATAAATAGTTTTTCAATTATTTACTTCTGTATGTAACGAGATGCAGAGTAAGGTAAAAATATGGCACAATAACTTGTGACAGATAATTTAATTAGTGATTAATTTAATAAGTTACATTTTGTATGATAAAATAAAGTTAAATAAAGAATATACAAATTTCAATAATGTTAGTTATAACAGCATATATGAATAAAACATATAATTAGCCCATAGCAATGTTCATTTTGAAAAATTAATGTCCTCTGCTCCGTTTGCGCTTGCCACACATTTTACAGCCAATTTATTATGTCACGAACGAAATATGTAGATATATATTCATCTTTCACAAACAAGCACACTGGTTACAATATACCTACTGGTACTGACGGTTAAGTGTACTCTTCTGTAAGCGGAAATATACTTAGCCCTTCACATCAACAGCTTTTAATAGTCCACGGCTGGACAAAGGCCTCTCTTTAGAAAGGCCTCAGCCCTTACTTCTAATAAATACAAACATAGGTAGGTACACTTATCCGTGTAGTGAAGGAAATAGTAACAAAACGGAGTGTCACTACTGTTCATCCTGTGGCTGTCGTAAGAGGCAACTAAAGGAGCAACCTACGCAGCACTGCAAAGAGAAGTAAAACTTGAAAGAAACCCTATATTAACCCGCCTGGCCAGCGTGGTATAGTAGGACAAAACCTCCTTTCTAAGGAGAGGCCTATGTCCAGCAATGGACTAGTACACTGACGCCTATATCCGGCAGGTATGCAGAGGCATGTGAAACGCCTACATTTAGTTAACTATTATTTTAGTCTCACTTACGTAATAGGGCAAACCTGTTGTCGTCGATTGAACACTTTAGGAAATAAATGGAAAAATTAAAGGCATTGGTAATTAAGTGAACTAAGTTATATCACGATCGAGCAGGAAAGGGTAGCATACCTTTAACTCGATTTGGCTCTTGCTGGAAAATCTTAGGCATCCAATCCAGCTATAGTGAAATCTTTAGGTTCTATAGGGTAATAGTCCTATTGGTCTATGTAATTTGTATATACTTCTCAATATTATAATATTCATTCACTAGGCATCGAACCAAAACGTGACTCTCCACCCAGCGGTATCTCGATGTACCGCGACCCTGGAGCTCGCGGCGCTATGGCGCAGTTTCCACGAGTTGGGGACAGAAATGATCGTGACGAAGGCAGGACGAAGAATGTTCCCCGCACTGCAGGCCCGCCTTGGTGGGCTGCTGCCCAACGCTGATTATTTACTTCTAGTGGATTTTGTGCCGCTCGACGATAAGAGATACCGATATGCTTTTCACAGGTTGGTTTCACATTAAGTTTAAGCAACATTTTTTTAAACTGATGTTTTATCAAAAGTAAAAAAAGAAGTGAAAACAAATAAGATACTATATGTGCCTGTGTCGATTTATAACTGTACGTTTTGAAATGGTTAGATCTTGCGAATAAAAATTGAGCAAATAAATTTTAAATCATTCGATAATAATAATAAAATGAGTAAATTGCATCCAATGACTATTTTATTATGCGCGATTCACCTTGCTGGTGCCGTGTCAATCGCGTGATACATGCGACTTCACACACAGCGCCTGGGAATTGCGACTCAGGTATAGGCTAAACCTATACCTGGCTCGTAATTCCCAGGCGCTGTGTGTGAAGTAGAGGGAGTACTCCTTGCAACGCGTCGGTGCTCACCGCTGTGTTACCCCCTCTACCTAACCATATTTGATACGAGCCTAGCAATGCTGCTTTGTATAATCGCAGCTCTTGGCAATCCAAGGTCTTTAAGTAGGTTATAGAGGGATTTACCTAGTATACCCCTCGCACCCACTTCTACGGTATACAACGCAACTTTATTTTATTTTATTATTAAATCAGTAATAAAAAAGTCTAGTGTGTCGGCCCCTGACACCGACACGGCAGCTTGCTTTTTTCCTCAATGAAAAGCTTCTGTCAGGACTGAAACTAGACAAGCATTTCCGAAATACACACGGGAGTATAACCTATCGGTAACTAATATTAGAATATGTCCTAATTATTATTTTCGTAGTTCGAGTTGGGTGGTAGCAGGAAAAGCGGACCCAGTCTCCCCGCCCCGCATCCACGTTCATCCTGACTCACCAGCGCCAGGCTCGAACTGGATGCGGCAGCTCGTCTCCTTCGACAAACTGAAACTCACGAATAACCAACTTGACGATAATGGACATGTAAGTTTTTAACAAATATTTTTATCGTTTGAATAGACTGGTGTTAAGTAATTCTTCTGCGAGTCAGTGAGATCAAAAGGTGACCCTTCCCGCTGATTCCTCCACTTGTGTCTTTTTGACAATCCTTCGACGTCGTAAGTTTCATAAAATATATAGTAAAAAAAAGTACAACACATGGAAAGTCACTCCACAGTAATAGGTTACTTTTTGAAAAGAAAACAAACGGATTACAGAAAACCGCCCATTTCTGAACAGCCTTGAAAATCTACATAAACTAATAATCGACTCTTTTTTAACTCAACCATATAACGTTCAAAAGAAACTTTGTTAGTTAATTACATCAATTATATTAACATATGTATGCATTTACGAAAATAAAAGTATATAACAATCTAGCTTTCATAGTACAAAAATGAAGACAAAAAATAGATGGCGTTTTGTGTCAGATGTCCAAAAATATTATTTTTACGTAATTATTTTGATTGTAACAAAACAAATATTTCTAAGATGTCAACGTATGATTATTTTTATTATTACTAAAAATATCACTAAATCTACATAGTCTTCAATCTTAGTCTTCAACGAAATATTTGACTACGTGTGTTATCCGTCTATAGATAATTTTGAACTCGATGCACCGCTATCAGCCGCGGCTACACGTGGTGTACCTGCCCGGCGAGGGGCAGAGCACAGCACCAGGCACGGTGCCCTTCCGCACCTTCGTGTTCCCTGAAACTGGATTCACAGCTGTCACTGCATACCAGAACCACAGGGTTAGTATTTTGAAAAACAAAAAGCCTCAGCGAATTTATTTCCTAAAAGAATGACTAAATAATTTGGAGGCTTTTCAAAAAAAGAGTTTTCCTGTTTCAGCTTTCAGCTCCAAGTAAAAAACAAAAAGATTCCTTTTAAGTCTGAATAAGTGCAGTAGCGTGTTTTATATTGCTTGTTGGTACAATTTTGTCACATGTTACATTGGCTTTTGTTATAAAATAAAAACAAAACAACAAATAATAACTGTTCTTGCTTTTGAATATAAAGATTGTTAGACATTAGGTGTTATATCATATTCATTAGTGCTAAAAGTTCTTTGTTGATAAATTTATGGCTTTAATAATTTCTTTTAAAAAGTAGAAATTTTGTCACAGATAACACAGCTGAAAATAGCGAGCAACCCCTTTGCGAAAGGATTTAGAGATTGCGACTCCGATGATTGGTAAGTCGTTTGGAATATTTCCAATATCTCTAATACTTTAAGAGAATGCATGCATATCATTCTTGATTTGCATCCTTGATGTGATTGCGTGATTTGTAATTCTTTCTATCTTATTTTTTGAGTATTGTTAGCTTTAATTTATAATTAACTAATTCCCAAGTGGTATTCTCATTATCGAGAGACTACCAACCAGTGTTATTAGACTCGACTTTGATCTCACATAGAGTTATTTAAACTATCTCCACAAATGATTCATTCTGTGTTTTTTCAAGAGACGTCTTCAGATATTAACGAGACATTAACGATCGGCATAAGCGTACCCACATTTCTGAACCACCCCACGCCAAACGGCTATGAATCAATTTAAGTATTTACAAAGTTTTCATGCGACGCCACGGTCTCATTTCAACAGCCGGTGACAATTTACTTTTACGACGTGCCCATAGAGTAAAGAGTTACACACGACAGTTATGGCGGACACGGCTCGTTTCCCGTTCCCGCCAAAATAAAAAAAACTTCAACCACAAAATTTATACTTTTAGTGTTTCCAGTAAATTAGTTTGAAGTGGAAGTTTGAAGGAAATAAGTTAATTTTAATTATCCTCTTACCTGTGACATTTGGCTTCAATTTAGGGTTATAAATATATATTTTTTATTTATTTTAAGAAGACAAAACAATACAGATAACTTAACCAAAAATGTAAGTAATGTTGAGTGCTTGGGTTTTAAAATAGTTTTTTTTTTGCCGAAGACATTGGTATTAGGAATTTAGGAGCTGTTAGGTTAAATATACCTATAAGACCTAATAGATTCTTTGGAGGAAGGAAAATCTTCTTTTGAAAAATTTATAATCATATATTACCTATTTATAATATCATTTAAAAACATGGTCTAAACAATAGAAGAATAAATAGAATAAAAGTGGTGCATACTCATACCTCCGGGACAATACCTCAGGGATGGCGGAGTGGTTTAAGCGGTCGCCACGCCGCTTCCTACTACGCCGAGTGTTGTGGATTCAAACCCCACATGGGACGACACTTTGTGTGAGCCACAAATTGTTGTTCTGAGTCTGGGTGTTCTTTGTGTCCGTTTCATGTATGTTTGTAAAGTCCCCCGCGACACAGGATATATATTCCTAATGCGAGAGTTGTCATTTTAAAAGAAAATAATTAAAGTCGCGACTCGCAAAACCGTAAGAGAGTCATACCTTCCCACATATAAACCAACACGACCGAAGTACATTCTTCCATCTTATTCTTTCGTTATTAATCAATTATGCGTCGGTGGTGCAGTGATAGCGTATGCGACTGCTGTTCTGAGGTCTCGGGTTCGATTCCCGGGTCGTCGATATTTGTATGCTCTGCAAATATTTGTTTCGGAGTTTGGGTGTTTTCTGTCTATAATATGCTTGTATTAAAAAAAGTATAGTAGTATTCTATCAGTTAATCTAGCTTTCATAGTACAACCTCTGCTTAGTTCGAAACTAGATGGCGTTAGATGTCCGAAAAAATAATTTCTTATATTTCACCAAGTAGTGAGGTTCCGGAGGGGAACTCAAAAGCCGGCAACTTGTACTCTTAAGCTACTGGAATTTATTAGCGGCGATAGTCACTTAACACCAGTTGAAACTTCTGTTCGTTTGCTCCGTAGATCAACTCGTAGTAACATAACCATTATTATAGTATGTACATTATTGCCATCGTATTTCCGAATGTATTACTATGGCATCTAGTACTATATTTCCTTGTTTTTATTATCCCTTAAGATATCCCTAAAGAGAAGGAAAGCCAAGTCAAGATCTGGCCAGCGTGGTATAGTAGGCCAAAAGCTTCTTTCTAAGGAGATGCCTATGTACATCAGTGGACTATTGAAGGCTATTGTGATAATGTGTAATGTGATTTTCCCTTAATCTAAACCGTGGTCCACTTTAAAATACACTCTTATCCTGTGTACATATCAAAACAGCGTACTCTAAAAATATCCATAAAAATATTTACTTTTACTAGTAGTATAAACCCGTGCGATATATTAAGCAATTCATCAATTTGAAGTAAATAGACAGTTATACCTAAAGTCTTCCCTGTTCTGTATCAAATCGGGAGCGGCGGGCGTGTTCTCTGAGATTTATAATTTTATAAACTTCCAGTTTAACAGATGTTTATCAATACTGCGGGCGAGTAAGAATGCATTTTATATAAAACTGTACAGTCGGTAACAAAAGTGGTTTAGCATTTATACCTACACTGGTTATATTAATAGGAGACAGTAAAAACAGACAATAAAAACATATTGCTGAGTTATATTGATATAGGTAGCGTCGGTAGCAACTCTATATTATTCATTAGAATAGATTTTGCAATATTTAGTGAAGCTTTCACTAATAAAGACTACGCCTGTGATAACAATTTCATTTTTATCACTGTTTTAGAAAGTTAAGTACAATTTCTTACGATCTTGATGATTCCAATAAAAGTTAACAATTTATTGATTAATAAAAATGGTAAAATGACATTTTAAACTTTAAAGAAATTGAATTACAATATCGTTTTAAAATAACTTATTGATAATGGCAACAAAAAATGCTTAGAGCGACTAGTAAAAAACCACTAAGAAATAAAATGAATAAATAATTAAACATAAAATAGTTATGAAAGTCATAGGACCATTGTGCTTCAATGTACATCGATGTAAACAGACGGCGCAGCGCTCGCATATTATTTTGTTTACAGAGTGTTTTTAAACACTTTGTAGTTGAAACTACCGTTCTGGCCACTGCATTGGCTCCTACCACATGAATAAATCTCATCCATCAAGTAATCTCATGAATTCACCATTCAAGAAGCTTTACATGGAATTTATTCGATAATCAACTTGTCTAAGAGCCAATAGGCATTGATCATCACGAATTTGTTTACTTCTACTGCGAGCATTTTCACCAATCGAAGAAAGATGAAAATTATTGCAAGGAATTTGGCTAAAACTGATTAATAACTACTTTTACGTATGATGCATGTCAAAAACAGACTTCTTTATATTACTAAATATTAATGTCACCTACCATTGACATTCACGGTGTTAAATATTTAGTACTTGGAGGACCGATATTTTTTTTGGTAAATTTTCTAAAAATGAAACCTCGCTAGATGGATTAATGGCCAACGAAACCCCCTGCATACTAAATTTTAATGAAAATCGTTGGAGCGGTTTCCGAGATTCAAATTATATACATACATACAAGAATTGCTCGTTTAAAGGTATTAGATAGATAATTAAAAACAACATTTTTTTTTGTTGAATGTAGGATAACAATAAATGTACAAAACACCGATATTCACATTCAAATTTAGATACAGTTTAAATATTGTGCAAAGAGAAAAACACAACAAAAAAAACACAACAACTACACACACTACTTACCTACCTATTTCTTTTTAAGGAAACTTTAAATACCTCTCACACACCAACGAAAAGTTTTGAAGCTCTCTTCTATTCTATTTATTAAAATCGGGGCTCTGCCATCTATTAAATGCTTAGAGCGATTAGTAAAAAACCATGAAGAACTAAAATGAATAAATAAATAAACATAAAATAGTTATAAAAGTCAAAGCACCGTTGTGCTTCAATGTACATCAATGTAAACAGACGGCGTAGCGCTTGCATATATGTATATTTTGTGAGCCTAAAAATATATCATTCAGGTAAGTTTTAACTCAATAAAATTATTTAATAAGTTAAACTTAACCAAAGTGTTCAATTTCATAGAACATTTTTATCATTTCTACTAAACGAACATTAATATAAAACCAAGATAACTGCTGTCATCTGAATTTCATAAATAGTCATTCCTTCAAATTGATTAATTACTTAGTTCTGCGTAATCGTCACATGTACAAATAAAGTTAGAACGGGACAAAAAGTATCATAAACTATTTTTTGTCTCATGCTTCCTGGTACGGTCGATTAATAACACTGGAACGTACAAATGTCATTTGTCGTAGGCTGTCAAAATAAAGAATTAACGTGTCGGCCGTAATACGACTCCACCTACTGGGCGGGTGGCGGGTGGTATTACGTTTTTATTTTATTCATATCTACTGGGTATTAATTTGACGAGGTTCTAACAATTAGTTAAAAGTTTGAAAAAGAAAATAATTTGGATGATTGAATATTATCGAGTAATGTTTGAACTATAATGTGATATGATAATGAAATAATTATTTAGTAATTAAATGTTTTTTCATAAACGTTGGTAAAGTGTACCGCGACTCAAGATTAGTCTTAGTGCGGTAGTCGTCTTGTCAGAAAAACTAATAATTTGAAATACATAGGTACATTTAGAGTAGTAGATATCCATATCTACACAAATAAATAAAAGTGTCTGTTTGTAATGCCAAAATAATAGGTTTTTTTCACGCTCACACGGTTATTTTCTGTCATGAAAATATGCCTATGCCTAAAAAACCAGTTTAGGTAAATATTTTTGTCTGTCTGTCTGTAAATTAGACTATTTTCCCTCTCAGAAAAACCCTATAAAATTTTGCTCGGTCCGGGAATCGATACCGAGGCTTCATGGGCTGAGTCGCGTACTGAAACTACGTGAACTACGTCGCGGTTACCGGCTAGTACTTATATATAATATCTTATCACAGGCACTAAGTATAATATACCATACTTTAGTACTAGCTGCTAAATTATTTTGACTTTGAGTAAGAACTGAAAAACGACCATAATATTCGGTTTAGACATTTATTATTATATATATTTTTGCCAGTACTTTTTGCTAATGTAATTTTAGTAAAATCATCACATATTTCTTTATAAAGTTTTACACCTTCATATAATATTTTTTTCTTACCATAGTCGGTTCTAGGCTTTGTTACTTCTTCTTCTTTTTTTATATATACCACGCTGGCCAGACGGGTTGATATAGGTTTTGTTTGAAGTTTTCCTTCCTGTTGTCTTGGGTAGTTTGCTTCCTTAGTCGGCTCTTACGACACTCATGGGATGAATAGGGGTGGTGACATTCCGTATTCTTAATCTGTCACCACACGGAATTTTATGTGTTAGTATATAAGTTTTAAGTATGTATAGTTGTTTAATTGTAAGGATTTTGGTGTCTTTGTAGATCGTTCCGTCTTTAGCATACAGGGAGGTATATGTACACACATGCATACATACATAGTTTACTTTAAATAAATACAGAAAACCTAAATCAAGTATTTTGAATATCATGTTGTACCTATTGTTGAGATGATATCAGGAATAAAAAAAATGAGCAGAGTCAACATGCCGCAATTTGAATTAGGACATAAAAAAAAGTGGTACCTAAACGGTGTTCAGAGATGTTATGCAAATTATGAACATAAAATCTAGTACATTAAACAATTTTTTGATATTTTATTACTCAGGGAGTAAGTATCTCATCTCAAACTACTGTAAATCCTGTACACCTGATAAACAGCAATGACCCTCCAAAACCAGGAAAGTTCCAGTAAAAGTTAAACTGTTTTGGAACCCGCAACGAAATTGATCAGAAGTAAATTGGAGGAGTTGGAAATATAATAAATCCACTTTCCTCCTAAGCAAAACTTGAGACAAAATAAAGTAAAAATAGGCATACACCCTATTCAATAGGGAAGCACCACGCACACAAAACATTTTGTGTTCTAAGCTATAGTTATTCCTATAACCTATGGCTGTTCGCCCAAATGGTCGAAAATTTAAAATAGTTGTACTATTCGTTTTGTGAATATTTTATTTTATTTACAGCCCTCCCGAACAAACGGGCCAGCGCGGTGCCGCGGGGGCTCGGCGGCGAGAATCTGCTCCTGCTGAGGTGTGTACTCAACTATCTCAGCCGTATGCTGCCGAGCCCAGCGCTTGTGGCCCACTATACTCACCGCACGCGCATCCTGTCCGGTAAGTCTAACAGCGCAAATTATAAAAGGAACGTACACTTTCAGTTTATGGGGCCAGCCCTCGATCTATGATTTTTTCGAACCGGGGCAGAAACTTAAATGTGTTTGGGATGAATTACTTAAAAAACTCACAAATATATAAATTCACTTGTGGTGTAGGCCCGTGTGGCGCCTTATCTTAAAAGTCAACGCTGAGCCAACCAGGCTTTCGTATGCTAGGCGCTTTGTGGAGCAAATTCACACATACACATTTCGTTAGACACATGTTGCATTTAGAACACTATTCATATTGAAAGTCATTTTCCATAAATAATAATATCATATAATAATAATATAAAGTAGTTAAATAATATATAAATAGAAATAATAAATATAATAATATCAAAATAATTTATATTATAATATCAAATTAATATCATAAATATTATCAAATAATAATATTAAGTAGTTAAGAAGAAGAGCTTCGAATGTTTTTAGTGAGTGGGAGGTCAGAAAATGAAAAAACCCGAAAAATAGAGGCACAAAACTATATTATTTGATTTGAAACAAGAATCTTAAGAATCTTTTAAATAATAATAACTAACTTTGGTTATTGTTGATTTGTATAAATATTTTAATTTTGAGGTAATAATGAAAACCATTAGGTAACTAATAGTGATACGCCTGAACGTATTTAAAGAACAATGTGCAGTAATACAAAAGTATGAAATTTTATATAAAACCCATCAGGAGTTCATGTAATATTTTTTTTCCAGATATCAACCACATTCGGGTCATAATAGCGCTTACAGTGCTTATTACGCTCATAGATAGCTAACCAAACGATCGGTAAGCAATAGTGGTAGTGAATGTAAAGACAACAGCCGGCTGCACACACTATGCAACAGAGACAACAAAACGCAACATTGCGTCGCTCGAAAAGTAACGCCATCTCACAAAGAAAAATTAAGTCAAAATTATTTAGTGCATTGATAACTTTTTTAAATTAGGATAAGATTGTTTTTCAGAGATGTAATTATTGTGTAAAGATAAGATGAGATTTTTGGCAAAACTCGATTGTATATAAATGTCTATTTGGTAATTTTAAAAGATATAAATTAATTAAATTGCTAAATTTTTAAATTATTGTGCCATGTATTGGTTATTTAAAAAAAAACAGAAATGGCATTTGCTCTTAAGGTCATTCACTGGCGATGTCCATAAAATAATATTTTGCTGATTTGATGTAGTGTTGGGTGTCTGTCAATATCCGTGTCAATTCATTTTTTTTTTAAATACAGACGTGTATGACATGACTTTTGACCTATGGATATAACGACAAACAAAGATTTTTTTTGAGTCATGTGTTTTTATGTGTATCTGCAAATATTCATAACAATTTGCTGTGAATATGACATTACTAAATATCTTTGAATAACTTTATTTGTAAGTGGCACACATTGTGGAAGTACCTAATTGAAGTTTGGAATGGAATTTTGTAAGATGGTGTGATGGAACGGAATGAAGGTTTAAAAGCAAAATAAAATATAATAATATATGTGTCTATATTAAGAGTATAAGTCAATGTAAGCTATCTATGTCGTCGGCCTAGTAACAGATTCCGTAACTCATAAAAAAATGACTGTATTTTGTAGTATTAGTTTTAGCTAAAATTGAATGAAAATCACGAGGGAATCTCACAGTATATGACGTGTAATATCTGAGATCCCATTTTAGTAAGAAGCAACATTAATATTATAATAATCATATGAAAAATATATTTTGACATTGGTAGTATTTGACGGACACTCTAGCATCGCTCATTGGTTAAATCGCTTCCCCGGTTTCCTGTAACATACATCCGTGCCTTTTTACGAAAGCGCTCCCACAGATTGTAGGAAAGAGAGATTTAAGATGGTACACATTAAAAATAATCGTTATTCGGCTCTACTATACCTATCAAAACGATAATGGCTAAATTTATTTATGTTAACAACATGGTTTGGTCTAGTGTTTAGTGACCCTGACTGCTAAGCCTGAGGTCGTGGGTTCGATCCCCATCCAGGACAAATAATTGTGTGATGAACACGATCATGTTATGTGTTTAGGTGTAATTTATCTATAATATGTATGTATTTAGATATATTTGAGTATGTTTATTAGTGGTCTAGTTTCCATAGCACAGGCTCTGCCTAGTTTGAGATCAGACTGCCGCGTGTGAGATGTGTCAAGTTATAATATTATTTATTTATAAATGAGAAATATTGAAGTTACGGATTTGGTTAACGAGGCCGATGTAACGTACAAGCTTGGCCCTTTAGAACATTCAATTGTTTTTCTGGTATTCCATTTCTCTTATACGAAGAAATGGCAAATATAAAAAAATGCAAATTCAACGGTACCATGGAAGTGAATGAATGTTTAAAAATAGCAATCTAGTATATTGTACACGTGTAAGTTGAATAATGAGGAAAGTGGGCAATATTCGCTTTCTATAATATAATACTTAATATTCGTAAAAATGTAAAAAAAATAACAAAAATAATGCCCACGTTATTAGAGTCTAATGTTACCATATTTAAATAACCAAAGAAAAAAATACCAAAAATGTTATATTTACTAACAATTCGTGTAATAAGTTTATATTCGTTATTGCATTAAAGTATTGCAATAACAAGTGCCTTATAATCAGTAATTAAGAAAGACATTGCATATACATGTTTATATGTTAAATATAAGTTTGTATATGTCATGATTTTTTAAGAAAAAATCGATAAATGTATTATGTATTTATGATTATAATAACCATGTACGTTATTTTTAATAAAATGTACTTTTTTTTTCATTATTATTGTAAATGTATAAAATCAATTAAGTTACCAACTTATTTCAATATAAAATTTAAATAATGCAAAAATCCCAGGTTTTATTATTATCCTAAATTATATGTTTGGTTACGGGATTAAATTTCAATTTATTTTATACAAATCTCCTAAAACCTCTCAATCCTAGATTCACAAGAATTATAGGAAGCAGTGTTTGTGAACGCTAGTGTTCAAAATGACAACCGTCTGAATTAACAAGTCCAAAGCTTCATGAATAGACACTAGACTTATGGAGAGTAGATAGGCTGTGTGTGAAAAGTGTCTCTACCATTGCCAGAGAGAATAATAGAAGGGAGAACCGCCTTTGTAGTTTCGTAAATTTTAAAAAATTAAAAAAAAAAAAAAAAATTCAAAAGTAATAAAACGGTTTTCAGCATTTCTTGTTCTTTAATAACAAAAAAGTTTCTTGTTTTTTTGAAGGCACATTTTGCCTATCTTTTTGGACTTTAAATCTATGACTTCCTTTCATATTTTTACGTATCAAAATTGGAGTGAAATGCAAATTGATTTAAGATTTTCTATCTTCTAAAAATATTAGCAACAAAAGTCATCCATTACTACTATTCTCATAAACACTTTTTCATCATGGGAGAGCACGTTTCCTTACAAATGGGCCGGCTCAACTGGAGTAATACTATTGCCTCGAAGAAAATCGGCGTTGAGCAGTTCATCGAGTGATTGTGGTTGCTGGAGCCCAAACCTCCGATTCCCTTGATTCCGGGGAGTGTTGCAGTTGTTCAAGGGTGGAAGTAGTCACCCACATTTGCCCCCCATACCATAAAAAAACCCCAACAACAAAATTCTTGTGTTAGGAACGCGTTAATCGCAAGTAAGTCTTAGCCGTTAAAACGTCAATGCCATAATTCAATTCAATGATACATCGCTTTTGTCATTGTTATTCCTTGAAGCCCACACGTGTTCTTACTAAATCAGTAGAGTAGTAGGTATTCGCGATAATTTTTATGACTTGCATAAATTGTTTTATTTCCAGCTATTAATATTTGCTTAGTAAACCTTTTAGTTTTAATTACTATAGTAAACAAATGAATGATAGTGCAATTGCATTATGAACCTGACTTACTAACTCAAATTGATTTGTTTTAATTAGTACTATGACCCGAAAACATTACAATAAGAACTTGTTGGAATTGAGGCGTTCATTCTTTAAAACATTTCTTAGCCTTTTCTCTTTATCACTGGCTATTGTGTTTTAAATTTGTATTTTGCCCTTATTCCCAACGGTTTCATCAGGGTGTAGCTTACAGTCATATCTTGGTATACCTCACACACAAAGGGTCTCAAATGAAGTACGTGCAGCGTTCTAATTCGGAACATGTCTTATTATTTCAAAAGTTCCTAAAAATTATTATTAGTTAGTAGCAGTTAGTTAGTAACAAATCAATACTATCAATATGTTCTGCACTAGTAGAAAATAAAAGATCTCTAAGTTAACAACTCCAGTTCTCTACCCTCTGATATTTTTTATTGGACAGAAAATTAAAGAAGACTTGAGAAATAAAGATAATCTGCCGCTCTCTCGCCATCCTCGCTCACCTTCTGGCCTAATATTTGGATAACATCAAGAAACAACACTGACACTATATACAATGATGGACGTGCGAAAAAATATAATTACAGCGTATTCTAGGAAACGCATCCTTTCATTGTTACTAGGGTATACCTACGTAGATGCTTCCCACTGATGTGCCAAGATATGGGTATTGGTCAACATTAGAGATATATATTTTCTTTTTCTGCGTGTGCCTCTGATGAGTTGAGTGCCTCTGTGCCGCTGTTTCTCCACTGTAAGGATACAGTGGAGAAATTGTGTCTAGATCCTTTCGAAGCGATAGACAAGCGTTATAGACGAGAACTAGATTGCAATGACGATAGTCACCTCTCGATAGCTATAGTCGATTATTTTCATCAATAAATGACTCAGTGAAAAACATTAAATGTAAGTGTTTCTGAAATGTAATATTTTAATATAATTATTATATATTAAATCGATACCTTACAGCCACTATGCTTGAGACTTAATTGGTATTTTAATTCTAGTTAACATTTGAAATCTTCAACAAAATATAAAGGGAGGTGTTATGTTCAATATATTATGTAGACTTAATATTAATTGTTTCTATGTATATACTACCAAAGTAATATATTTATATATATATATATATATAGCATAGTGTAATAATATAGCAGGCAATGCACTCCTTTTCATATTAATACTAAATGGAAAATGAATGCATTTGCAGTCGTCAAGAGCCAAAGTGTAACCAACCGATCATATTTAAGTTAAGGTTGCTTAAATATTACACAGGCTAACAAAATTTGTCAAAGTTTTTGTCCCAGAAACCAGAGTATTCTTTCCCAAAGGATTTTGGTGCGCTGAATCCAAATCCGGCCGCAGATTTGCTATATCACGTCAGGTTTTTGAGATTTTCTAGCCTAAAAGTGCAAAAACGCACGTCCAATTTTTGAGGTAATGTCTCTCTTCAAATTTTATTATGCCTAAAAAAGTACACAGGATTTCTTAAAGTTCAAATCTTCAGCTTTCAAATGACGTTGAGTTTGCTTAAATATCTTTTTTCCTACTAATAACTATACTTTGGTTTCTGGGTAAAATTTTTGTTGACCTGTGTTATTAAATACATTATAATATTCATTGGAACTATTAAAGTTGGTACAAGTATAATGAGACTTTTATTGCGATACCCATGCTTTGTGATTTTGTGGCGAATCCTAGTATAAGTTAAATTAAAAAAAAATTGAACTTGGCAGTTAAGGAAGAACGAAAACAAGTTTTATAAAAAAAAATATGTCACAATAAATATGTTTTCGATAGAAAATAATACTAATATTATTCTACCACATTCACACAACGCCATTTAGTCCCAAACTAAGCGGAGCTTGTACTATGGCTACTAGACAACTGATATAAATACATATATACTTTTTTTTTGTTGTAAATATTCATGCTCACAAACGTTTGACTTAAGCGGAATCGAACCCGCGACATTTGAAATAGCAGTCCGTTACACAAACCACAATGCCATCCGGTCGTCGACTATAAATCGTATATCTATAAACACTAGACTATGTTAAGTAATGAAAGTCCAAGACTGATGGTGATGCGAAGATACGTATTTACATCTTCTAAAAGAATTGCTGGCACCACGTTAGGGTTTTCTACCCCACATTACGAATGTATTATTATTTACTTTTCCATATTCCTATGCAACTATACCAAATTAAAAAAGCGTGTTCAGTTATTATACTTCTAGCTATTTGAAAATAATAAAATACCTGTTATTATATTATATTATTATTTAACTCCAATCAACCATTGTTGTATGTCCTATTACAAGTTTAGTACAGTATATTTATTTACAAAAGATATCACAAGTAATAAATTACATTAAAAGGAAGTAGTACTGCATTTGTTCAGGTAGCCTTTCAATTTCCGGTTTTCTAAAATGTGATTTCTCTGCTATGGTGTAAGTCATTACATGATTAACTGTAGCGGAACCAGGCTCATCTCCTCGGTCTACGTATAACTTCGATGAGATGGTCTCTTCAAATTCTTCACCAACTAACTCAGCCTCAGGTTCATTTTGCTCCTCGAACGGCAAGATAATAGTCGAAGCCTCAGGAACAGGATCCATGGAGCAGTAAGGTGGGTAATAGTCTGGAGAATAAGATACTGCGTCGTAAAAGTTTGGACGTTTGGTGACAGGAGGACTATAATAGTTTGAAACTGGGGCTGGTATTTGAGATTCATAAGGATAGTTGTAGTAATAATTGAAGCTGGGGTAAGATTCTGCGTGATGTTGGTGGTTTACAACTGGATGAGCCGTTGGAGTACGTGGTATTTGTTCATGTTCTGCGTAAGGGTAGATATAGTATACATCTTCATCTTGCTTGTTTTCTGAGGACTCTATTCTTTTTGTAGTGTTTTTCATGTTCAATGCATCTTGCAATAAGGAAGCCATTTCATCAGCTTGTTGGTTGGCAGAAATAGCAAGGTCAGATATGATTTCAACATCAGGACTGAATTCAACTCCATATTTATCAGCGATCTCTTGGGCAGTCATCATTTTATCTATGGCTATATTTTGATACTCGTTGTTGGATTTGATATGTTTGAGTAATCTTGTTATTAACTTCGTGCTGCCCATTGGAGTTTCAACTGATCTCCGTTTGCGTAGGTTATTGTTTTCAACGTCTGTTTCTTCAATGGTTTTATTGGTGGTGCTTATCGCGTATGCAAGAAGATTTGCCATTTCACTTTGTAGGGCTAGAGTAATCTTTTCAGCTATTTCCTTAATGTCTTCTAGCTGTTCTTCCATAGATTTTTCTGAATTAGTGGCTTGAGTCATCATGGCGATTGAAGATGTTGGATATAGATCTGCATCAGGCAGTAAAAAGAAGTCGAACCAGTCTTTTTTATCGTTATGAAAATCGTCAATGACTACATCGTCTAATTTGCCATTTATTGCTTCATGGCTATCAGTTTGTTCCGTGCTGTTTTCTACAATATCATGTGTAAATGAACCCTAAAAGCAAAAAGTGTGATAAAAATACATTTTTGTTTTCATTGACGTCGATGATGGTTGAAGTTAAATTGCTATGAAATAAATGAACAATCTACAGAGATACTTATTCGAAGAAAATACTGCTTAGAAAAATATAGAATCGTAATATTTACGCGACATAGTTGAAAAAAAGATTGTGTACACAATTACCTGAATGATCAGAGCGATGATCAAATACAACAGAGCCATGGTGAACGTTATGGTTCTTCCACCTGTCGCACGTAGCTTTATATGTAGTATTATCTTTGTATTAGCAAATTATTTTGTAACTTTAGGAACGCTTTGAAGAGAGATAAAACATGTTTTATTATTTAGGCAACAATTTCTACTTGAAAAATAAATATTATTAGTATCGTTTGTATTAAATATATTTTGACTCGCCATAATTTGGAATACTTTTACTTTTACTCTTAGTTTTTTGATATTCAGACACTTTCATATGAAAGATCATGGAATAATAACTATTTAATAATAGCAGTTTAACTTCAACTATCATCAACGCCACTGAAAACAAAAATGTATTTTAATCACACTTTTTTCTTTTAGTTTTTTGTCTTTTTCTTTTTTTGGTTGGTATGGTATGGTGTTTTATCTGTGTAATATGTGTGTATTTACTAGAAAAAACATATTTAAGTATTCTATTAGTCAATGTAGCTTTTGTAGTACAAGCTTTGTTTAGTTTGAAACTAGATGGCGTTGTGTGTTAGATGTTAAAAAAAACAAAATTGCTGAAAAAATGACTAGAGTAGGCCGTTAGATAGGTAAGATGTAAGATGTTACACATCATATTATGTGAGAACTGAGTCCCTCGTTTTTTTAACTTATTTGAGGTTAAATGTTTATTATGTGTCCATCTGTATATAATCTTGTTGACAGCTGCTTGAGCGCGTGACTTTGTCAGGGTTTGTAGAATTCATCTTATGGAAAATATGTAGGTTAAATTAATAGGCAACTCTGAGATCTCGTCGTGGCAGTAGTTACTGCGGGTAGCCATTCACTCTCAACTGTGATTGAGCTGACCACGAAAAGAAGCGAGAGTGAGATCATCTCAAAGAAGAGAGCGAATAGGGAGTAAAAAGCAGCCTTCGCCAGCAGTTTTCGTTTCAGTACATATAGGGCTGAGAGCAGTATTTCATGATAGCTTATCCGTTGAATGCGCGTCATGGGTGACAGGTCGAACCGGTAACGGGACCCGTTTGGAGCGAGAATTGAATGTCAGTCAGACGGGTACGGAAAAATGCAGTGACGATTCTCCTTTTTCCTCCTTCCCCGTCGTTTTTAGTTGGTAAGAGTCCCAGTGACCGGTCAATCAGACACATCAATGAAGATCTTCCACTGAGTGAAAAATGTCTTCTCTCATACGGAATATTAGCTTAATTAGTAAATTTTTAAACGTAAAGATTAAAAAAAATACGATTTCTCTATTGAATATTATGAGTTTACCTACCTGAAATTGTTAGCAGATTAAGCATTCTTACGGGATTCACTACAAAATATGATTACACATACCTTGTGAGCTTGCGCATCTAATTTGCTCTGAACATATAAAAAAACACAACATAAATTAAATATAGACATTTATTGACTACCAAAAATAACACTAATATACATTGTACGCAGTACTTTTATGCTACAATATTCCATCACTTGAGAATTCCCTAGGTATTAAGACCGCCTGTGTACATTAAGTCATAAATAAAACTACTACAACAATAAATATGATCATTTTTTTTAAGAATATTTCCCCCTTTTATCTGACTTGACTAGTAAAGTAAGTCGAGGTGTAGAACTGTCACCGGGTATTAGTAAAACACTCTTACATAAATATGCTAGCTTAGCTCCGCCTACATCGCAATAAAATAAACAGTATAATAATATTAAATAATGAGTCAGAGATCATGGTTTGTATCTTCTGCTTCTAGGGTGTAATTTATAAATATCTATGAATAAAATATTAAGTATTATGTAAGTATGTTTATCAGCAGTCATATAAACATAATACAAACTCTGCCAAGTTTTGGTTCGGACTACTGTGGTGTTTCAAGTTATTATTATTGTAAAACCAAAGCGTACAACGCGTACAACAATCTTTAAATATTAATGTATATAGTCAACTCCGCAAACTTCGTTAGCAACACATCATTATTCATCAAATGTAAATGTAACTAAACATTATGTCGTTTCTGGATGTTTTGATTACGGATGTGGCGGGTATATAGTACTAGGTGGGTTGTAAACAGGTGGTGGAGGATAAGTTGGTGATTGTACGTACATTGGAGAATAAACTGGCGTAGAGTAAGTTGGCGGGCTGTAAGCTGGCGGGGTGTAAGCTGGCGGGGCGTAAGGTGGAGGGGCATAAGCTTTTGGCGGGTATGGTGGGGGATATGGTGCTGGAGCTGGAGGATACACCGGGGGTGACGGAGAGTAAGGGGTACACACAGGCGGAGCGGAGTACTCAGTAAAATAGTAATCTTTATGACTAGGTGCACATGGTGTAGGATGTTCAGTATTTGTTGGTGGCAAATAAGGTGGGGGAGCGGGTGGTGCGTAATGAGGATATGGATAAGGGGTTGGAGCTATTGGGATTGGATAAGGACATGGTACAGGTTCGGGAGGTGGTGGGTGTTCATAGGTATAGTAAGAAGTTGGTGATGGTGTTTTTGAGACGGTTATGGGGGGAGGCGTGGGTGGCGGTGGAGCTATAGGTTGTGCTACATATATCACTTGAGGTACGGGGTACGGGTAACCGTATACGGGTGTTTCGTATGCTGTAGTTGCTGGGGTGTACTCTACTGGTGGTGATGAAGATGATGTCGGTGTTGATGATGAGCTTGACGATGCTGGTTGTAATTTTGACAAGATCGCTGTAAAAAATAGAGTTATATCTTTATTTTTTCGTTTCAAGATTGAAACATACATTGAAAAAAGTTGCAAGTAATGGTAATACGTATGATGATTGGAAATGCTCGTAGAGGAAAAACTTATATGTTGAAAGCCTCAAATACTCAAAGATTTCTGCATGCAGCATCAAGAATGAGGGTGATGTCGCCTACCTATGCAGACCTCTACCGAACTTATGAAACTACAATCAAACATGAACTTCGAAAGTATTAGGCTTGTTTTTTATGGTTTAGGGGAAACGAACAGGCGGGACACTTCATGGTCCTTCATGGCCACTTAATGGTACTTCATTTTTTGTTTGATACAGGTACTTTATATTTATTTGCTATATGAAATTGTTATTAATTTTGAGTATCAGGTGCCTCAGTAGCAGTACATTAAACCTCATTATTTTGGACCTTAAAATAAACAAATGAAATCCATGATACGTCATCACATAGCCCATCCTTATCAGTCTTAAGAAAAACGTCATTTTATCTGTCTGTCTTTGTTTAATTTTCAACAGAATCGCTTCAATAAAATACGTTATACAACACTCATTAACTAATTGCATTCCACACGAACTTCTTAGTCAGCAGAAATGAGTCCGTGTCATTCAAACAATATTTTTATGTGATTCACATTACTCAAATAAGCATAAAATATATTATCGTTAATTTACAAATATCTTCTCTGTTAAATCAGTAAAGGTGTGAGCCAGAATGTTGACTTCAACCTAAGTGACATAAAAATAAGATACTAATAGGTAAAACAAATTAGGCCAAACATCACAAGTATAAGTTCGTTACCTTGTTGCACTCAACGAATGGGAATAGAGTTGATTATATATCATAGGGGATGCTAAGATGCTAGATGCTAGTTACCACTCACTGACTATGGTAAGGCTCGTAAATTCTTTACATCACTGCAAGGTAACGGTCCACTTGTTGCAGTTTTACTTGAGCTTATATCACTAATAGCGTGATATTTCATACGAGTAGCTTAAAAACTCTACCCAATACTGTAATAATGACCCAAATTAGAATCATAATTAGAGATTAGCGCTTTTTTATAAAAACCATCTTACAGTCAGTAAACAACTCTTCAACTATTATGTTGCACGTAGTGGTTAAAGCGGTCGCCACGCCGTTTCCCACTACGCTGAGTATTGGGGGTTCAATCCCCACATGGGACGACACTTTGTGTGATCCACAAATGGTTGTTCTGAGTCTGGGTGTTCTTTATGTCCGTTTAATTTATGTTTGAAAAGTCCCGAAACAAAACGGAACGCAAAAGACAACTCGAGCATTAGGAATATTCCTAATGCGGGAGTTGTCTTTCAGTTTCGCTTTTTTGGAAAAAGAAAAGAAAACATATTAGTATCGATTTCCAGCTAAGAGTAATTATTTATTATATTATTACGAAATATACTTACAGGAAGAATAAAGAGAATTTATCATCTGGTTCATTCGATCGTGTAGTGACGCCATCTAAAATAAACCGAATTGCATAAAATATACGCTATATCGATTCAACTCTTTCAATTTATTGAGATATATGGCTAGAAAAGTATATTTTTGCGGCTTTAACAAAAAAATGATCCTAGATAGAAAAAAATCATAACACTGAATCATTGTAATGAAATCTTTGTATTCACTACAAAACTGAAAAACCAAATAACTATTCATTCAGTTTTTTTTTTCAAAATGCTATATAGTTACCATTCATCATCATCATCATCAACAGCCTTTAATAGTCCACTGCTGGACAAACAACTTAGAAATGAGGTTTCGGACCAGGAGTAGTGACAATCCGTCACCACACGGACATAATTACCATTTTGGGTTAAATTAATATACGATTATATAAATTCAAATCAATTAGCAAATATTTTTGTGAATGCGTTTTTCAGTCATCTTTCTAATTATATTCGGAGGGTTTCAATGTCGAATTATTACTTGATTTTCCACCGATTGAGTGAAATATTGTAAGATTTTAAAGTGATAAATACAAAAAAAAAACATTGCTCTGCCAGCTTATATGTATAAAGGTAAGGTTTTGATAAAACGGTTTTCTAGAATTAGAATTAGTGAAGTACCTACCTAAGTCCATCATAATTATTGGAATAATATGGATTATATTTCTTTGAAATAATTGTTTGTCATTTTTTAACCGACTTCATTTGAAGCAGAAATTTCATGGTTGGTATGTGGACAGATCTAAGATTTTGACTAAAAAAGTTTTATTAACACTAAAAATAGTATGCCAGGAATAATTTAGTATATCGAAAATTTTTAACCACTGCTATGTTATACAGTACAAACAAATAAATTTACCTGTGACTGATGCGAATCTTGACAATTGCTCGACGTTGCATAACTCAACCCTATCGATAACGCACTTAACTTTATTATCAACCAAAGCATTTCTATAACTTTTTCAACACTATAATCTGAAATCTATGACAGTGCTAACAACATCGACATTCGCCACTTACACAATATTACTTCATTTGGTGTCCAACTATCTTATTTAAATGATTCTGATACTTAAAATCAGACGTCAGACGTGCTGGAGGCGAGAGATAGATAAGAAAGTCTCTGATAAAGGCTGTCTTTCGTGCGTGAGGATAATAAGATATGTTAATTAAAATGAAAAACAGTATTTTATCTAATGTTTTAGTGATATATATTTTACTTGCATAATTAAACTGTGTATAAGCTATAAGTTTCTTTAAACACACACAAAACACTTACTGGCTGTGTGCCTATAAACCAGCTTTAAACATAAAATGACAGATTTAAAATTACAACGATACGACTTATAAACCCATAATTTATAATAATAATAATAATAATATATTTTACTACATTCACACAACACCATCTAGTCCCAAACTAAGCAGAGCTTGTACTATGGGTACTAGACAACTGATATAAATACATATATTACTTTTTTTTGTAAATACATACATATTATACATAGAAACACCGAGACCAAATCAAACATTAAATGTTCATGCACACAAATGTTTGACTTGTGCGGGAATCGAACCCGCGACCTTTAGAATAGCAGTCCGTTACACAAACCACTACGCCATCCGGTCGTCAATTTAGTATAAGGGCTGCTATTTATGTATCCGGAACTGGCCAGTTGCAGAACAATATTAAAAAAGTAATAATAACATTTAAAATGGAACTCTTTGGCTGAAGAATACAGTTTGTTTCATGTAGCTGTCATTTGTTAATCATTTATGGCGTCATTTTGAAAAATGTGTGTCTTTACTACCATGGATTTAACTCGTCAAAATTTTTGTACTAAGTTTTGTTATGATTTTCAGCGAGGGCTAGCTCAAAAACAGTACATTGATCAATTCACTTCGACTTTTGGGGACGAAGCAAATAAAAAACAACTGTGTATCACTGGTTTAGTTAGTTTAATCGAGGGCGGTCTGTGCTCACGGACAAATTGAAAGAAGGTCACCCTAAATCGGTTGTTGTACCTCAAAATATTGATACTGTGCGGGAACTAATAATGCAAGATCGCCATGTTACATATCGCGAGATAGAGGCTCAGGAAATAAGTATGACGCTGCTGTAAGCTGTAAAAAAATTTGTTCACGTTGGATTCCGCACTTCTTGAGAATTGACCAAAAAACGGGCTCGTGTCCATTGGTGTAAAAAAAATGTTACAAAAGTACAATTAGGGTGCTCAAAAAAAGCTGTCTTTAATATCTACTCAGGCAATGAATCTTGGATATATGCGTATGATCCCGAAACTAAACAACAATCAACGGTTTTGTGTTTCAAGATGAGCCGTGAACAGTCTGATGCGTTCAAAATTTACGTTGGAGATACCACAACCTGAATAGTAAAAGTGCTACGAAAATTGGTTCCAACGTATGCAAAAGGTATCGTTCATCACGGCGAATATTTTGTAAAGCAATAAAACTATAATAAATGCTATATACTTGTTTCATTTTGTTATTCCGGATACATAAATAGCAGCCCTCGTACTATTCTTAAAATTTCGCATGTCAGCAACGATTTGGTACACTACTAACATTAGTGAATAGGAATAAATACTGTGTCGCGGGGGACTTACATGAAACGGTCACAAAGAACACCCCGACTCCGAACAACAATTTGTGGATCACACAATATGGGGTCGAACAGATAACACTCTGCGCAGTAGGAAGCGGCGAGGTGACCGCTTACACCACTACGCCATCCGTGCAGTCGATTAGTGATATGATATGTCGTATTATTTAATAGTGTGAAAAACGTGTCTATTTATCGAGGTCCATGACACTGCCAGAGTTATGGAGTATATGGGTTATGCAAATTGTTGTGCCGGGCTAATGGTACCTAAAAAAACTGTTTTTTGGGAAGGAAATAAAATCAAGAAAATAAACATATTTTTAGTATTACAGATTTTAAAATAATTTTGTATAAGTGTATGTTTCAATGGGTACTTATTTTTATGATTATGTAAGATTTGGTAATGATAGCAAGTAAGAAAGAATAACTGTAATATAACCAGGAAATAATAGAATGTTTCACAAAATTCTGTAATTGTTGAAATTCACAGTTGAAATTACAGTAGAATAGGGCCAGTAATGGTTGGTTGAAAAAAATTCAACCGTTAACGATCAAAAGAATTAAGTTTATTAATTGTTAACTGTATAACATATCCATTAATATAATCTTATTCCCAATAAATTTAATAATATTTTATTGTGGAAAACAGGTTTGTAACACCTGCCCGTCATTCGTTGCAAACCGCTTGTTCCAAATGAGCATGAATTAAGCATAGCTAAAAAGAATTGTGATTGAAACATTAATTCGTGCGTATTGATTTTAAGGAGAGGCCTATATCCAGTAGTGGACTATTAAAGGCTGTTGATGTGATGTGTGTGTGATGTTAAAATTGGTGCGTTTTAAAAAACTCTAGTAATAGGGACGATAGAATATACTCGAAACCTATTCAAATTCAATAATTTCGGACAAATTAGACTCATAATTCCTAAATTCTGCCTGAGTTTTCCTCCTCAGTATTCTACATCCATATTTCTGAGCCTTGGAAAACATTACTTCCATTCCTAACACCATCGGGGACAGAATAGCGCCGAAAATAGTAAGAAGCAATAAGGGAGCGACATCTCCTAGTTTCACTCTTTCAGCTAGTAAAGCCGCTCTGCAAGGAGGTTGAGGAATCCGAAGACGAGTGACTAGTCGTTTTCCAAGACCGGTTTCGAGCAGCCATAGTCCAGCTATACGGAGCATTCCAGTCCACTGGCCATTTTTGGATGAAGTTATCCAGGTTAGAGTCTGTAAAGTACAAGATTAGTCAAGAAAAGCGTTGATCAGAGGATCTGTGTGGTTAAGCTATGATACTGAAGGCCGATAAACAGTTTTACTCTCCACCCGTCGTAAATCTTTCTGCAAAGAGATACTGTTTGAATGATATGGCGCTATATAATAATAATAATATTCTACCTCATTCACAAAACGCCATCTAGTCCCAAACTAAGCAGAGCTTGTACTATGGGTACTAGACAACTGATATAAATACATATATACTTTTTTTTGTAAATACATACATATTATACATAGAAACACCCAGACCAAATCAAACATTAACAGTTCATGCATATCAATAAATAATTCTTTAAAGAAAGTTGGCAGTTCCATAGGTATTGGTAAAAATTGTAGTTCCTGTTTCATCATCATTGTGTACTTTTTTTTAGTAGGATACATTGCAATATACCTACAACATTGCAATAATTAACCTTAAAACCGTCGGGCACGTGGACAGTCGTATAAATATATGACTGTACAAAATATGGTAGCAGCATTCTGGGTCGATGGGTCTGGGGCTATTAGGATTTCACATTTTTTTAAGACCACGGGGTTCGGTATGCCGTCAGATATATTTCAGTAGCAGATAAAAATCTAAGGCTAATTCAAATATATCTACTCCAAATATCGTGCCGTAAAATTGCCCATAGGTTTTTCAACACATCAAATAATGATAATTGGAGAAAATTATTCAAAACTTTACTTACCTCCATACATGTTTTTAGAAAATAACACACGCATAGTTATCATCAGATTCATCAGAGTTATAATTTGTTTTTATTGTTTTCCATAGACAACTTCCGCACTCGGAATATATCCTGTGTCGTGAGGGAATTTACAAACATACCTGAATTGAACATAAAGAATACCCGGACTCAGAACAACAATTTGTGGATCACACAAAGTGTTGTCCCATGATCGAACCACAACACTGAGTGCAGTAAAAAGCGTCGAGGTGACCGCTTAAATAATAACGTCATTCGTGCAGTCAGTTTAAGGCCGTCTTTAGAAAATTTAAATGTCGGGTTACCTCAGGTATGGTATCCACATGTTGTAACTTGCAGATGTTGTCATCGCTAAATGACTTGAAGTGTGGGTAGATTTGGTTGTACTCGCTATGAAAAGCGGTGCTGCCTTGTTCGACCAACTCCACCCCTTTATTGAATTCCACATAGAATCTGGATGTCATCTTTTTTCTCTTCAGGTATTCTAGATCCTCCCAAGACGTTTCAACCTGTTTTAAGATTTTTAATATAAAATATTGGATTGGATTGTTAATGTAATGTTCGTGACGGCTTAAGGTATCTGGATGAAATTGAGCTCAGAGATAGAACTCAGATATTAAGATAGAGTCTGCAAAAATACACATGAGAAATTTATTGGTGAAATCGAGTTTAATACTAGGAAAATCTTTGGCAAAAGCTGGTAACCGAATAATTTAAAGGTTTTGCCTATTGGCTTTATAGCCGTTTTGAATACAAATAATAGTAAAAGTCTTAGGTTTTTTTTACCGTATAGGGGCCAAAGTGTCCCACGTGACAAGAGAGTTTCGGCTCCAGTAACCTCACTCACTCGGTGAAATCACTATTGTTTACCATTTTTTTTTAAATAGATATTGACCCTGGCAAAATGAAAGTTGTTAAATAACTTACGTCGAAGAATAAATATCTCATGAAGTCATACTCTTCACTAGCGATGGCATATTTAGAATCTCCGAGTGCTCTTAGGGAGTCTGGACCTCCCTTGCCAGTGCTCATGAGAGCAGACACAATGGCGGATGTGTAGTAGGCATGCACTAACATGGCACTCACAGAAAGAACCATGAAAGACCAACGGCCTGATGCGCATTCAGGAACTGCACTCGCATCTGGTTTAACAATATTACGATGCTGTACATCAGGATTCGGAATGATGATTATGTTCTAGGAAATAGCAAAGTCACATTTTGTTCAGAAATAGGCTTTGGGTTGAAAGATATGTTTGATAATTTAAAAGTGAATCCCTTTAAAGGTAACTACAAATCTAAATGGTCCTACTTCACAAATATATTACTTAATTTATTTTCTCCTAATACAAAAAAATCTGCTAAACATCAGAATTTCGATCAAGAAGTTTAAGAAGCGGCGATAGCCTAGTGGTAAAATTATTGGACTTGCATTTAAGAGGTCGTGGCTTCAAATCCTGACCAGTATACTACCGACGTGAACCCACTCCTAACACAAGCAATTTAGCTTGGGTTAACGGGAATACTAGTAATTTCGGATGCTAGTAGACCTTTAAAAGAAAAAGATATTCATCGTAAATAGAAGAATAGCAATGTTCTAGCGTTAAAAGAGGTGACATGTAAAGGCAATCAGATTTTTGGGCAACCTGTTGGTGATTTCAAAAGCATACAGTAGTCTGTCGGATTAAAACGAAGTCACTTTAACCCGGTGGCCAATTAGGTATTACACGGTTTTTTTTGCTACTATTTATAAGTTTTTTTTTTATTTTAATATGTAAAAAGAAAACTCTTTGGACCCCTAAAAAGAAAATTCACGAATTAAGATAAGTACTCGTAAAATGTTGAATATTATAAGTTTATTTGTTAGAATAACACAATCACAACCATAATGCCTTAAATATCATTAAAGCCTTTTTTGTGTATGTATATATATGTGGGTGTTTTTTATATGTATATATGCCCCTTGTTTCTTACTAACTTGTTATTTCTTTTTTCCCCACTCATTTCTGCACCACATTAAGGTGGATTGGGGGGAAAATGCTTATTATATTAAGTCCGCCTTTGTGCAATTTCATTTGTGTGTGAACTATCAAATAAACAAATTATGTGAAAACGGTTACAACCAGCTACACGAGTCTAGTAGGTACATATACATATTATGTTGATCTTAGCGGTTTAAAAGTCTATACTACGATAAATGAACTTTACTGAAGAAAATAGCTTGCTTTATGTTACAAATCATCAATCATCCATCATCAACAGCCTATTACAGTCCACTGCTGGCTGCTGGGTTTGGCCTACTATACCATGTTGGCCAGACGGGTTGGTATAGGATTTGTTTCAAGTTTTCCTTCTCTTTGAAGTGCTGTTGTCCTGCGTAGTTTGTTTCCTTAGTCGGCTCTTACGACACCCACGGGATGAACAGGGATGGTGACATACCGCATTCTTAGTCCGTCACCACGCGGATGTTACAAATAGCACTAAGAAATTAAACAAAACATTCAAAATTTGATTAATAGTGGTCGAACGTCGACCACCGCCATTCATCTCTAGTTCTTACTTTAGTTAATATACCTTGTTGCAAATATGTCGTAAGTACGGTGTAAAGAGCACCGTCTTCTTCCTTTCGATTTTTGGACGTGATACGTTGCACCAAAGCTAGTACACACATCATGACAAGACAGGCCCACCATACCCCTGGTGAGAATGGTTCCAGATACATATTATTGCTGCTTTCTCTTTCTGCTACGTAGATGAAGCCTACCCTGTTAGTCAAATAGAACTTTAAGATTACAAAGGTGATATGATTATCTTTACTTTGTAAAATATTCCTTAAAACAATAGAGTTAAGGTTCAAATAGTAACTATTAGTCGTGTACTAGATTGTATTAAATTTATATCTACGGATAGTCACACAAATATAGATTATTAATAGATCGGCTAGAGTGGGTGAAGATACTGACCACAAGATATCTTCTCAAGTAATGCCCATATGTATAATGTTGAAAAAATAGTTGACATTCAGGACTTAATAACATCACATTTTTCGACTTGAACTAGGCGTGTGATGCAAAACGCAAAATGAAAGATTTTAAAAACATCAACACACATCTTAGATTTGAAATTTATCATAGTGAATAGTATTCTACTTGTCAAGCCCTTTTATTTGATACCCATATTGAGGGAGTTGTGTAAAAATATGTAATCAACCATTTTGTTGCGGCGGCCATCTTGGCCATCACCTTTCAAACAAAAAACCAGAATCAAAATCGGTTCATCCGTTCGGACGCTAAGATGCCACAGACATAAATACACACACACAGACACGTCAAACTTAAAACGTATCTGTCGTTTTTGCGCCGGGGGTTAAAACAAGAGACCCAAGCTCATTTACTCTACCTACAACCCGCTGGTCGACTACACCGTTGCTCATGCTTGACAATTTTGTCTTTAAGCATTGTTATTCAAGTACTGTTATTAATTTTAAGTATTTTATGTAAAAAAATATAAATAATATAAAGTTGTTCTTATTCATGTGATAAAACCTTAAAAGCTTAATTTAGGTTTGGTAGTGATTACCATCGCTCATGAAGCCATTTTAAGTTAGTTCTCTATTGGCACTATGTGTCTTATCTAATCTATCTATCTATATGTGTCTATGTATCTATCTATATAAGTATGTGTCTATGTAGCTATCTATCTGAGTATGTGTCTGATCTAAATGATAAACTGTCAATTTTTCTTGCCTTTGTTTTTTCTTTTGCCATTTTTATCCTTTCTGGTTTAAGTGTTTGTGTGTGTAGTTGCAAAAATTAATGTTTTCATTCTATTTGTGGTATATTCTATAAAAAATTTGAATACATTTTATTCCTTACCTGAAAGGCCAGATAGGGACGACGTAGTCTAGTATCAATGTCCTGTCCAACAATATCCTCAGAATTCCTCCAGCTAGATCTGCGTCACCCGTGGACAACATTATGATCATGCTATCATTGTTGATCCTTGCTGACCACAACTCGTTCTCGATTAATAAATCTCTGGAATAAAACTATTATTTTTGAAAAATGAAGAGGCTGCTAAAATCACTGATAGTGATGTTCAAAAAAGTGTATAACAGTTTGATGTAAAAATTGTTGATCTTTTAACTGATTGTTGTCGGAATTTCAGTAAATTTATAAACTTACACAGTACGTTATCTTACCTACTTACTGGGTAAGCAAGCTTCCTTACCTGGCTACCTACCCGAGGTGTCTATAGAAACTACCTTACATAAAAGTCACATAATCAGCTAGTTTCTATAGTAAATATACGACTAGATGAAGCTATAAAAGTTGTGGTGCTGCATTGTAACCGATTTCAAAAACAAAGGCATGTATTAAATTTTATAATTAGTTATTTGTGTATGTCATGCGATATCCGACTAATTATTTTTTTAAATTTAATAGCTCATTTCTCCAAAGTTCTCATAAAAGTATTAAAAAAATTCAGTACCCATTCAGGAAGGATGAGGGTAGATTGAAGTCTATTGTACTTTTTTTTTTTTTCTCTTTATTGATTTAACGAGGGCTTAGTCACGAAGTGATTATGCCGCCCTCATAGGAGAACATTATTTAAAATCTATTAAGCATACAAATTTTAGCTATATTATACAGCGCTCTCGCTTTCTCCGAGAAGGGGAGCGCGAGAATGCTATTACATATACCAATATTAAAGTTAGGTTCACAAAATAATTGTTTTCTTTCGGGTTCGTTCCGGAGACACTCCATCAGAATATGGTGTACATCTTCTACTTTGTTACATAATGAGCAGTTGGGGGAATCGACTTTACCAATTAAATGTGCAAAGCTGTTCAGTGGGATGTGTCCGGAACGAAGTCTGATGATCATGTCTGACCTGCTCATATTGGCTTGATCGATCCAGGGATGTTTATGTATAGTAGGCTGAATGGTTCGGTACCAAATACCTTTAGTTAGCGATCTTTTATCGAAATATTCTGACCATAGTTGAAAACAGCGATTCTTAACCACATACAATAAATCAGAATAATATGGCAAATATGCAAAATCTAAACCATCAACGAGAGATTCTTTAGCTAATCTATCAACTGTCTCATTCTCGGTCAGTCCAATATGTGCAGGTAACCACTGCAGTGTTATATTCTTATTATTCATTTCTAGATTTTGTATAGAACGCATTATGTTATAGGCTATCGGGGTCCCTCGAGTTTTCGAGGAGCACCGAGCCAGATGCTGGAGAGCGCTCTTCGAATCTGACAAAATTACATAATCGCCGCTAAGAAATGATTCAACATATGCTAAGGCTTCACTTATTGCAACAAGTTCTGCATACATTATGTTCATATTACACTTTATATTAAGTTTCACAGAGGAGTTTGTTTGTGGGTCGAAAAACGCTGCTCCAACCCTGCTACCATCCTTCGAGCCGTCAGTGAAAATTTTATACCATGTGCCATAGTACTGATTGATATATTGACTACAAACTTCTCTTAGCTTAGACGGCGTGTAAAACCGCTTTGCAGTGTGAACATCTTCTATATTATATTTAATATTTTTAGAAAGATCCACATAGGTGACCCAAGTGTTCAAAGAAAACATGTCTAATTGTGAGCTAAAATGTATCGGTAAAAATTTAAGATACTTATGTATAGAAACCAACAGAGTTATTTTCCTGTTTCTCCAATATGTATTATCGCTAAACTTTTGTAACTCCTCTAACAAAGCTATAATGTTATTTTTGTAAAAGATTTCGATGTAAGCCAATATTTCCCAGCCAAGTAATATCTACGTATGTGTAAAGGTTGTAAACAGAGTTCATTTTCCATGATGTGTATAGCAGTGCTCCTAATGAATCCCCCTATCAATCTCATAAAGATATTTTGTAATTTATCTAGCTTGTTGACATGAGTTTGACTTGCATTATCATATAACATACTGCCATAGTCGAACCTACTCCTAATTAAAGTAATATACAATCGCCTCATATGGATAGTATGTACACCCCATTTTACACACCTTAAAAATGTTTATAAACTTCATTACCTTATCAGTTGTTTCATTAATGTGTTTATGCCATCTTAAAGAGCGATCTAGCCATAACCCTAAATACTTTACAGTGTCCGCAACCGCCAACGATATATCCCTAATTTTGAGATCAATTACTTCTCTCTTAGAGCCTCTTTTAAAAATACAGACTTTACTTTTTGTTTCCGATATGTCAAGACCAATATTTGCGAGTAAATTACTAAGTAAATTTAGTGCATGCTGTAAATTTCGTACCATGTGTGATACACTACTGCCGGTTACGTACAAAGCAAAGTCATCAGCATACTGTGAAACACTAACATTGACTATTTCCTTGCAAATGGCTACAGTAGCAATATTAAATAATAGTGGAGAGAGTGGGTCACCCTGTGCCAATCCCCGTCCCGTCATTCGAGACACGGAGTAATTGTATGAAGTAATATTAAGATTTCTTTCTTTAAGATAGTTCCAAATATATGTACACATTCTATGTCCCACCCCTAGACGGTCCATTATATGCAACAAACTTACTATATCTATATTATTATATGCATCATTGATATCTATAAAGCAACCTATGGTTGTTAAATTTTCAGAGAACCCAATTTGTATCTTTAAAACTAAATCTGCTAAATTATCTATTGTAGAACGACACTTTCGAAAGCCTGTAGTTGACATCGACATATGATGATTTTTTTCCATAAACCACTCTAATCTATTCATTAGTATGGTATGGAATATTTTACAAACACAAGAAATCATTGATATTGGTCTCAATGATGATGTACTATTCGGATCACGGCCCGATTTAGGGATTGGCACAATCGTTACTTCCCTCCATTGTTTAGGTACGAACCCTTTTTCAAGAAAACTATTGAATAATAATAATAACATTTGCTTTGCATTTTCCGGTAACTGCTTTATCATGGAATATGAAATATTATCATGACCCGGTGAGGTATCCTTATTTCGAATAGCTCTGTTCATTTCGTGATAAGAAATTCTTACTTCTAACTCAGGGTTATCACAAGAAAAAGACAAATCATTATTTCTTACGAAGTCCGGTGTTAAATTATATAGAAGCTGCTTGGCTTTTACCTGATCGATATACGTTCCACGAGACTTGTACCCCTTCAGCCACTTCATTTTTCTCCAGACTTCACTTGAGGAACAAGTTTCGCCTAAAGAGGAAGAAAACGTTTGCCACGAAGCTATTTTAGCGTTACGTATGGACTTCTGCGCTATACGTACTCGTATTTTGTCTTTTAATATATCTAAGTTTTCGGGGGTAGGGTTACGTCGCAGTCTCGCTAACGCTTGTCGACGCTCAGCGACACACTTAGATAATCCCGCACTCCAGTAAGGTTTAGGATTAAATGTAGTATTAGGATCATTATTTATTTTTATAAATGGTATATGTAAATCAGCAGCTAAATTAATAGACTCGATAAATAAATCATAACATTTTTGTAAATTATTTGAAAAGATGAAATGTTTAAAGTAATCAGATAAAAACGCTTGATAAGCTTCCCAATCGGCTTTTTTATAGTTTCGACGAATAAAATTGTTTTGACTTACCCCCATATCTGACGACATTCTTATGATACGGTGGTCACTACCTAAAGTTTCATTTAACGGGTCCCAGTCGAATTTTAATGCTATGTCAGAGGATACTAATGACACATCTGGGGCTGATTGTTGTAGAATGCCACTAACGAGCTTGATTCGCGTCGGACTGCCGTTATTTAATATTATGAGTTGGTGATCTAGCAATGTATCAAGGATCTGCGTACCTCTAGAATTAGTTTTCGATGACCAATTATTGTGATGTCCGTTTAAATCTCCTAGTAACATCGTATTATTGCTGCACTTGGAAAAGATTTCGTCCCAGTCATTTCGAGTAATGTGCACTGACGGAGGACAGTAAATTGAGTATATATAATTTATATCCGGGCAATTAAAAATTTTAATGGATACTATTTCTATTTGAGTATTTGTTATTTGTATAATATGTGGCTGTGATTTGATGGAAGAGTGTGTAATAATAGCTACACCCCCGTAACCATCGTTTCTGTCCATGCGGTGTATGTTGTACCCACTTATGTGCAGGGGGCTAGCCGGCTCTAACCATGTTTCACTTAGGACAGCAATGTGGATCCTTTCTTGGAATAACAAATTTTCAAATGACGTTAATTTGGGACGTAAACTTTGTGCATTCCACTGAATAATATTGAGATTACGTGTTATTTTGGTTTTATACATTAATTAAATCTAGAATTTTTTTTTAATATTGGCCACTCTGCTATATTATCAACTACCACTAAAATTAACCACTGCACGCAACATTTAATAACACTATGGAACTTAGATTGTAGCGAAACATTATTTAAAAATATAATTTCCTTAAGTCTTGACAGTAATTCTTCAAAATTAACTTCTCTTCTTTTATTATCTGCCGGGGCTGTGTTAAGGGGATCGCCTGTATCACCTTCATTGAAAATAGGTTCTGATGATAAACGACTTCCTGGTGTACTCGAACTATAGGTCTTCTTTTTATTCCCGTGACTGAAATGTCTTGTCGGTTCCTTTTGATGTGACAAAGCTTTGACTACATTAGCGTATGTAATTATTTTATTATATATTATTTTATTATATATTATTTTATTATATTGCAGTAATTAGTCTCACTAACAGGCGTAAATTTTTTTGTTTCGGTGATGTTTTCTGTATCGCCGTGCTTAGAAACGCTAGGAGGCACGTACATTGTCAGGGCTTTTCGGTATGTACAGTTAAATTGACCCATTAGGTCTCTGATCTTCTTCTCCTTAACATACGCCGGACATGACCTGACTAATGCCATGTGATTTCCACCACAATTAACACACTTAAAGGTTACATTATCACAGTTAGGATGATTATCCCCACATTTTGGGCACACTACTTGCCTAGATGTACATGTCTTATTCAAATGTCCAAACCGCCAACATTTACTACATTGAGTCACTGGGAATATATAAGGTTCCACCCTTATCCGCAGCTCATCTACTAAGATATATGTGGGAATATATGAGCCCTTAAAGCATAATAGAACCGCTTCACTCCGGATCCACAATTCTTCACCTGCTGAGGCGCCTTTGTTCCGTTTTTTAAGACGTTTTGCTGAAAGTAAGTGCACACCTTCCGGGCAAGAAATACTCTCGAATATTGTTTCATCAGATATATCAATATCAACATTTTTTATTACTCCGTAAGTACTATTTAAAACCATAGCTCGATTGATCCTCCATCCCTTTTGAAGGAAGGTTTCGGAAGTCTCTAACTTGTTAGCAATCGTCTCATCTTTTAGTTCAACCCGTAGTTTATAAGAGTTTATATATTTTATTTTTACTATATCTTTGATACCCTCCTCTTTGAACAATCTCGCCAATGCGAATTGCTTAGGTAACATTTCTTTACAGGAAATATATAATTCGATCATATCTTTTGCCTTTTTCCCTTTTCTTTGCACTATTGTCCAGTCTTCTTCCACGTCTGCCTCATCTCTTGCCCTTTTTCCTGATTTTCTTTCTTTATTCATCCCAATATCTTCCTGATTTTGATCCGTATAATCCTCTAGCATATCCTGCTCGCTTATTAGGTCAGTCTCCGATAACATATCTGTATAAACAAACTTGTTTTTATTGTGATCGCTGTCATCCTCCATTATGCAAGAAATAATGTATTTATTCGATTAATCAGACATCGTTTGGCCCGCAACCTAAGCAACAGTCGGCCGGCCGGCCGAAGGTTACCTTGCGCCGGGCGCAGGTAATAGAAAGAAAGTTGAGTAGGTATTTACTATAATCCCGACCGCGTCTATCGCATACGAGTACCGTAACGAGTACTCGTCTATTGTACTTTTTAAACAGTTAATAATTAAGCAATATTGTCCTAATCATTTTTTCAAGATGTCCGATATGTACTATGTGGCATTTGTGGCCTAGAAGAAGACTTGTATAATAATCCTGCACGAAAACTTATTACAATGATACCACGATAGCTACATTCGATGGTAACGAAATAGCCCTATCATAAAATTGCTCTTCTTATTTCCCCCGTCTCTGACATTTGTAACTTAAACGAGTCTCGAATGAGTTGCCAATCGCAATAAGCTCCTTTTTTTGAAGGATTGAAGATAAATTCACTAAAGAGTAAAAAAAGACCGACCGTTTTACTCAAATTACGTGTTTATCTTACGTTGGTGTGTTATTGTAAGAAATTTATGGGACAGAGCGTTAGTGAAAATTCACATTGTTCAGTGTGGGATAGTGATTTCTTAAATATTAGTGGTTTCACATTTCATACTGCGTTTATCTTAATATAAACACTAACTGTGCATTAACTGCTTCCACCAAGAGCATTGAAGTGTGATATCCACTTCGAATTCCCGGATCCTGGTCTGATATAGCTTCGTCCTCCAACCAATCGACGAACGTGCCATTGTATCGCTCACTGGAGTAGTGGCCAATCTGGATTAAAGAATAGCGTCAGTTGGATCACCGTAATATAATATAAAATTCTCACACATTTCACACACGGCCGTCTGATCCCAAACTAGGCAGAGCCTGTACTATGGTAACCAGACTGCTGAGAAACATACTTAAATATTTCTAAATACGTACATATTATAGATATAAGTACACCCAGACACAGAACTGTCCGTGCTTATCACACAATTATTTGTTCAGGGTGGGAATCGAACCCACGACCTCTGGCGTAGCAGTCAGGATCACTAACCACTAGACCAACAGACCAGTCATTTATTGTGATTCTTTTTCTATTATTCCAACCAAGGCTGTTGCAGTCGCGAATAAATTTGAAAGACAAAGTTGGCATCTCTGGTAGCGTAACTTCCTCGGTCGTCTTTCCACTCGGCCACTACGACTCAAACATGGGAGATATGGACACAACTTATGTGCATGTTCAGTGTGGATAAACAAACGTACTACTAGTGTCCTGTCTATCTTCACACAGTATGTATGTTAGATTCCCTATAATAGATTTCCTCCACTGAAATAGAAATGAAGATGTTTTATACACACTTTTACCTATTCTATTAAAAAAATACAGGTAATATTTATGGGTAGGCCGTGACAATGTATAATTTTATGAGTCATAAATTGGTTGATGATTCTCCATATATTGTTCCAGTAGTTGTAGTTACTTTATAACGTATATAGTCCTGGTCCAACTATAAGTAACTCAAATAATACGTACCGGAGTAGCGATCCTCAATGGATATTTCTTCAAGTCCTGTCGTCTCAGGATTCTTGCCCGTTCCTGAGTTACAATGAAACCTTGCGTAGCAGTCCAATATGCCCAGGGATGGATAGTAACACCGTCTCGTGGATGGATATATGTGTCAGAAAAATATGCCGCTGTAGAAGATGTATTAATTACAAACAAAGAAATCTTTTATTATTAATTAATAAGTATACTAATGTACACCGTCCGTCTGATAAAGGATTAAGAATACGAAGTGTCAACACCCCTATTCGTCCCGTGGGTGTCGTAAGAGCCGACTAAGGGAGCAAACTACGCAGCACAACAGCACTGCAAAAAAGAGGTCTACATTATAAATATAATTTTCCGTGAGACAGCCGTGCTTCATCGTACGATATTTTACTGTAGGGGAATGCTGCCGACATTCAAACTATTTTTGTACTGCAAAAGAGAGCGATTCGAGCAACTTATAATTTAGGCAATCGTTGTTCATTGAGGCAGAAATTTCAAGAAATAAACGTATTGACAGTGGCATGTCAATATATATATGAAAATGTAATATATGTTCATAAAACAAGGATAGGTTTTTAAAAAGAAGTGATGAAAATTCTATAAATATCAGAAATACTTGTAGTACCTGCTCTTTAGGCTCCAAAATATAAATAAGTCGTTTCGAGGTCAATGTGTCCGATTTTATATTAAAATACCTTTTTTATATTATTTATTTTATATTAAGTTTTACCGTGGGAGAGCCATGCTTCGGCACGAATGGACCGGCTCGACCGGAGTGATAGAACAGAAAACCGGTGTTAAGCAATTTCCCCTACCTCGAGCGGGAGGGACTCCAAGGGCAGCAACGCACTTGTGACTTTTGAGTTGCAGGTGTCCATGGGCGGCGATAGTTGCTTACCATCAGGTGACCCGTCTGCTCGTTTGCCCCCTTATACCGTAAAAAAAAACGCAAGTAATATAAATTATTTACGTCTTGAATATTATTTCAAGACGTAAATAAGTAGTAGTAGTATTAGTACCCGACTATGTATTTTGATATTTATGTATTTATAAATGTGTATGTTCATGTATTGTAGATAGATAGATAGATAGATAGATAACTCTTTATTTGCACACTAAATTACAGAGTTACAAGAAAGGAACACAGCGATCAAATATCGAGTGTACAAAGGGCGGCCTTATTGCTAAATGTAATTTCTTCCAGGCAACCTTAGGATGGATCAAAAGTTGCAGAGAGACAGTAGTAGTTGAATATCTCCATTTGTGAACCTACTATTGTATGTGTATACTTGAGACCTCTATGTATATATGTAGTAATGAATATAGTATTTTATTTATAGTATATGTATGTAAGTTAGATTTATCTTAAATTAATAAATTTAATATAAAAGAGTCAAATTCTCTGTTTTCTCTTGCACCTACAGCATCATTTTTGTACATCACCCGAAGGTCGACTGGCAGAGAATGCCCTGGGCATTAAGTCCGCCTGTGTACAACTTGTGCATTAAGTTAAATAAATAAATAAATAAGTACTAACAAAAAAAACGTAAAATATGTCTGAAAGCAATTGATTAATTTAGCGTAAGCTATTTCTTAAGTGGAAATGTGATGTGGGCAAGGGTGTTTTTATTATATATATATATTTTCTATTTTTTATGTTTCATTTTACTTTCTCTTTTATTCCATTTTTACTTTATCTTGTTTTCTCTTCATTGGATATTTACCTTTTAGTCCTTAATAACAGACAGACAGACACAATGGCACACATCAAAACAATGTTGTGGTATATTTAATGATGCCATTGTATCTATCTGTAAATTGCAAAAGAGTGGCCATGAGTTTGTTTGCCCTTTCTTCTCATAAGGCTCAATCCCTTGGCAACGGGCGGTTCTAGATTGCCTCAGACATACCATAGATTTTGTATAAGTTTAATTTTTATTAAATTTATTTTGCTTACTGTTTGACAAATCAGAGTCAAATAGTAAGCAAAATAAATTGTTGCTATTGTGTGTGTTGGTCTATGACTTTAGTCTAGATTAAATTCAATCAATTTTTATTTTTTTATAAAATAAAGATATTTTAAGTTTGAGTTTGAGTTCGTCAGGAATGGGCCAGCTAAACTGGAGTTCTAATACCACGGCCTCAAGGAAAACCAGAGTTCTTTCGTTGTTTTCCACCAATGAGTTACGTTATTGGAGGTCCATTCCGTTGGCCCCCACCTTGCCCCTAATTCTGAGAGGGTTAGGAGTTTCAAAAGGTAATGTTCCTATGACTCTTAATAGGAGCAGGTGTCCATGGGCGGCGGTAGTCACGGTCTTGTCTGTTTGTTTGCCGCCTATATCTGACTAATATCTGAATTCATTGACACAATCTCCATTTATAGCAAAAGCTAATATTGTATAAACTAGTGTATATTCATATTTCAAAATCCAACTGACTATACAATCTTATAGTTATTACCTGTGCTGTTTGTGGCACCATGTTCTAGGAATGTTACATCAGCATCGTAGCGAATCTTGTGCAATGCTGTGGGCAACCTGTCTCCAACCACCAACCATTTGTACATAGCAAAGAAATGTTGATGTCTTAACTAGAAATAGAGGTGATTTATTAGAAAATAGTATAAGCTGTTTTGTAACGAATGTTGTAAAGTATTATTAATAGGTAATTATATAGTATGTCCCTAGCTATAAACACTAATCCATACTTATATAATAAATGTGAAAGTGAGTTTGTTTGTTACGTTTTCACGCCTAAACCACTAAACCGATTTTAAAAATTCTTTTACCAATGGAAAGCTACATTATCAGCGAGTAATAAAGGCTACTTTTCACCTCGTTACCGACCGTCACGCATAAGGTGTCGCGGGCAAAAGCTGGTATAGGTAATAAAAAGGTAAAAAATAGTTTTATTTCATTTTTTCTTTAAACGCATTGTATTGGCTTCAATATTCATCGAGTAAGGTTTATAAACTGTGTAATATTTTGCAACGATCCTTAGGGGCTCTAAGGCTCAACATCCCTTCCACTTATTGATGTTGACGACCTTGGTGTTAAGAAAGGTCTCAACACATATGATTCTTGACTTCCAGATTGCTATTTGTGGGATTATCGGTTGCTCCATCTACGGGCTTGCCCCTATACAATAAAAAAGGGAATGATGAAATGAGAAAATTATGTAATAGACTAAAAATGAGAAAAATAATCCAGAGAATCTTCGTCGGTGTCTGTTTACTAAATGTACCGTGATAAGTATTCTATCGACACATGTCTCCTGGTCGTCTACCAAGACCAAAAAACTTTAGGTTCCTAACAACTGTTTCATAACCATTACTGGGATAATTGGCACTCAACCACTGTGCGCTTTTCAAGACACTCTTTGCCTCTCACAACTAAACTGTGCAGCAAATTATTGTCTGCGGAATTTCTGGATCGATAAGACCCATAAGAAAAGAGTACTCCTTTCTCCCCTCTTTCATAAAAAAATAGTTAGTAGTAAATGGAATTTGAGATATTATGAAGATTAACAATAAATAAGAAAAATAAATGACCTTTTCCAGCATTTCGTCTTCGTGTTTGTGTGTGATGTATAGCACTCCTTGGAGCTTGTGATTGTCGACTTCATCCAAAATGTATGGATTACAGGAAAATGTAGAACTCAATCCATACTGGGATATCTGGCGCGTTAACTTTATTTGATCTGTATAGAATTTAGTTTAACATAAAAATAAATACAATTGTACCGTCACAGGAGATGTGAAACGTCGATATTATATCATAGAAATCATCAATCACCGTCAACAGCTTGTAACAATCTACTGCTGGACATAGACCTCTCCTAGAAGGGAGGTTTTGGCCCAACTATACTACGCTGGTCCGACGGGTTGGTATAAAGTTTGTTTCAAGTATTCCTTCTCTTTACAGTGCTGTAATTGTCCTGCGTAGTGTTCTCCTTTAGTCGCGTCTTACTTCACCCGCGGCGATGCACGCCACGAAAAGTCTCCCCCCCGCATAAGATGTTTCATATCAAAAATTGTTTTACGACGTAAAATCGGCGAATGAAAGAGTTACTTAAAAAAGTATATAGGTATTTTATCAGTCACTTGAAAAACATTAGATACCCGCTTTTTGGTGCAATCGGGAATAAAACGTAGTTGCAATGTGTGTGTGTGTTTATTAGAAATCGTTTTTATTTGAAGATTTGCATACATTAAAACTTTGCCATGTTAAAGATATACTATATAATTACCAATAGAAGGCCAACATGTCAATACAATAACACTGCTCACAACTTTGTATTTAAAGAATTCCACAACGGCTTGAGTTAACATGTTTGTAGAATACCGAATGCTATGTAAATGAAATTTAGCTGTACTATAGTTTAAGTTTCATAAAGTACAGTATCAAACAGTTGTGTTTCGGGAATATAGAATCTACATATCATTATAGTAGTGTTGTTATTAGCTGTAAAAGGAACATTTATGTTTTGATAACAATTTTAAATAAATAACAATTTGCAACAATTTAAAAGGACCGTCTGATCCTAAACTATGCAAAGCTACAATGATCGGACGGTTGCTATACATACTTATATATTACTAAGTACAATAGATAGATATTGTATTTTTCACAGGGCAGACTGATCCCAAAGTAGGCAGAGCCTTTACCATGATAAACATACTTATTTATTTCTAAATACATACAAATTATAGATAAATTACACCCAGACACAGAACAAACAATCGTGCTCATCATACCAATATTTGTCCTGTGCGCGAATCGAACCCACGACCTCCGGCTTAGCAGTCACAGTTACTAACCATTAGACCAACAGACCCGCCAATAAAACAAATGAACTACCATCGTGCTCATTATTAAATTATTATTTTTTATTATTATTAAATTATTCGATGATTCACAAATTGCTGTTCTCAGTTTAGTTCAGTTCAGTCTTCAGTTCTTTTTGTGCATTTCATGTAGTTGTTCCAGGGAGTTTAAAAAAAAAAAAACAAAAGAAATATATTCTGGATGGGAATGGAGCCCAAAATCTCTGGCTAAACAGAGTCGAGATAACTAACAACTAATTACCAGGCACGTCAAAATAAGCGACACATTTTGAAACCAAGTACAATGATGTTGGAGTTTCAAAACATTCGGAGAGCTAAGGTTCATCTAATACACGTACATATATCGTGTCACGGTGTTTGTGATCACACTCTTCCGATACGGCTCGACCGATTTCAATAAATACAATGTATTATCAATTATCCTTATTAGAATGAGATTAGTAATAAGATGAAACATATTTAGATTCACTTAATTACTTCATTATTTGTATGAAAAAGGTAACTAAATTTCAATGAGCATAAGATGCAGGCACAATTTGTAGATTTTTTTCTCCTCAACAACTTATAAATATTTAATGTAAATACGGTTGAAGTCAAAAGAAACGAGATAATTTCAAAAACCAGATTTTTGCGACCTTTTACCTTGAATATCTAAGGACGCTGACACGTGACCATATGTGACTTATGAGTCAACATTTGGACTATCAAAATAAAGGTTGTACAAATATTCAGCTGATTCCGTTAGATTCCGAGATCAATCCCTTAGTTTGTTAGTAAGATGACTGTACACAGACTCTGCCTAGTTTGAGATCACAATGCCGTGTAAGCCCGTGTGTGACATGTAATAGCCTCACTATTATTATTAACTAAGGGATAGAGTTGTTCCCAAAATTTTTGTAACACCATGGTAATCTTTGAGGATTTTTCGTATTCAATAAAAAATCATTTATGTTAAACCACTAATTATACGAGCAATGAACGGAACGAATTAGTTGAATATTAAACATATTTTTTATTATCTCTAACAGTTTTTTCCTCGCCTGTACGAGCGCATACAAAATGCAGCGACAACAATTTGGGCGTGTATAAGTGAAATTACAGGTACAGTGCAAACAACGACTTACATTCAGTAACTACCACTTATGATTCATGAAATAAAAGCATTGTTTTACCACCAGTAATTTTATTGAAATGTAAATAAATAAAATAAATATAAACCTGACTAATAATATTTACAACTACAGAAAGTAGGAGGGGGCAATTCTAGAGGTTTTGGTTCTAATGTGACTGGAACAGGAGGGGGTACCATGAAGGCTGTCATGGGTATACCGGGTGGGGGTGGCGGTGGTGCACATAACGGCGGGGGAGGGGGAGGAGGAACTAAAGATATAATGAAAGGAGCTGGAGCGGGAGGTAATGCGGGAGGAAGGCAACATTGACATGGAAGGGGTGCAGGTTGAGGCGCATGTAATATCATAGGTGCTGGCGCAGCTGGTGGTAAACACGGAGAAGGAGCTGGCAACATTATTGGTGCTGGTGGCGGTGGTAACATTAGTGGGGACGGGGGAGCTGAAAACATAAATGGTGACGGTGGAGGCAATGAAAACATCATTGGCGGAGGTGCTGGTAAACATGGAGCAGGCGCCGGAGCTGGCAATATCAATGGAGCTGGCGGCGGTGGTGGCGGTAGGCACAATGATGGAGGCAATGCGGGTGATATTAAAATCGGTGGTACAGGTGGTGCTCCACAAGGTGGTGGGCCAGCTGGCATTAGCATGATCGTTGGTGGTGGTGGAGGCGGTGGTGGTAATAGTAGCTCTTCGCATTTCCCACATAGTGGCTTTTTCTTTTCTTTATCTGAAAAATGATAATAATTTAAAATGAATTGAAAATGATTTTATTAACCAGTAAATGTAACTATCTTAGTTCACTCTCCAATCACAGGATAGTTGTAAGGTTCGCGGCTCCAACAGCTCAAAGTACCGCAGCCTCAGCTAAGTGAGGAAAGTCTGATTCAAGTCTTGTGGTATGTCCCCTATTCCCCTTTTCTTTTTCCTAACTTCAAATTACCTTCCTTATTTATCTCATCTGATAATATTTACATTCCAAAGGAGTTCTAGCATCAGGAAAAAGACTGGTCAAGATTTGAAGGTGTTATCGGTGTGACATACAACATGATTAAAAGTATATAAAAAAAAATTTACTTACCAAGCAACTTCTTTTCGAGAAGAGGTTTTAATAACCTGTAACAAATTTAATGAATGTATTAATGTTATACAGAGTAACTCATCTACTGATACTATTTTCCTTAATGCCTTAATAAGGATCCATATTGTTTACAAAACTTATTGGGAGGTCTTATTGGCAAGCAATAAACAATGTCAACTATGTGTATGTTCTTTTAAGAAACAATCTCTATCACTTATTTAGCAGCGTCATGAGAAGGTGAAGAAAAAACAAAAGAATGTTTAAAATAATAAAAATACTCACGCTGCTAGAACTGCCTTTTTACATTCTTTCATTTCTTTCAACGCCTCCAACTGTAAGAGAGTAGAAGAAGTAAAGAAAGTTTTGTTATTTATATATTTATTTATATTATTTCCTGCAAATGCAGTGCATAAGGTGGACTTAATGCCATAGACATTTTCTTTCAGTCCACCTTTGAGAGATGCAGAGCTGTTTGTGGCGGTGTATAAAATAATGAGATAAATGAGTTGGTTAATATCTGTTGAACAATTTTCTTACATAGATACACTAGGTATACATATATACATAATATATACATGTTTTATAATCACAGGGTGTGAAGAAATTAATCTGTAGGAAAGTACTCCAGCACAGTTAAAAACATCTAATAACATTACAAAATTGTTGTAAATGCATGTGTTTAAAACCAGACATGATCTTGTTAATTGGTTTCGTGTTATTGAAGAGTAAAATGCAAAAATAGGCTGATTTTTTTAAATACATTACTATCAATAATTGATGAACTGTTATTCAACTATCACAGATATTTATTAAAGAAGCCTGTTACTTCGATGTTTAACTTCCTAAAACAAGCCTTTGTTTATTTATAATAAAAGTTTATTCATAGTAATATGAATACCACTTACGAAAGTGTTTATTTTTAAAGACCCGAGATTATTACGTTTAAAGTTTCCATTTAAACTAACTTTGCGTTTTTATGATGCATAATTGAATTCACTTTTTTAATAAAAGTGAAGTGAAATTTACGCGTAATGTGACCATAGTCTGAAGTGAAATGATTGAAGTGAAGTGAAGTGAATTTTACGCGTAATGTGACGTTACTGATTTAATGAAATTTAACTGAAAGAACACCGTACCAAACATAGCCCCTTCTCGTCACAAGCCGTGATGTAACATGACGAAATTAATAAAATTCCTATGGAGGACCAAAATATCTTTTGACCCCCCATGACGTGAGTTCACTGAACTAAATGCAAATAGTATATGTAACAAAATTAGAAAAAATAATCGTATATAAAGACGTTTTTAAACGTGGTTATCATTACAAATATTATCTAGAATTTACATAATTATTACAATTGATTTTATTTCTTTTCAAGATAAGATCGACGTGTTGATAACAGATTTTACAGTAAATGTTTTATAACTTCATGATTAATATCTTTTTTCATTAAATTTATCATTAATATATTGCACAACGCAGGTTGCCTTCGTTAAAAAGCAAGATGTCTGCTTTCATAATCAGAATTTTATATTTAGTTAGTAATAATTAGGTGGATTATACATTTACTTAGGTAGTTTACATTTTCGGCCATCTAGTTTGTTTTAGTTGCAAATGAAAAGGAATAAAACACAATGCTTTCTTTCATATTCTTAATAAATAAGTCAATATATTACCGTTTTATTTTAAACTCCTGTCAACTAAGATAAGCTATATGTGGTGTAAGGAGAATGTTTAGCATTAGATTTTGAACCTATAATTAATTATAAACCTTGTATTAATCACAGTAAGAAATAATTTAGATTATCGATTTCTAAACATTGTATGTATCTTTATTTTATACACACATTCTACAAATCCTTTACAGTTGATCCTCTATCATGTAATTCAATAGCGTTTATTTTATTAACTTCTAAATTGTTTCTGTGGAAGTTTCACAAAACACGTGCGTATTTCGGGATAGTTATTTTAATATACTAAATAAGTTCAATGACGGTTATTTCGAATTTTGTATTAATTGTTCCAAAACAAAGGTGTATGGTAGCCGTGAGACGTGTTGAATCACATCGAAGATATAAGATAAACAAAACAATAGCGTTTTCACTACCCGTCCTTATATAATACAAGTTGAAATTCTCTCGTGTGTTTTTTAAGTGGAAATCAGTGATCGCACCACAATGGCTGGATTAAAGAAAAATACTTACATTTTTAATCTTCTCTGTTTTACAGCTGTAAGTAATCCAAATTTCTAATAATATAAACAAGCGTGTGTGTGCAATTCACACACGGCAGAGGTGGAAATTCGGAAAAAAAAAATTGAAGTGTCTCTTTGTAACGTCAAAATAATAGGTTTTTTCATGCTCTTACGGGTATTTGCACAATACCTATGCCTAAAAACTAGTTTAATTGTTTTTTGTCTGTCTGTCTGTCTGTTTGTGCCGGGTAATCTTCTAAACGGCTGGATCGGTTTTGAAAATATTATGTATTATATTACCACCTCGTAGTTGTCTATATAAGGAGCAACTTAGGCTATTTTTTTTCTCAGAAAAGGCCTATAAAATTTTGCCCAGCCTGGGAATCTGGGTTAGACTAAGGCAGCGTTTTTCAAATTTCACGCGAACGAATCTCAATCTATACATTTATGTGTTAGAGTCAAATCACAACGATTTTAGAATCATTGTGATTGGAAACTGAAGTTTGAAATTTCACTTCAGAACAGTGTTCAAATTCTGGTGCCCTCAAGATCTATCTAGCATTTGTAATCCTTGTTTATATATAATAAACGTAAAAGCGAGTTTGTTTGTTTATTACTCTTTCACGCCTAAACCATCAAACCGATTTTAAAAATTCTCTCACTAATTGAAAGTTACGTTATCAGCGAGTAAGATAGGCTACTTTTTACCGCGATTACCGATATACACACGGGCGGAGCCGCATGCAAAAGCTAGTTACAAATATATTAGATATTGTAAAATCAATTTTCTCTCTCAGCTCATCATAATCATAGATTTTTTTTATGGCATAAGGACAAACGAGCAGCTGGGTATGGAAATATCATTTCGGTAAAGCCGGCCCTTGTGTCATCATCATCATCATCATCATCAACAGCCTTTACTAGTCCACTGCTGGACATAGGCCTCTCCTTAGGAAGGAGGTTTTGGCCTACTATACCACGCTGGCCAGACGGGTTGGTATAGGGTTTGGTTCAAGTTTTCCTTCTCTCTGCAGTGCTGTTGTCCTGCGTAGTTTGCTTCCTTAGTCGCCTTTTACGACACCCACGGGATGAATAGGGGTGGTGACACTCTGTATTCTTAATCCGTCACCACACGGAAACACACCCTTGTGTGCTGAAACATAACTCTCCCATAACAATTTGTTTAACGACTTGCCTGTTTATATCAAATTTACTGATTGGTCAGAACATTCTTATAGATAAATATTACGTATTTAGTAAGTATAGTGATATTTATTATGGCTTAAGCGTTGTTGATACGCAATAAATACTTGTACCACGTACCGGATGACGGAGCGTGGGCAGGCCGCTATAAGGGGCGTGGGCAGCACAGGACCGGTTGTTGTGAAGAGCCTTGGTCTATGTCCAACAGTGGACGTCTTTCGGCTGAGATGATGATGATGATGAATAAACACTTGATGATGACATTCATGTTCCTGTGTTTCAAGCAATCTTTATAATCGAATATCACACATACCTTAAACATAACACACATTACCCTTAACTAATATCTCTCAAACAGTAAGAACTTCGTTGATTGCCAAGATTGACAAGATGTGCTTATAAAACATCACATTTCCATTTTCAGGTGACGTCGACTAACGGTCTGAACCTGGGTCTGCTCTCGAATGACTTGACACGTTTAGCAAGTCCTGTGGTCATCAACAAGATTACAAAACACGCACCGGTTCTTATTAACATCAAGTCAGATTTCGGCAAATCTATAAGAACACCACAGATCCAAACATTGTCTGCCCCGAACAATAAGTTAAAACTTACAGAGATTAATTCACTTATTGCAAAGTCTCAAACGAGAAAATTTAGATCTGTTGATGTGCCTGCTTTACCTCTAGTGCCTTTTTTTGTTTCAATAATGCCAAATATAAACTCTTTGTTGCCCATATTTCCTTCTGCTTTTGGGAAAGGTCCTGCATTACATCGAAATGGTTTAAATAAAAGAAGATTGTTGCTGAAATAGGGTATATTTATGAAGGAACAGTTTTAGACAGTCAAGTCATACATAGAAACAAAATCTTGTAAAGGTATTATTAACCAGATGTACCCTGCCACGTTTCGCTGGATCACTGTTGTTGCATTGATAAGAAAGAAATTGAAGAATGAAATTGACACAAAAAATAGATAACAAGATATATAAATAAGCAGGGTTGCCAGGATCTACACCTACCGTCTTCACTTCCCTGCCTAAACTTGTATAGGCCGGTGATGATGGAGAAATTATAGCTTTAGATTTTAATTAGTGTGATTTATAAAAATGATTACTAATAAAACTTAAGACAAACTATTTCTTTATTCAGTAACTAATAAATATGGAATCTTATTTATTAGTAACTGATTCTGAAGGTTTAAGGGACATCCCGGGAACAGCTACTTAGTGTACCTATCTCTAGTTCTTCTCAGTAGTGAAGCTGTTATCTTGCGAATAATCGCGTGAAAACCGTCAGTACGGGCTCGCGCAAATATCTCCAACGCACTGCAGTAGGGAGGTAGTCGCAACAGCATCCTGCAAGTATCATGATACTGGACACGGAGAACATCCAGCGATCTCTTAGTGTATTTGACCCATAGATTACTCGTGTACGAGCTCTGACACTTCAATAGAGTAATTTTAAATTGTTCTGTGCGCCGCGCAGTATTTATTTATAAGCTAGCTCTCTAGTATTTATTTATTAACTGAAGAGATTTTTGTTTTATTATTATTTGTTTAAATACACTTTAACTATATATATAAACCTGACTGAGGTTTATATATTAGTTGTAGACTGTCTAACGCCACGTTAAGACCCTTAGGAGCGGAGCAGTTTACGGAGCATAAATGTTGGGGGAACTATGGGGAATGGCGAGTCTAGAATAAAAAAATTATTGACTGGCCTGTTCTTCTAGTGGTCCCGAGTTCGGTTCCCACCCGAAGTAGAAATGCATTACGTTATTATTTTTATAAAATATGTATACCGCTGACGAAAGATTAAAAAAAAACATAATATAGCTTGTAATACTGTTGATTTCATGTTTACAACGTCAATATATCGAAGTTGGAACGGCAAAAATAATACTCATAATAATTAGTTTTAAAAAAGAAAGAAAGAAAGTGTTTTCTTTTTATTACTCTTTGTTATATTAATCTCTTATTCATATAAGGTTATAGAAAAATAATTTGAAAATTAAAAAAAAAAACAATAAATAATTGGTCTTAGAAATTAAAACTGCTCACCTACGATCTTTTCTCCTACAACATGCTTTAAAACAAACTAATAAAAACATAACACAATTAAAAGAGCCGTCATTCCTGCTTTCCTCATACTTCCTCGAACTTGTGTTGATATTTTTATAGATAGCAAATACGTAAATTGTACCTTAAAGTCCTTTATCTCAAAGAATATTATTCCTTATTAAAAAGCTATCACTTAATCTTGTTTTCTTTTACGTTGGTCACGAGGACATTGATTCCTTTCACGACCATGTCTTTCAGCTTCACCAAGTAGCCGATTAGAGGGTAGGCGAAGGGTCTGTCTTCGGAGCCGCAGGAGAAGCATGGTTTCGGAGTTCGAGGCTTCAGCAGCGAGTGCTTCATAAGAAGACTGCTCTGAAATATAATGTAATTCAGTAAAAGTCAAGACCTTGACAGATATGGCAGTTTCGTTGCTCTTAAATCTACAAGTTAGGTACAGTCAAGTAATTTGAGCGCCAACAAGAAAATATGGTATTTATAATAAAGTACAATGAACTATACGACTGTGATATACGTATGTATGTATTATCATCCTCCGAGCCTCTTCTCAAACAACGTTGGGGTCAGCTTTCAGTATACGACGACACGGCTGGATTTCGACTTTTTAGTAGGAGTGATGTCATCAGACCACAACCCAAGTATTAGGTGATATCGAAGTTCTAGAGATAGACTGTTGTCAGACTTTTTAGGGCTCCAACCATCCGTAACGATTTAAACAGATGTTCGTATGGCAAGCGGGACCGTTGCGCGACGGCTAAACGTACTTCTGATATGTTTGGATAGGTATTTATATATTTAAAAGATATACTGAACCTCCACCACAGTCAAAGCAAAGACAATCAGAGCAGTCCACATGAGATGTCTTCTTAAATTCATTTTCGTAATAGTTTTTAAATATTAGGAATAACACTAGGGCACTTGCGTAGCAACTGGTATATAGCCATTGCATCTTACTGCCTTATAGACTGTTCGTCACCAGAGAGAGAGAGAAAATCACGTATGTTTGATAACATAATGCATCTCGATTATTTGTGTTCTGTTGTGTAACATGACCTTGCCAGGAAAAATTAAGTGGGGCGTGTGGTCACCATGCTTTAATGTTTTAGTATGGACATGCTTTTGTGAACAATGTTTTTCTATATTATTTTCGAAAATACTAACGTCGTCGTGACGGTTTCAATAGTCCTCGACAAGTGTGATTGCTTCTAATTAAAAAACATATCATTATTTAGAAATCAGGCCAGTATAAAAAATATGCTACAGATGCAGTTTAAACGTAAACCTTATTTTTTAAATAAACTGTACCAAAACAATCATGTTAATAGTTCTTCTTTACTTTAATACTTGCTTGGAGGTCGCATAAACGATAAGACTGCCAATTGATTAAGGTACTTGATTTAAGGTTCAAACTTCAATTGTACAGATACGTTTATGGAAGTTTTTTACCTCACTTAAATGATTAAGGTTTTTTCAATATTGTTTTTGAATTCAATATTATGGGTCCGCAAGCGAGGCCTGTTGGAGTTTGCTGCCATACTGATGGGTGAAGAGGGCTGGGGCGCAGTGCTCTCTTTCTGTGAAGCCTCAGAAAGATACCACTGAACCACGCTATCAACAAAAAAGCCCTCTTGGAGTTACAGTTGTTTCAAGTCACCGAGATGAATTAGGTAACCATACTAAAATCCTACATGTATTCTAGTATTCATTAAGAAGAGTATCGCTTGCAGATCATATTAATTGTGAATTTCATTTTAAGCAGGTGACAATGATCATTAAATTTAATCTGCAGTAAGTTTTAGCGATTTAAAAACCTTAATTTTTTTCATATCGTTTCAGAATCAATTTGTTTGTTTCTTTTTTAAAAGACAACTCCCGCACAAGGAATTTAAGGATTTTAAAAAAGAACACCCAGACTTAGAACGTGTCGTCCTATGTTGGGATCGAACCCACAACACTCAACAATATAGTTGGAAGCGGCGTGGCACTGCACGGATGGCGTAGTGGTGTTGTTTACATGCCATCCGTGCAGTCAGTTGCCATCAATGAATGTTGTGTTAACTTATTGGCTGAGGTAAAATTTGAACTACCATCAACGTAATCTTTATTTTTGTCTGTGTTTTGTTACGTACCTACACTATGTATTATAAATGAACTTTATTACATATATTTTTTCTAAATTTTTGAAATTAGTTATTCTGCTATTCGGTGCGAGACTCATTTACTCCTTATAACATTTAAAAAAATATATAAATGTATTCCTAAACTTTAATATACTGGATGGACATCCTACACGCAGTCCAATTCTGCTGACTGTCAGTGCATTGTTTTAAGACTGACGCTACGTGATGTTTCGCAGTTGAGTGTAGACGAGCAACAATGTCTTGACGGTGAGCACGGACGGATAATGGTGCTTTACGTGGTGATAGCATACATACTGGTTCGTATCTCCTAAGTGTTGCAACAGCGGAATAATTATCAGTTGTTGCGAAATCATTATCGGAACTTCTTGTAGTGGTTTTTGATTGGTGTTTTAAGTGGTGATTGTAGTGATGTTTGAAGATATGAAATGAAGAAAGTTTTTTTTCTATTTTTAATGGTTATTTATTTTGTGTGCGTTGGTAAAGTATACAAGATTTAATTCGAAAACTTTCTTCAGTTGATTTTGGTCATGATAATATTGTAGTTGCACTTTTGACAAAAAATGGTTCTAAACCAATTGCAATACCACTTAGATTGCAAAAGCAATTCCTGCAACCTCCTATATAACGTTAAATTCGTACTGATATTCGTCCAGCTTTTAAGTGAAGCCTTCTGTCCAAGCTCTAGAGGGATTCGTCTATTTTGCCAAAGTAAAGCTGAAAAGATTCTTCTTCCTTTGATTGAAAGTACGAATCTCTTAAGTACTAATCGAGTTCTAAATATCTTATTGCCTTCCGCTACTTAAACACTTACTGTATTTTGGTTAATCTAAAAAAATATTAATAAAAATAATTAATCAGATGGACCGAATAAACAAATAAAAAAAAATTGCTATTCACGTCCTGCATTAATTATAACACCATTTTTACCAAGTCTGTAAGACTCTAAATAAAAGTATATTTGAGTTGTAACTCGATGGCTATTGTAATAGCTACTGTAGAATTACAAAAACAAAAAAATACATATATTACTGTCGTCCAAATTACATATAAAGTTTGATTCAGATACGAGTTACGACAGTACGTACGACGTAGGCTAAAATTAACATCTAATGTATTCAATTGAATACAAATTGAAAATTTGTATTTGTATAATACACAAATTGAAAATTTGACTTCAATTGAAAATTTTGGGTAGTTTTCAGGTACTGGCAAAATATTAAAACAATGCTATAAAAAGAGCCTTTTTTGTAAGAAAGAGAACATTTCTTGTAGGTAGTTAAATCCATTAGTAAGATAAAAATGATGGTGTAAACTTAAATAGTGATTTTGTTAAAAACTTTTGCAAAATGCGACACCTAATATGTTGAAATATTAATTATTCTACTCGTAAATTGTCTATTTCCAATTTTTTTTTAAAGTTTTTATATATGACTAGCCTGTTGGTCTAGTGGTTAGAGATCCACACTGCTACGCAATAGGTCGTGGGTTCGATTCCCACCCAGGACAAATAACTGTGTGACGAGCACGGTCATTTGTTCTGTGTCTTTATCTATAATATGTTTGTTTAAGCGGTCACTGAGTGTTGTGGGACGACATTTTGTATGATCCACAAATTGTTGTTCTGAGTCTGGATGTTCTTTGGGTCCGTTCCATGTATGTTTGTATGTAAGTCCCCCACGACACAGGATATATTCCTAAAAAGGGAGTTGTCTTTAAAAAAAAAACTGCCATGTTGGAAATAGACGCTGATGGTGTTAGGTGATATTTAGAACAGGTGTTTCAAAGTGGCTGCGAATGAAATTTTTTTCTACTTCCTTATATTTATTTAATAGTGTTGAAACTTTCAAATATGCTGTTAAACATAGGACTTCAATACACTTATAATTTTCCCATGTTTTTCCGTTATATAATAAGCATTATTACACCATTAAAATTGATTCAAAATATTGATTCAACCATTGCCGTTGATATTTTATTATGTTTTAAAGAGATAAATAAATTTAAATAATATAATCTTACCTTAATAATAATCTAATTTTATATAATATTGACATTATTTTACAAGTTAATATAAGAACACTACCCTGTAGGCATAATTTTTAACATATAACAGTATAAACCGGTTTAATGCAAATGGGTTTCGCCTGTAATGTGTACCTGTAAATTTATATTACTTAATCTTGACGTAGTATAAACTGTAGTCACTTTTTTTTGTATGCTTATCTTTCGAACTAAGCAACAGATTTTAATGCGGTTTTTACAAATAAAGAAAAAAAATTACTGTTACGGAACAGTAAATCCTATTTATATAGAACTTCGATTTTTTCGAAAACCTGTACAATAATTCTAATTTCAAAATATTGGTGAAGTATAAAGATCATTTTTCGTGTGATGATCAGTTCAAGAGATATTTAAGGCATGCAAAATGCTATTTCCTTTGCCGAGTCTTTGGGGTTTATTATTAAAAAATCTGTAAGAAAGTATTATTCAATATTCAAATAGAAAGAAAGACATATTTTTTTAATGTTCGAAAATAATGCGAATTTATAAAACATTTTTTTACGAATTATAACTACTTTTGTGTATCTATTATAATTATGATAATTTAAAAAGCTAAAATAATATTTTTCTGTCATCTTTCACCGCCAAGCTTCATGTCCAACATTATTAGGGAATGGTAAAACTACAGAAGCATGATTGAATGATAAGTGGTTGTCGAGCGAAAGCATCGTTCTGTGATTATTTTTTAGCTTGCTGGGATTACTGCTCGCGTTAAAGTAATTTTAGCTATCCTTTATTAAATGATATCTATCCCTTTTAAACAACAGTTTTTTTTTACTGTCTCCAATAAAATGAGTTAAAATAAAAAAAAATGGTTTCGGATATTGTTCTTGTTTTTCTTTCAGTATTATTTTATTTTTTTAAAACACGCATCGAATCACACAACACATTATTTTATGTGACACAAATTTATATAGTATAAATATAAAAAACCATATAACATAATAAAGTCTATGTTAAAATAGACATTTTAACATAGACTTTATAAATCTCATGCCCATTTATTAAAAGACATTTAAAAGTTAACAGCTTAGTAATGATGAATGAAAATCTCAAATCATTACAAATTGCCCGCTATTATATATGCGTAGGATATCTCCAGTAAAAGATGTCATCCCATATTTCAGTCATTTTAACTTTATTTTCTTATACATCCTCATTTATGCCATATATTATTTCAGGTCAACCATGCATTAGGTGCGCCGCCGCTGCGTCTGACCATCGACTGCTCTGATGAAAGGGTAAGGTGTACGTAACACATTTATTATTATTATATACTTTGGATTGCAATTAGATGCCATGAATATCTACTGTTTTACGCTCACAGAATTAATAAAAAAGTTACTTCAGAGTGTTACATCTCATAGCTAGGATCAAATCACTCCCATCTGGATATGATATTATAGGTACACATAAGTCTAAAATGTACTTCAATGCTTCCTAGAGAGGAAGGTCAGGTCGTAATCCACTAATTTAATTTACTATGAGTTAACAGTTTTAAAAGGCTTTGGGAATATTTAAGAAAACCGTCAGGTATGCTATATTTACGAAGATATTTTTTTTCCTTGTTTGGGCAAGTGATCATTATTTTTTAAAAGATTATTACAAATTTTGATTGATTAAACCACTCAGCTATGTCTTTTATAAATAGGTATGCATTAAATATAACAATATTTTGGTTTTAACCAAAATTTGGCTGTGAAATATTATTTTTAAGAATGAACATAACTTGTTGAAGCTGTATTCTTATTGTACACATCTTGTAAATTCTTTTGCAGGAAACACCATTCGGCTCCTTGCTTAGATCATCAGATTACAGCAGAAGACCTCGTGTAGACATTGATTCGTTCTGCAATCTCATCCACAATGCCATCCCTAAAGCGGTCGAAAACGGGAAATTTATACTTATTGATGAAGATTTAGATCAAGATGGATTCAGTGATACACAAGTACCAATGGCAATTGCACCACCAACAGGTTTTATACCGATGCTGGGTCTCAAAAAATTGAAGGGACCTAGGCTACAAGTTCCGCAATTGAATGTCCCGAAGCTACATGCGCACGCTGGTCTTCACAAAGCTCCTAGAGTAGGATCCTCAATTAATATTACACCACTAGTGATAAATGAAGAACAATCAAGCGCAGAAAATATGGAGAAGTTAAAAAAAGGCGTTCAGAAAATGTTACATTTTGTAAAGGTTTTAGGCAAAATTGATCAGTACCTATCGGAAAGAATACGAATAGTTGTCGATAAAGTATCCAAAACATTTGCTGAATAGCATAATGCTGTTTTATTTTGCCAATACACGATGCACAATAATGTTGTTAGTTAGTTAGTTTTATATCAATGAGTGTTTTAGAATGTACTTAAATGATAGGTAACCATTTCAGGAGTAATAAGGTTATTATGTCTTTGTTCGCAATTCTTTTACTGACTTTAGGATTGCTATAATAAGCGATACTATGGTATACCATATTTGATATGTTTTTTGAATAGTCTACATAAAAACCAACTTCATAATTTATTCAAACCAAATGTACTTACGAGTAGATTTTTACTATTCACTTAATCAGTAATTTTAATGTCATGCACTTAGTTCATTCTAAAAACAGTCAATTGTGTCGCAATATATACTGTTTAGAACAAAATACTGGATTTATCTTTATCTTTTTTCTTTATCTTAAAAAGACAACTCCCGCATTATGAAACAAATTCCTGTGTCGCGGGGGACTTTACAAACATACATGAAACTTACACAAAGAACACTTGGACTCAGAATAACAATTTGTGGATCATACAAAGTGTTGTCCCATGTAGGGATCGAACCCACAACACTCAGTGTAGTAGTAAGCGGCGTAGCCACCGCTTAAACGACTACGCCATCCGTGCAGTTTTTGTATAATAAACTTGCAGTTTCTTTAACTATTCTCCTTATTAGCATAATGTGAGTTTAACTATAATATTTATAACGTATTTTATTAACCTTAAAATAGTAAGTATTAGCGAAGTCCGTCCTTCTAACCCTTTCAACCCGTCCAACCCGTCTGGCCACCATGGTACAGTAAGCCAAAAAGTGTTTTCTAAGGAAAGGCCTACTCGTATGTCCAGCAGTGGAATATTAAAGGCTGTTGATGATTGATGATTAGCGAAGTGTATTTTCGATTAAAACATACACATCAATAATTGAAGTCCAACAAGTGAATCAATTTGAATTTTAAGTAACCAGAACATTTTTGGTAAAGAAATTTGGTGTGACAATTAAATTTATTTATCTAAATTAAACAATACAATAAATAAACTTGTATTAAATACATGAACTCCTAATAACAAAGTTACATATGGTAAGTAAAATACTTTGCTATGATAAAATAACTAGGAGTTAAGTTTGTAATTCTATACCAGGAATTTTATACCATCTTGATTGAGCGTTTCTCAATCAAGATGGTACAACATCAACAAAGTAGAAAGATGATCTTTTCAAAATTTCAACTAGATTTTTTAAAGAGCACGAGGGAGACGATTCTGAAATGACCTATGTCCAGCAGTACATGACAAATCGCAACATACATTGCGTTTTTAGGTCTAATATTCGATATTGCATCAAACTTACTTTATAGTAAGATGTAAAGCGGTTTTCATTAAAGAATCATCTCCTTTTCGAAGTCAGTTAAACCAAAATCGGTTGTCAAATAAAATATTTTCCCTTCGAAAGTGAAGTGTAGGTTTCAAACTTACATAATCTGTATGCAACAAACCAATGCACTATACGAACGATACAAAAACTTCAGCGGAATTGACTTTTTATCGATTTCAATTTATTTAGTTTAGCTTGCGCAACGTTGTCATCCATTTTTATCATGCTCAAGTAAGTTGAACGATGTTTGTTTTATTAATCGGTTGTGTGTTTCAATTCAGTTTGATAAAAGACAGTAAGTCAAGGTAATCGATGTGAGACCTGTTTATTTTATCTTTGTTTCCAAATCTTTCTTTGTTATTTTTAGGTTTATCAAATCAAACACAACCAAATCACTTGGAAGTATCCTTAAAGGACGTTAATACATTATTGGCTGACCTAGATGATGAAATAGCTGTCGAGAGGGAATTATTATCTCAAATAGATGAAACAGATGCCGCTGCAGGTTAATTGGCATTTAATAATTAACAAAATAACAACAATTTTATTTTCTGTATTTTATAAAGATGTTGCCTAGTATTTTATAAAAATCTTTTCTTCTGTATTTTATAAATAAATAGCTGTATGCGTGTATAGTACCTATGTCCTCACTGGATATCACAGCAATACACTTAGAAACTGATCATGTTTAAATTAATTTACTAAGTTTACTTAGGTTCAGCTGTTCAATAACATACCAATTGTTTGCGGCTTTACTATTATAAAGATGACAGGCCTCTAAATTTATTGTTTACCTGTAATATCATTAGTATAGAAATTAATACCATCAACGGGTAATGTGGTAAAAATTATTTGGCGACAGTATAGATCCCTGTGGGACTCCAGTATTTGTGTCCTTTTTGTGTCCGTGCTATTTAAACTAGCCTTATGGTAGACAAAATTGTAATTACACCTGACCAATATTAATTAGAGCGACGAATATTATTCTCAAGAAACTTCTCACTCAAGAATTGTCTTGATTTGTAGAAGTTACCAAAATTATTAATCCTAATTGGTTCAAAATGTAATATTTCAGTAAAGGAAGAATCTCAATAAAGCTATAAAATTCTTTCATACAGGTCCTCAATTTCTAGCATTTTCTGAGTGCAACGATGTTTTTTTTAGAGATGTGGGTGACACTTTTAATTTTATTTTAACGTTACTTATAAATAATATTTAAACATCACAGCTCAAGGTAATTTTGAGATGAAATTAAATATCGATCCGCCTCCATTCATTGAAAGAGAATTTGAAGAGTCAGCACATGAAGGAGACCACAAATATTCTCCTCGCTCTGATGAATCACATGTGACATGGCAACAGAGAGATATGCTTACATGGCCAAGTGAAAAAGATACAAAAATTGTGCCAGACATGCCAGTCCTTCAACATGAGTGGGCCTTAGAAGATCCATTCGGACAAGCAACTCAGTCAGTCAGTCCCGTCAGTAAGTTTAAGTTGTTCAATCCGCATTTATGCCATTAGCGCATGTCCATGCTCCCAACTTATTTTCTTTCAAACAGCTTATCTAAATTCTCTGTATTATATCTCTTCTATATTCATTAGAGATGCACTTTTGTAGTTGGCGACTAGTCGGCGATTAGTCGGCAAATAGCGTTGACTATCCGGCTTCTTAATTTGTTTTGGATTCTCCATAAACTGTTTACAGAAGGAAGTACATCAAATAAAAATCACGATTGTTAATACATTTTTGTTAATCAGTCCTACACATTTTGAAATGTAAAGGAATAAAAGGAAGGAAAAAAAATAAAAATAACTTCATCATTTTCTAGCTGTAAACAGACAACGGCCTGTACTGTGGGAACCCATTACATAATTATATAGCTTCATGATATTTTTCAAAATTAGTATAATAATTAACAGTTAATAGGTCTTTACCTATGAAATTGCCGTTTTGTATGCAATAAGTGAAAGTACTTATTTTATCAAACTTTTTTATTTCTGTTATTCGAAGTAATCACCCATGCAATCGACGCATCTTTGCCAACGAATTGGCAGTTTATTGATGCCCTTCTTGTAAAAATCAGCTAGACGGGAGGCAACAAACTCTTCAAAGGCATTTTGTACTGCCTCTCGGGAATTGAATTTTTTACCCACTAAAAAGTTGTCTAAATTTTGGAAAAAGTAATAGTCGGTAGGTGCAAGGTCAAAATCTTTTTAATATGCCTCTGACACTCCCGTGTCACGTACACGGGAGTGTCAGAGGCATATTAAAAAGATTTACATATTTTGGGTTAGATATGCTCATGATCATTTCAGAAATAAGATGAAACTTGGAAATTTGAAGAGTACTAATAAATTACGTTAATATGTCTTATCAGCAATCACAAAATTAACAACAACAGTAACAAGATATCAAAGTCAAACACCAGATGTTAATATTAATCTTCATGACCATCCATTTAGAAGAAGTATCATAAAGTTCATGCAAGAAGAACAAGTCAAATATGTTTGTGCGTTTGCGAAAGCAGTATTTGCATCAATGGTTCGAAAAAGTGATGAAGATGTTAAAGTTATTTTAGAAGCATTTGCAATAACCGTTATACGGTAAGCAACCCTTTGATAGTTTGCTTGTTTGTTTGTTTACATATCTTAACTAGACTAGATAGATTGACGTGAAAGTTTTAATAAACATTTTCACAGATATAGCAAGGATCATCAAATACATTTCTCTCAGCCAAAAATAGTCCAACGTATACATCAAAGATCTCATTAGTACAATCATCGTCGATCGTTTCCCATTATTGTTTAGCATACATATATTTTATTTTCCATTTATTCCAGAATGGCGGATAAAAATGAATTGATCTGCTTAAGCAAGGTGTTGCAGGCCCGAGTAAGGGATGTAGCAACAATGACCTTAAAGCTTGAACCTATACTTTTTATAAGTGAGTTGAATTTCTAGGTATAAAAAAAAATTATACACAGGTTTCATAAATAAAAAATGTTAAAAGAGTTACAAATGTTGACTGCACGGATGGCGTAGGTTTAAGCGTTCACCTCACCGCTTCCTACTGCGTCGAGTGTTATAGGTTCGATGGGAGATGGGATAATATTTGTGTGTAGCACAGGGAGCAAACGAGCAGACAGGCTACTTGATGGTAAGTGCCCTGACAAGTGACCTGACCAGGTCAAGTGAATGACACCTACAACTAAAGATGAGTTGCACAACCCCCTAGGATCACTCTGGTCGAGTCGGCTCATTTGTGACGAACCATTGCTCTATGACTAGCATTTAATTTATACCCGGTCATTTGCCTAGCTGCCTACTAACCATCCTTGGGAATGAAATCGTTTATAGATGGTTCAAAGGAAGAAGGTGGGTAAGGAAAATGGATAGTTCGAGGGGGGATACTGTAAGTCTAGGAAGGGAACTAGGGCTGAGACTGCACTGTACGGGTAGCTCGGATGGTCTACCCGTATGTCCATCATTTGACAGAAAGAAATAACTCTCATTTCCTTATGTTACAGAAATGTGTAAAGCTTTTCTTATTGCTCTGAGACATCGACTGACAACCTTTCCTGATGGAATAGACCTATTGAAAGTCTATGACCACTTCTTCAACATTAAAGAAGGAAATCAATTGCTGGACGTAATCGTTGCAGTGGATAACTATAATGTAAAAGATTACGGTAAAGTAAAGAATATAAAGTATAGATAGGTAACTACGTGTCAGATTCAGGCACCTGATGATGCATGTACCAGAAGCAGATGCATCACTGACCTGTTTTGGAGCAAGCTGTCGGAAGTGCTCGTCGAGACTTCGTCTGGGCCTGAACCGGTAGGAGGACCGAGACCACCACGATGGAGGCGCCGGGGAGCAAACCACCACGGGGCCCATTTAACAAAAGGGCCTCCGTCCTATCCAGGGCCACCCAATCAACATCATGAATTCTTTTTTTTTACGTATGGAAACCTCCTCGGGCCGTGGTGTGTCGGAATCGTACCGACTAAAACCACATGTTGTGGCCACTCTGCGCCTTTAATAGGACGGATGCGGGAACTACTATTATTAAGACATCCGGACCTCTCCTAGCGCCTGCCCGCAACAGCGCGGGCACCACCTTCGGGTACATTCTCTATTTAGGCGACGTCCGGCACACGCGGCCTCCTCGCGGCTGGCCGTTATGGCGGGTGGAGGGTAAAAGCCGTCCCGTCCAACCGCGGCATTAACATCATGCCTATCGCGGTCAACTGCTGAACATAGACCTCTCCTGTTGCACGCCACTTAATCAAATGATAAGTAAATAATAATTCTATGCAGTTATGAAAGAAGCGGGATATACAAAATTAATTTAAGTTTGTACTTATACTACTGAATCAGAAACGGAGACAAACGTTTAAGTTAGCTAGCATTAGATGTTTGGTTAAATATCTTAGTGTGATGATGAATGAAACTATATAAACATAATGAACTAATGAAATAGTTTTGCCAGGATTTATGCTGGAATCAAAAGAAATCATTTTTTCTCGTGACTGGTATGCTTGTTTCCCTCCTGTAACATTGTTTTTTTCAAATCCTACCCTTTTCGATTGCTGTTCATCGGAGATTTTTTTAGTTAATGCCATACCCATAGGCAGCCTTTGAGAGTAAAGAAATTACCAAACCAGCGCTGAATAGAAGAGTTGTATGAAAACTTGGACAGCTTCAGATTCTTAAACCGGCAAATTTTTTTTCTTTCTTCCGTTATATATCCGATGACCCCATTCTCGTAAATAAAAAGTACTAATGACACTTACTTTGACTTTAAGAATATTTTTTTATGTTATAACACTAACCTTACTTTAAAACTACTATCTTCAGGTAAACCACTTGCTATGACACTGGCTGAAAAATGTATTCGAGTATTAATAGCACCAATTATTCGCCTGTGCGGCTCACCTCAAGTTCAAAATTTCATAAATAAAGTAAATGATGTGTATGAGAAAAGATTCCTATCGAAACGTCCAATGCCTAAAAATATCGCATATGCTTTAATGGGTAAGACATTTAGAAAGAAATGATAAAATCTATCAAACTATAACTCAGCTTAAATAATTTTATGAATCTTTGCATGCAGTTCCTAAGTAATCTTCACAAAACCTTAAATTGTGAACGTTTTTAGTCTTCCTAATCGATTGCCTACTTTTAAAGGGGAATGTCGAAATTAGGCCCAGAACGCCCAAAAATTGTATTTTGCTGAAAATTAAATTTTCTTAATTTTCCTTGCTATTGAAGTCAGGATAAATGTCAGAATCATTTTCGGAAAATTAAATAACACTAAAACAATTTTATCTTAATACACTGACATTTGCACTTACTGGGCTGCCAACATTTCGTAAAAAAATCAAATAGTATTTTGACAAAATATTCCCATTGAGCTTTTTTACTTACTTGTACCTTCTTTATACACACATTTGGGTATTTCAAAATTCTATTGCATTATAATTATAAATTATACGTAAATTGACAATGAGCATATAAAATACCAATCTACTTGTTGCGTCGATCGATAATACGCTATTTTGTTTATTTAATGGCAACTATACTATTATTATATTGAAACTCGAATCAACATGACAGCTACCCAGTTGTCAATTTATCATTACTTGGTTTGCCTTTGCATCATCGTGATTTGTGCGTGTTTCTCGATATTAATTAATATTAAATCGCTGACATGGATGGATGGATTATAAATACAATATTAACTAAATATATGTATACAGGAAGGGTTTCCAAGAACTTTATTGCACTTGGTGTAACATTTAAAAAAAAACCTTGACATTTATAACACCCCAAGTTTTGTGTTAACTTGTCTTTTGTGAATAAATTATTTATCTGTCAAAGAAATATTTGCATCCATTTTCAAATATGGGCACTCAGGGCCTAAACACCTATGGTGGCCTGGCATCCCCCTTTTTAAGTTACGTTTCAGAACGACTTCACAATTCACTTTACGTAAATATTTTTCGTTGTTATAGAAAGTGACCTGACCTCTGATAAACCTATCCGTCGATCTTTCGGTAAAACCTATAAACATGTAAAATCAGAATACAAGAAAATGATACGCCATTACATTTTAAAGCATCCGACGATATTTAGAACATTTGCAAAGCATTACAAACAAAGCAAGGAACGCAAACGTCGCCGATTAAAACATAAAAATCACCGCAATTCTCATCATAAAAGACATCGCCATAGTCACAAACACCATTACGGAAAACAATCAAAAAGTATTCCCAAGAAACAAGCAATAAATAAAACTACTGCACGTACGACAAAAAATTTGGCTCTTTTTCGTGGTATTTCAAACATACATCAAACTTCAAAAGTTCAAAAACGGTATAATATAGTCGAGAAATTACCTAGAAATTTTATAAAAGTTAGTCCTAATATTTTATTTAGAAGAAATGAAATGAAAACTCCACAACACATGAAACAAAATGTTTCATACGACTTATCGAGGGAATTCTCGTCTACAAAAATAATTTCCAACAATAACACAATTTTGGAGAAGATAATAGGAGAGTCTAGTTACAGTGATGATGAAATATATTTAAAAACAATGTTAAAAGATGCTTTTTTTCATGGCAATCATTAATGACAAACTGCTTGTTCTGGGGAAAGAAAATTGAAAAATGAAGTTTAAAAACTTAGAATACTTTTGTTAATGATAATGATTTTAAAAGAACAATCTCTAATTATAAAATACCATAGGATTTGTTTTTTCTTTGTTTGTAAATATTGACATAACTAATAAATAGTTTTTTCTTTTTTCTTCCGAGCCTTTATCCCAAACTAGCGGGGGAGGGGATGAGAGAGGGGAGGGGGGAGAGGAGGCAAACGAGCAGACGGATAACCTGATTGTAAGTGACAAGTGCGGTGGTCTGGTCTCCCCCTCCGAATCGGCGGGAGGATTTCAGCAACATTGCAATACGTGTTCTTCTACAGTTAAGGCAATTATTTATATGGTGAAGACGGCTTTGTACTTATAATTTGTGATTTTGCATTTACATAAAATTAGAATAATTGAATGATCTAATCTTAAAATGAAATTACTTATTCCTTTGCTTAATTTAGAAGGAGCTTCCATTACCTACATCTTAACAGATATGTTATGGCCCGAGTAAATCACTGGGAGTTCGAAGACAGTTACCATCCGGCGACCCACCTGGGCCTGAATTCTGCTAATGTATCAATAGACTGTGGATGGAATTTCGTAGGAATAGTTTTGGACTTTTCTTTTTCTACTAACTATGTAAGACCAATGGCCTCCCGATGACTTGTCACTGATAAAAATGTCGTCGATGTCTTTGTAATTGTTGGTAGCTAGTTTTTGTTTTTTTTAAGAATTATATATTTTATTTACCAGATATGGTAATGTTGTTGACATCACCATTGATAACCTATATGACTATATCGACAGTCTATTGACACATTTGAATTTATGTTAGTAGATTACCGATATTTTGACCGATGTCAATATCATCTCAATAGCGTGTCAATGGAATGACAGTGGCTTGGCGTTAACATAAACTAGCAGAATTGAGGCCCTGGTCGATTGCTGCCTATACCTGCCAACACAACACTTCTTTCACTTTTTCAGACCAACGCTGTAATGTGAAATAAAATTGTTACAATTATATTACGAGCACTAAATTGTATTACCGTTTTTGATCGATTTCATTTTGCTTATGCTAGCTATTTCATTTTCTTCCTGACAAAACAAACACAATTTTTAGATAAGATTTTGCATTGTCAATAGAAATATGATTTGTTTATGTATTAGGTTTATTGCAGTTTTCTTTTTTATAAGTGCTAGTAAGTTTTGTTTATAGTATTTACTATAACTTTATTCATTTATTGAAATGGTAAGAAATTTAAAATACTTAAAGTCAGTATAGTATAAAAGCATCAAGCTACTCGATTCTATTATACACGGTGATTTTATAGGCGTTTTGGAAAAGAAATATTTTAATTTGGAATCATCTATAGTACCAATAAAAATGATTAAATCAATTGTAATGTTGTCTAAAAAAAAGTTTCATTTTTACTCGATCGACTTGGAAAGTAGTAATGGACTGATCATTCATTCATTATCTTATATGAATGAAACACGTCCGTGGGCGTTTCGGCGGCCGCTGCGCACCGCTGACGCTAACAGCAGCTGATAAAAGTATACCTATAGGCGTGAGCTAGCGAGTACTTACGTAGATAGACTCCAATTTGTCCTTTATACTTTACACGGGCTTAGGACCGTCGGAAATACCTATTTTATTTTAAACTTCTTTTCGATTATTAACCACGATTGTTCTTTTCACAACAAATCAATTTATCAACGGACTGTAGGTATAAATATTTCAGGCGTATTTAAAAAATCGGAGCTATCTACAGAATAATTAACTTACATACCTATTTACACTTCTCTGTATCGAAGCAACTGCTCAAAATGGAGTCCGCTGCATTCAATACACAAACGTCCACGTTTAATGCAATTGTTTTTTAATTTTCTTAATGTGTCTCTATCACTTTTCACTTTATCAAAAGCGTCCACTATCGCAATTCGTAAATTATCACGGCTTTCATATTCCCGTGTATAAACAAGTCTTTTTATTGCCGACCATAAGAAAAAATCCAGGGGCATTAAGTCCGGGCTTCTAGGTGGCTAAGGCACTGGCCCTCCTCGACCTATCCACCGATCGCTAAACTCATTGTACAGGTATGCACGCACTACACTCCGGCGAATAATAATTTAAACGTCCTTGACCTTGCGCGTGAGTAGGCGCACGAAATTGTCCGTGGTCGAGAAGACGTTGGGTTGCAGCCAAGATGGTAGGTGTGGAGGGAATTTGAGGGCTTTCAATTCCACGTAGCCGTAGTGCATTTAAATGCTCCGGCTTTTACCTCAAACCCTATTGATATTATTGATGGTGGACTAGGGTTCCATATTTAGACTCAGGATCGTTCTTTTATGCGTTATTGTGTTGTTGGTTAGGTAAGCTAACTCAGCTACTTCCAGAAGCGCAGAAGCCTCATGTAGCGTTCACAGGTTTCCAAGGGCGATTTTGTATCAGGTATGATACTTGCCAGTTGTTAGGCCACTCCCTCGCATCCCAGAACGTGGGCAGCCATTTCTTCTGCTTTGAGACATCTACTGCAAAGTGGACAATATGTCGCATTGACGGTGAATAGTTGTCGGTTAGCGTAGATGCCCCGTTATCGTTCCAAAAACTATTCGGATATCTAGGTTGCTGAGACTCATCAATCTGCAAGCAGGTCATGGCCTGCGGCTGGGTGTTTTTCTCCACGTTGTGTCACCCAGCAGTGAAAATGGTTGAAAGGCAGTGACCCTTAAGCCCTTAATTGCTTAGCATATTTTCAATATATATCAAAATTCCAGACGCAGCATCTTTAGAGCCGATGCCGTTACAGTTAATGCAGATAGTACTAAGACATGTTAACACACTATTAACTGACGTTAACAAAAAAGTTGCTACCGAGAGGAAACTACTCTCTGAATTAGACAACCGTAATAAGAAAGACACGTTGATTCAAGTAAAAAGTAAAAGTATAAAAGAACATGGGATAGCTTGGAATGACCAGAACTTAGAAGTTACTGATACAATCGAAAATTCTGGCAAGCCTTTAGATTCTGATGCAAAAACACTACAGCTATTAAAAACGTTATGGGAATTTCCGAAAGAGACTCTTTCAGTGCCTGATATACCAGAGTTTGAACCAGACCCTTTTGATGACGCAATTTTTACTGGTAAGTTAGTATGAGACTTTTTTTCTTTTTTCCTCTATTTTGTCAAAGAAAAGCGATTGAAAGCTTTTAGTGCTTTCTGAAAATGAGGTTCCCTTTTTAATGAAACAAAACACTTTATTTAACCAGCTCAATAAATACCGGTTATTAACTGAAATGTATAATTATAAAGTTTTCTACAACTTTTATAACCACTTAAGAGAATGAATGATAATTAAATAATATGTGTGAACCATGCAATGAAATAAAATGCAACCACAAACTCATGCCTCAATTTTCACGTCTCTAATTGAAAAAACTACTACCATATAAGATAAAAAAAATCTTGACTTAATAAACTCATCAACAAATGTTTTAAAATTAATGTAATGAGGATAACACCCTTGATTTATATACAGCACCAACAACAACAGTGAAACCTGAAAATCCTTTGGATCAGACATCTGAAAAGAAAGCTATGCTATCCTTTATGAAGACAAATGATGTCAATTATTTTTATGGGTCTGCAATAGGGTTCCTTGACATGATAATGAAAAAACCTTATGACCTGTTGCAAGATCTTTTAATTGCATTTCGGAAAACAATTTCACGGTAAGTTGTTCGAGGCAGCAGGATATTAAGTATTTTGATATTTTTACATCATCATCATCATTAGCAGCAGTCTTTAGTAGTCCACTGCTGGACATCAGCAATTTTTTACGTCTCTAAATGTTTACTTTTGTATTAATTCATTGACAAATTGCACGGGAAATTGAAATGTATTTTAATATGCAATAATAAGTATGCTACTATTATTCAATTACAGTAACTAGCGATTCGCCCGGCTTCGCACGGGTGCAATGTTGATACTTCTAATATTACTAATATAGTGTCAGTGTGGAGTAATTAAATATAATAATATTAATATTTTGGGCATCTGACACACAACGCAATCTAGCTTCAAACTAACCAGAACTTGTACTAGGACAGCTAGATTGACTGAGAATTCTTATATACTTTTTTTATACTATTATAATGATAAAACTACACTACAGAACACCTTTATAATATATTATATTAATGCAAAAGAAGAACTATAAATTTATCTATTAGCCCGCTCCGCTTCTGCCGGTCGCTGTCACCCGGGACGGACGTAAGCTACTTTGAAAACATGTTTTTTACAACATCAGATTACAAATAATTGAAATTATTGGATTTACACTACTATAATATGCATGTTTTATACATATAAACTCGCCCTTGAATTAATCTCTCTATATGCAAAAACCGCATTAAAATCCGTTACGTAATTTAAAAGATCTAAACTTACAAGAAGAAAGCGACTTCAATTTATACTATGTAAAAATTTTGCGTGCTTCAACAATTTTTATCATTTTTAAGTGATTAAGGTCTAATCAAGGAATCTCTGTCCACCTGATCTCGGACTTAGAGGCTGTTAATACTACGAGTATGTGGAAAGTTATATTAAAATTTACAAAACAAAATGGTGTTAACATATATTCTATACTTCCACACTTACTATTAATGTGAAAATGAGTTTGGTTGCTTTCACGCTCTAACCTACTATGACAATTTTAAAAATTATTTTATCAATGGAAATCTACATTATCAGCGAGTAAAAGCTTGTTTAAAATATAAGTATTGTTTATAATATATCAGTAGTGTATTTTTAATATATTTTATATATATATATATATATATATATATATATATATATATATATATATATATATATATATATATATATATATATATATTTATACATTCTTTGATTTAATTTTGACAAAATCCCTACACAATGCAATAGTTGTAACATTCTTCTAGGATGGCGAAAGCAGACGAATTTAAGTGTTTGGATTATTTGTTAACGCAACGCTTACAAAATTTTGCGACATCTTTACGGTTTGTGTCGATTTCAATCATAAAAGGTAAAGTCCAGTTTTGAGTTTGTTTGATTATTCTTCCAACCATTTTTTATTAGACATTAAAGATATTTCAAAAATCTAATAACCAAACTTCTCGTTATTTGTATTCAGGAGCTAACTACAATCTTACTACATCGTAGCAATCTTTACAAAGGAATTAGAAGTATTTCTCTCTCTTGTCTGTCTTCTATGTCTAAGGATGGGTATCAGTATCAGGGTTACACCTGAAACGGATGATGTATCTCCCCTGGTTCCTATACAGTGCGTCTCTCAAAACCGTGTATAAAATGAGGGACGATGGGTTTTTAACTTGGTCAGTTCATCTTATTGGTGCACGACCGCGCGATTTTTATAACGACATTATAAAAGTTTAAAAAAGACTATTGCTCAAATCTAAGTAATACGTATACCAAATTGTCTGAATATTGAAGAATTTCAAGACATTAGTTATGTATAAATACCTGCCAGCCTGCCTAGCCAGCCTGCCAGCTATTCTTTCTTTGCTTCTCACCGAGTAAATTATGGTAGCAGAAGCCCAATCCGTCTTCCCCAATTAATAGTGTCATTTTATTCATTCTCAGAATATTCAGAATTTATTAGTCGTGCATTAGAAAGCAATAACGCAGTTGCTATGAATCCTGAAATAAGAGAAGTACTCCTGCAGTATGACAGTTTGTTTAATGATGAAGAAGGAGATGAGTTATTGGATAGTGTTGTAATGCTTCACAAATATTCCAGATATGTAGAAAACTATGGTAATATGAATTAATTAATTTATAATTCACTAGCTGTGTCCGCTACTTCGTACTCATGAAATTTGGCTTTAGGTATTATTAGGGACTGCACCAGGGACTTTCTTTCTAGGGTATACCTGGTTCCCCGGCTATTAGTACCCGAGATGGCGTGCGATTTTAGTCGGTTCGAGTCCGACATGCCACCGATAGGTGGTATCCGAGGGGATTTTCGCACGGAAAAAAAAAGGTATTATTAGGGATTAACTGTATTCGTATCGTGATAAATTCTGGCGGCACAAATTAAACTATTCTGAATCTCATAGTACCACAAATACGAAAAAAAATGGTATAATAAATATCCCATTAAGCGGTAGACATGAGCCTGCACTTTAAAGGCCCTTCTGTAATTTCCTTTGCACTTAAAGATATCATTTGAAAATAATCGAATATTGTTCAAAAATGAACCGTTGTTCCGAACATGTGAGAGGTTAGCATGACGTTGACTGTAAGTAGTCAGATGCTCTTCACGATGTGTGAAACTTTCTGATGCCCGGAAATAAGCATAACATTGACTGTCAGCAATTAGGCGTTCCTCAAGTTTCATGAAGGTTTCGGGAGCGCGAGAGTCAGAACGAGGTTCACTATCAGTTCATCCACAACCCACCAACAGCTTTTTATAGTCTACTGCTGGACATAGGCCTCCTTAGAAAGGAGGTTTTGGCCTACTATATCAAGCTGGCCAGACGGGTTCGTATACGGTTTGTTTCAAGTTCTCCCTCTCTTTGCAGTGCTGTTGTTCTGCAATGGTTTGCTCCCTTAGTCGGTTATTACGATACCCTTGCGATGAATAGGGATGGTGGCACTCTGTATTCTTAATCCGTCACCACATGGATCCAGTTCATGCTGTGTAAAATATTCTTATGCTTGGGAATAAGCATGACAATAGCTATTAGCCTTCCGGCATTCCTTACGTTGCGTGCAGGTTTCAGAAACGTGCGAAAGTCAGCATAACGTTGATTATCAGTGGTCAGACGCTTTTTGAGTTGCGTTGCGTTGAATTTGTGAGCATCACACACGTACATGATTCTATTACCATTAGTAAATTATCGTATAATTCTTTTACTTACTAGCTACCCATTGTGGTTGCATTAATGAGAAACGAGGATTAAAAGTGACACGAATTTTTATTTATTAGTATCCACATTTACTACTATCATATAGATAAAAAGGTGTTGTATATCGTGATAAAATTTGAGCTCAATCTATGCAGAACTTTTTGCGTTTTTGAAGCACAAACCAACTTAACATTTATATATAAATAATGATTTGACCATTTCAACAAAAGGTTTAAAATTTCAGATGAACATGCTGCTAAACTGATTAAAAGGTTTATTGATGCTGCGCTAGCTCCCACAGTGCGCTTATGTGGGTCGTACCAACTAAAAACTTTAATTGCAGAAATAAATCAAGTTTATAGGTCAAATTACCCAAATGCTGCAGTAAGGAATTTAAATACAAGTAAGTACAAATGAGGCCTGGTATAGTGCCACACAGTGTGCCACTCCGCGCCTGAGCTAGAAGGGTTCTGGGAACAGCTGATATTAAGACATCCGGACCCACCGCACCGCGGGCACCACCTTTGGGTAAACTCTCTATTTAGGTGACGTTCGGCACACGCGGTCGTTGCCACTATAACGGAGGAGAAAACCCGTCTCGTCCACCCGCGGCCACACTCAGGGTGGCATGAGGCGCTGGCAAGCGCGTCTACGCCACCCGGTTCGCCGGCGGTGAATTGGGTCCGGGTGGACGTCATCCTCCCGAGCCCTCTCCGCTGCCTTCTCCTGCGAGATGACATCTTCGCAGAAGGATTCGACTGCGGCAAACATCTGTCACTGCCGGTAGCGAGAGATCTTCTCCAATGACTGCAATGAGGACCCGACGCTGCGATGCCCAAGCCCTGCAAATTGCCAGGGTGTGCTGAGCCGAGTCTTCACTGCAATCGCAGTTGTGACAGGCAGGACGCTAATCGGGAGAGGGCCGATCCCGAGCGTAGAGGACGTCGGCGGCGATACCAGCCGTTGACGGGGCCGAGGGTGCTAGAGAGTGGGGACCTCTAGTAGCAGATTAACTGCTGCGTTAGGCGATAGGATGGCGGCCTGGTCGCAAAAATGCGATCGGGCCGCAACATATGATAAGGATTGGGCCGAGAGGCTTACCCTGGATAGTGCTTTACTAGGCGCGGCGTCGATCCGGGGGTTGACCTAAAATAACATGGTCCGGGTCCTCCTCGAAGTAGGGCGCACGAGTCCGGCCGGCGGGGAGGTTTTTAGTGGACACACTACATACTCCTGGCTCCTACATCCAAACCCAAAAAGACGGAGATACGAAGGGTTTTTTTACCCGCTACTTATAAATATTGACTCCATTGCGAGTGTCGAAATATGCGTTTTTTGCGGCATAAACGGCATATGCATGCGGACGGACAGATAGACGGACAACAAAGTGATCCTATAAGGGTTCCGTTTTTGTTTTTGAGGTACTGAACCCTAAATTATAAGAATAAAATAAAAGTCACTATTTTTTTGTCACGTTACATCAAATTGTTCTATCAGTTCGACTTTTATATCTTTTGGAATTTACAGGATTTAATCATACTATAGATATACTTACTACATACTTTTAGTCCCATTTACGTAATAGAGGACAAACTTGTTGCTGACAACGATTCAGCTGGCAAATCTATTATCGATATACTTTGAGATTTAACATTCAAGTTTGTTACAGGTAGTGATTTAACACTACGGGTGCCTTTCGATCGATCATACACATTAGATAAGGATTCAATATCTCAATTTCTTAAAGTCGTTCATGCATTCATTTTAACACATCAAGGTCTGTTTATGGAGTTTGCCAAAGAACATATAAATAGCAAGGAGTACCAAGATTATTCGAGCCCACAAAATTATTATATCTCGGGCAATAATTCAAACCATAAGGATAGTATCAATTTTAGAAGAAGTCAAAAATTTAATGAACAAAGAACACAAAAACAAAAACAACTACTACACTCGACTACACTTCATTGGAAAATATAAATAGAACCTCATGGTGTTACACAGAAGAAACAAAAACATATAACAAATAAAAACAACATCTCTGTAATGAAGACGTATCTTGGAAATAAATAAATCTTTTTTAGAAACAAAAATTATAGTCAGCTTTCTTCATGAAATGTGATCTTGTCGATGGAGCAATCACAAGTAGTATCCTGTCCTTTTTTTTTATCCGTCCTTTTTCTCTTCTTGTTTAGTCATTTGTAATAGACCTCTTTATGATGGTAGATTGCAGGATTTCAATCGGTTTGACACCGACATACTACTTCTGTGTTTCTGGGAGTATATTTGGGCTATTTTTTTAAAGAACGGCTATTAATATTAGCCTAAGATAACAGATCTCACAAGTCTACATACTGTGTATACTTTGAATCTTATCTTTATGAATTACTCCATAGTTTATTTATTATGAAGTTAAATTCTCTAGTTTATGGTATTTTCAAATTTGACTATGACAGTTTCTTGACAACAAGGTCATTATATTTTTACAAGCTTCAGGTTAATATATTAATATGGCATAGGTGTAACAAAGAAATTCAATAAATAAATCGATTAAAGAAAACGAGACATGAATGGCTATTCTGAGTTTGTTCAAATGCCATCTATGCCGAGTTTTTTATACATGGGATTTATATAAAATAAGGAAACGAACAGCTGTCAATTTATCTTATGATGTTTACGGCCCCCAACCTTCTGAAAGTAAAAAACATATTATTGCGCTACATGGCCTTCTAGGCTCCAAAAAGAATTGGCAATTATTAAGTAAAAAAATATCTACTAGTACAAAGACATGTGTAATCTCAGCTGACGCCCGCAACCACGGAGATAGCCCTCATGACAGTGCTCATTCTTACCTCGATCTGGCTGCCGATGTCTCACAATTATTGCAAACATTATCGCTACCACAAAGTCACATTATAGGACACAGTATGGGTGGCAGGACAGGAATGGCTTTAGCTTTAAATGAGGTACCATTTTTCTTCGATTTAAAATATGAATATTGCGCTGTTTATGAAATATTGAATTGGTCCACTTAAGCAAATGAGACAAAAATTATAATGAAAATTATATTTATAAAAATTGCGTATAATACGCTTCTGTCTAACTCTTTGGAGATTTAGAAGTAAGTGTTTATAGAAGTTGTGGATAAAGTGCTGCTTTCTGAAAAGTCAGAAATTGGTTTGTAAATTTTGTTAATAAACAATTGCTGTTATTGGTGTGTCGACGGATCAAGAATATAGAGTGTCGCCACCCCTATTGATCCCATGGGTGTCGTAAGAACCGACAAAGGAAGCAAATTACGCACAACGAAAAGAAAACGAAAACTTGAAACAAACCCTATATCAGCCCGTTTGGCCAGCTTAGTAAATTAGGACAAAACCTCCTTTTTAAGAAGAGGCCTATATCCAGCAATGGACTATTAAGCCTGTTGATAATGATGATGATGTTCTTAGAAACAAGTGACGGTGTAGGTTTTTAGTATTTTTCCTTAAAAATATGAAAATGCTCTTATTTATATGTCAGATTGATTATTATACTCCTTATTCGTCGCTAATATTCATGAGTTTCAAGCTATTTAGACTGGATATAAAAAAGAATTCGACTTTAAGATTTAAAAAATTCGCATACCAACAATTAATGTGTAAATGTAGTCAATTTTCGGATCGTTGACTTTAATGGTTTTTTTGGGATTCTTTTTCATCAATTTATTTTTCATCTGTTTCACTTAGCAGTGAATCTCTTAGTCCTTTTAAGTCTGTCCTTAGAAAAATATTGTACTCAATTTTTTTTTTTGCAGCCGACAAGAGTTCAAAGTCTGATTGTAGTAGATGTATCTCCGATAATTAGATCTCCGAATCCTGTAAATTCTTCAGTTGCAAGTCTCATAGCGGCTATGAAGAAAGTTAACTTTCAAGGAACTGATAGTGGTCATAAAGCGAGATCCAAGGCAAGGAAATCATTGGTAGAAGCTGGATTTGATAAAAGGAGTTTAGATTTTATTTTAATGAGCATACACGAACGGCCGGACAAAACTTTTGCGTGGAAATATAATTTAGATGCCTTGGCGAATAGTTTTAATAAAATTGCTACGTTTCCGGACGAACTTAAACGAAAACAGTACACAGGTCCAACCTTGTTTATTGGAGGTGGTAAATCGGACTATATACGGTAAGACTTCAGTAACCTTATTCACTCGGTGAAAAGCACCCAAAGAATTACTTAGCATCGGTTTCCTGTGAGGCCATGATATGAGTCCAGTTGAGCCAGCCCATTTGTGCCGAAGCATGGCTCTCCCACAGCTGCTAGATAAACAGTTATAGCACAACACATTTCAACGTTAATAAAGAATAAACACTTATCTGGGGTGGAAGCTCCTTACTGCGGGCCAGCTACCGCAGTTCATCACTATTGGATTATTTAATTATTCCAGAGTTCCACTCCGAATAACGAAGAAGGCAAACGTAACTTGTTAATGTTAAATAATCATTTTATTGTAGTACTGTTTTCTTTCAGAAAATCTGATGAACCAGCCATCAAAGAGTTGTTCCCTCAATCTTCACTAACATACATTGAACACGTAGGTCACAACGCACACTTTGAAGATCCACCTGCTTTTCTTAAGATTGTTTTAGATTTTTATGCTAAACATTTATGATATTGTTGTTTGAATAGATTTTTTTTTAAATAAGTTTTTTTTTTTGCAAACTCTTTTATGTACAAGTTTGCCGTTGTATAGTAATGGATACTTTGAATTGACATAACACCTTCAATGTATGAGATTTTCACGTGAAACTTTTTACATGATACCTATGAGGTTCTTCTTTTAAAAAATGTGCAAAATTCGATTTTCGTCTTTCAATTGTTTTTTTTTTAGTCAGCTTGACGTGAAAGATAGATACTTCGAAAATCCGAGTAATTTTTGAATACGAGTTCCGAGGCGGAACTTACGCGGCAGGAACGGTTAGTAATATCAAACGCTGTGTTGAAAAGGAGACTACTAATGAATGCACCGTGCATTTTTGGTTTAAACGCTTTTATAATGGAAACTTCGACTTGAAGAACGAACCACGTGGAAGACCGCCCACGGGTGAATAACGCTGAATTGAAGAAGATGGTGGAAGCCGATTCGAGTCAAACTACCCTGGAACCCTAGCGGCATGGTTTAACGTTACCCTACCTACAATATTGACTAATTTGCATCAAATTAATAATTTATTTATTTTTAGGGATAACAACAGCTGCAAATCTTAACTAGGTATTTAACTATGATTACATAAGTAGACAATAATAGTTATTCACGCTAGATATATAGAGTGGATGAATATGCCAATAACAATACATAATATTACCGCTGATTGGCAAAACTTGAAGAGATGGGTATCTTGATGTAAAATATGAAATATAATAAATAACCATGATTATAAATAAATAAATAACACATACAAATATATAAATATGATGAAAAAATGAAATTGCATAAATGCATTAGAAACTTTCTATTATCTAAAAAACCTATAAAACCAGCCATTCAGTGTAATAATGTTGAGATTTTACAAAGCCTATGACGATGGTAATTTAAGCGAAACTCGTTTTTTTTAAATTGTCCTTGGAACCGATGAATATATCCACACTACTAAAGTGTTTATTGTAAGAGTTAAGTAAAAATAAGATAAAAAAATATGAAAAATGGGTGCCTCATGATTTGACTGATCTGCAGAAAGAAATGCGCGTTGAAACTTGTGTTGCCTTATTAAATTAATGCAGAAATGAAGGAATATTCGATCGTTTGTGACATGCGAAAAAAAGTAGATTGTTCACGAAAACCGTAAGCGAAAAACTTTTTTCCCTATAATCGACTACGGTTATGTGTGCTTCTTTAACCTGAATGCAGATCTCCTCAATAAGCTTGACCACCTTCTCAATAATTCATTCATTCATGCATTCGATTCGTTTTCAATTGACGCAAATATGATCACGTGTCTCACCATCGCTCCTTTTTGAAGTGGCTTCCAATTCGCCAACGCAGAGAGACACGGGCATTAACTAGCTTATATTCTTTACTCTTTTCTCTAAGTGCTCCTTCTTACTTAACTAGTCAACTTCAATTTTTAGGTGCAAACCAAGCTAAAACCATCAGATCTTGAAGCAACCTACTTCTTCACTGCCCCACTCACCGCACTGACTTCGTACATTCTACTTTTTTGGTACAATCTGTTCTTTTATGGAATGCGCTCCCTCTCGAGATCAGCATGGCAAAAACTCGGCAAACCTTTAAATACATGTTGCGGAAACGTTCTTCAAACACCTTATCAGATCCATCTTAATTTTTACGATATATACAGACTGTTACCAGACTTATGCCAAAGACTTAAATTACAGATAACACAGTTCAATATAAGTCGGTTAAAATTAAAAAAAAAACAAAAAAATACAAAATAAAAAAATGCAAATTTAGAACAAAATAAAATACAATAAAATAATGCCGAATTGGAGCACCATTGATAACACGGGTCACTCACCTGTAGACGACGCGACGGCAGCGATGCAAAAATGGCGCCAACATCAAAATGAGCCTAGCGACGCGGCGACACGCGACGGCGGAGGCGCCGCATCGAGCAGCCGAATATTACATTCGTATCACTAATCAGTTACTTCACTTGCGCTTTATTTAAAATCACTAAATCAATTTATTAAAATATGAATACCACTCGCAACAGTTTTTATTCACTAGGTCAATTTTTACTTAAAATTTGATTTAATAAGAATAAACTTTATTGTACACCAGTTTAGTACATCATACATACAATAGTAATCAAATTAATTTAAATTTTTAGGTTTTCAATGTGCCTACCGTTCACATCAATGCATCGAATACACCTTCGCATCATGTTGTCTCGTATTCTAGCACACAAGTTGTCATTTGCTGCCAAAGCTTTTAGTTTATTAAATGCACTTATTATCCTCGATCTTAGGTCTTCTATTGAAGTGACGTCTGTTGCGTACACTTCATTTTTAACATATCCCCACAAAAAAAAGTCTAGGGGCGTGAGATCTGGTGATCTAGGTGGCCATCGTGTAGGCCCATAGCGTCCTATCCACTGTTCACCAAACATGTGATTAAGACGCTCCCTGGCAGCCACCACTGAATGGGCAGGCGCTCCGTCTAGCTGGTACCACAAACGCCTGCTTTGAGCTACAGACAGTTGATCTGTATAATCTGACACTGGGCCATCAAGCAATTCCAAAAACCTGATAGCAGTCAAATTTCCATTAATGAAAATTGGACCGATTATCTTATTGCCGTGAATTGCTGCCCATACATTCAACGAAAAACGGTACTGGTGGGAAGATTCGCGTACAGCATGAGGATTTTCCCTGGCCCAATATCGCAAGTTTTGGCGATTCCATATACCATTACGTGTGAAGGTACTCTCGTCAGTCCACATGATGTTAGATAGAAATTCAGGGTCATTCGTTACCTTCGTACATAACCACTGACAGTAAGCCACTCTTATGGGTTGATCTCTGTTTAATAAAGCCGATACTTTTCGAAATCTGAAAGGCCGTCGTTTATTAGCCTTTAAAATACCGTGGACCTTTTTGTGGTGAACACTGAATTGACGAGCAGCCCTACGTAAACTGCATGTAGGGTTACGCGTAAAATGGTCTAATACACGTTCTTCAAGGGCGATAGGTGTTCGGGGAGCAAACTCAACATCACGTGGCACCAAACTTTGATTGTCTCGTAATCTTTGTACCGCCCTTACAAAAATTCGGCTGTCTGTAGGGCATACACGAGTGGTTCCATATCTCTCACGGTATGTCCGTAAAGCTAAAAAAGCGTTTTGATGGCATTCCCCGTAAATTAAGACCATGTCAGTATACTTCGGGGCTGTAAAGGTCACTCGCGGCATTATGAATGTTAATATTAATAATTCAATATAATTAAAACACTAGTAAGAAACCTAGTTTACACTACACACACACACACACCACAACAAAACTAATATTGTTACTTTCAAAACAAAATTAGCGGGACTCGTTGCAATACAAACAGTCTTGCAACAACTGACCGCAGACCGATTGACGCTACTCTACTTTCTAGAACCCGGAAGTCATCGAATATTAAATAATTAAATCAATGCTGCCAATTGTCAAAGCTCAAAAAACATTATTATAATGAGTTTACCTGTAGTAATCATTACGTACTGTAAATAAAACATTTAATATAAACAATATAATTTACACAGCCTAATAATATTAAAATACTTATTTATTAGCATATTTTGTTTATAATCAATATGTAAAAAAAAAAGCGCGCAATTACGATGCATACTGCTAATAGGTTGGTAGCGATGATCCCGATGACACAGTAACCAATTACATGCTTCTAATTTATTTTCGCCGACACTGACCAACACAAGTGTAAGAACCTTGTTGTCAGACACAGTATTATCTTCCGTATGCCGTTGCAATATGTTTGATTTTACTTTAAAGAAATTCTTATTTTTTATTTCTATTAATTATTATTTCGTAACTTGTGCGGTAACGTTTGTATAGCGACAGCGGGAAGGTCATTGACACTTAGTACTTTAGCTTTGCGTAAACATATGGTGTTGTAAAATACGAAACACAAAAATGAGTCCTGTGGCTAAACTACTGGATATATTTTGTTCATATTTTGCAAATCGCCTAGAAATTAAGGGCAGAATATGTGGCTTAAGTATTTGGGAAAGGAAATGAAACTCTCTGTATAAATATATACCTATGTGTGTGTATATATGATATATTTATATGTATGGATAGGTGCATATGTAAATACTTATGTATTGTATGTGTTAGTATTATTATCACTTATTGTATATATAATAATATGTATCATCTATTAAAATCTACTCTGGGTATATGATATCCTATATAATATGCTATATTTTTCATTAAATCACATTTTTAATTTCTTTTGTGCATCTACCTTGTTTTAGCTCTGCATCGCCCTAAGGTTGACTGGGAGAAAATGCCTACGGCATTAAGTCCGCCATTGACACATTTATGCATAAAGTGTAAATAAAAAAAATGCAATGGCAGACCCCAGGTCAAACACCGCAACAGTGTCTTAAACAAAGCTTACGAATAAAAAGTAAAGTAATTCACTTTAGCTTTCTCAGGTCTGGTCAGGCAATAACAGCAGATGACAAATAAAAATCTTCCCAGAAGGCAGTACAAAATGCTAGAAAATCTAGATCCCCAGAGTTCTATCGTAAAGGCATAAATGAACTTCCGTTTAGATGGCAGCAACGTATAGATAATTAGGGTAAATATTTTGATTAAATAAATAGGAAAACAAGTTTCTATTTTTCAGTACAAATTGGCAATTTCATACTTTAACCCCCTTTTTTTCCTGTGCTAAAGTCCCCTCAGATATCATTCACCGGTGGGGTGATTGTCGGACTCGAACGGTCCAAAAACCGCAAGCCGTCTCCCGTACCAGTAGCCGGGGAACCAGGTGTACTCTAGAAAAGAAATCCCTGGTACCCCGACGTACCTCGGGCCATCCACGGTGTGTAGATGAACCCCTTCTGCGTAGGAACCCCCGTGTTCCCTTTGTGCTCCCGAAAGTGCGCGCGCGCTCCGCAGCGCGTCTCGTCCGCCACCCCGACCTGCCTTTGCTAGGGTGACAGATGACCTCACATGTCACCCCCAGGCCTGCGCTTATGGAGGACGGACGTCGTTCGGCAACTTCCGGTGCCTGAGCCGTCGCGGTACCTGTCCCGTTTCCGGGCCTGGCGGGCCGAGAGAGTTCTAGACCTCTCCCGGTCCCGCTCCGCCATCTCCTTCGCAAGCATAACTTAACACACTCACGCTCCGTGCCATGGCGTCAATCATATTAACGAGCGAGAGAATTCCCACTCCGATGGCCACCACGAGGTCACGCCTCTGCTCCACCCACGCTGGGCATTCTCCCAACGCGTGGATCGCCGTGTCCACGGTCCGTCCACAGCAGTGGTGGCACTCAGGGGTTGGCTCTTTGCGGATCAGACACAGCTGATCACCGAAGCATCCTTTCCCGGTGATCACCTGCGTCAGTCGGTATGTGAGGGTTCCGTAATGCCTCTCGAGCCAATCTTCCATAACGGGTCTTAACGCCGCAATAACGGCGTGCCCGTCATACTTTAACCCTTAATATAAGCCTAAGATAACAAATCTCACTAATCTACGAGTACATACTATGTATATGTTGGCGCTAATTCAGATTTAACACTTTCGGAGTCTATCAAACACATCATTCGCAAATATACAACATAATAATTATAAAAATTTAAAATTAGCAACTTTATACATAACTAAAACTTAACTACAAACTTATGCACTTTGCGAGATCAGCAGACTAGATTATATTAATGGTGAAATTGTACCACCATTGGGGGGATTTGGACTCCGGTAACCTCACTCACTCGGTGAAAGGCAACGAAACAATTGCTTAACACCGGCTTTCTCTGAGGCCGTGGTATCACTCCGGTCGAGCTGGCCCATTCGTGACGAAGCATGGCTCTCCCGCGGCAAAATGTTCTTTGGATTGACTCTATGCGTTGAATGTGAACTGTATACCGAGGATTCCAAACGACACTAACAAACCACAATGTACTCCTCACAAGAGATAGTGTTTGGTTTCTGCTTTTTATGTTTTTTTTTTCTTTTTCAATAAAACTGCTTATTACTGGTTACATATGTTTTTTATTTAATTTGGTTGTTTCCTACTAGGATTATAAAATTGCATTTAGTCCCTACTCAATAAATACAGAACGAAATGGAAACAAAGCAAGTGATCTTACTAGGTTTTGAAATTGACACAAACAAATAGTTTGGTCTAAGAAAGCATTTTTTTAATTAGTAACTGCTTCTCTACCTACAGATTTTGTGATAAACGCATTGAAACTACTTTTTTATAAAGCCTATTATGTACCTCAAATTTTGCAATTACTCCCGAAAAGGTACGACTTATATTAATGAAACGGCACGCTGTCAAATATAAGAAATCGTTTTACGGCTCTCCTGTAAAATTTAGTTTTATGCAGATACTAGGTTTTGATATTTAACAGCCGAGATTTATACAGAACTATTTTATATGCAGTATGTTTTAGCTCCTTAGTATTCCGCTTTATGAAACTCAACATTTTGGCAGCTCTGTTGACAATGTTTTCATATTGAGGAGTGAACGATATTTTAGACTCAAGGATAACGCCCAAGTCACGCACTTGATGGACTGAGGCAATTAGCTCGTTATTTATGCGGAAAATAGTCTGGATTATGTTGCATTTTTTAGTGAAACGAATATGTTCACAATTTGGCAGCATTTAGTACCATTCTGCTATCACAACACCATTTATAAATTCATCAAGTTCATACCTGCAGTATCCCCGCAGTATCAACCACAGAACTAATCTGACGTGATATTTTCACATCGTCAGCATAGAGTGAACAATCATAATGTTGCACCTGCTTGACTACGTAATTTATAAATAGTAGTTATAGCAACTACAGTATCTTTTATCAACAAAAAATTACAACATTGCAAAGTAATTCTTGAATATGGCTCAATATGAAAGATAAACATATTAATGAATTTAACATACCTTTAGACGGTTTATTTTACTAAAATTACCTTTATTTAATATAAAACAAACAATAGTCTCTCGCAAACCGCGAGCAGATGGCGCTGCAAACACGATGCGAATGTGATAAAACGTAACTAATAAGTCATGATAATCATAAATAGGCTTTATCCTGAACACAACACAATAATTTGAGTAATTTAAACCTTTTGAATGAGTAATTTAATAATCTACTGCACTCTATATGTTACAATTTTTTTTTATAACATCACTTAAATATAAAAACAACAATTTTTAACAAGCTCTATTAATTACTTCTTAGTTTATTTATTTTAAAGTTAAATACCCTTACTTTATGGTATCTTTAAAATTTGACTGTGACAGTTTCTCGACAACAAGGTCATTATTTTCAAGTAATAGTACTGTGCTCTGTGGTTATTATATTTTTACTAACTTAAGATTAAAATTATGAATATGGCGTAGCAGTAACCAACAAATTCATTAAATGAATAGATTCAATTAAAGAAAATAAGACATGAATGGCTATTCTGAGTTTGTTCAGATGCCATCTATACCCAGTTTTTTATAAAACATGGCATTTAAATGGAATAAGTATAAGAACTGCTGTCAGTGTGTCTTATGATGTTTACGGCCCCCAACCGTCTGAAAGTAAACAACATATTATTGCGCTACACGGCCTTCTAGGCTCTAAGAAGAATTGGAAATCGTTAAGTACAAAAATATCTACTAGTACAAAAGCATGTGTAATCTCAGCTGACGCCCGCAACCACGGAGATAGCCCTCATGAGAGTACCCATTCTTATCTCGATCTGGCTGCCGATGTCTCACAATTACTGCAAACATTATCGCTATCACAAAGCCACATTATAGGACACAGTATGGGTGGCAGGACAGGAATGGCTTTAGCTTTAAATGAGGTACCATTTTTCTGTGTTACTGGATTACCGGATTTTGACGTAATAAAATACTTGCCGACAGGCACATTAATGTCGAAATATCAGACGTTGACGACAGGGCTCTTTCTAATATATTTACTTTTATACCTAATTCTCAAGTCAGCTAAGGTAGGTGAATTCATGCGTTTGGAAGTAGTGGCTAAACCATTTCTGAATGCCCACTGCTTTCGGAAAAGACCCTATGTAGTAATCACACATAAATTAATCTACTTCTATTTGCTACTTCTAGTTTCCTTAAGGATTAAATCACTAATAATTTAGCATATTCGATATTCTGAAGTATTAGAATTTTACTCGGAAGATTCGACTGGGCCAATCGAATTGTATCAGATTCAATTGTAATTATGAATTTAGAATATTAGATGTTATCTTATTATAATTACTCCCTAAGGTAGAGGACAACACCAATTTGAGTTACACATAATTATGCGATCCGTACCTGCTCAAGCTGTTCCCAGTACTGTCCCCGATTAATCGGGGACAGTACTGGGAACAGCTTGAGCAGGTCATCAATCTGCATAAGCAATATTATTATCCTAGCATTACGTACTTTCCCTTCCATTGTCTTCCTAGTTTATTGCCTAAATATGTTTTTAATATCATTCATTAAATTTTTCATTTCCGAATATTTTAGGTATTGTTTGGAATGCCTTTGTTTTCTCGAAGTGTTTTATTAAATTGCTTATACTTGTTCATAGAATTGGTACCTACCTACATAGTATTTCTGAATAAGAAGTTTAATTATAGAGTAGATTTAGGTAAGTTTAGTTTAGAAGAGTATGACGTGTGCGTTGTAAATGGGTATTTTGTAAATAGATAGGAATATTTTTTGTATATCTATAGATAGTATTAAGTGACAAATTGATGAAGGCCAGCATATCGCTAACAACCCCTATAAGTATTGCATTGTTTATGTAATAATGTTACCGCGAAAATCGCAGTGGTGGCACTCAGGCGTTGGCTCCTTGCGGATCAGACACATGTCATCTCCGAAGCATCCTTTTCCGGCAATCAACTGCGTCAGCCGGTATGAGAGGGTTGCGTGATGCCTCTAGAGCCAATCCTCAATAACGGGTCTTACCGCCGCGATAACGGTGTGCCCGGCGCTAGGTTACCCAAGTCGTTCCTTCCACTCGCCGCCCCAAAGGAGATCGTGCATTATGACCATGATGGATAGAACTCGCTGCGATCGTCGCAGTAGAGCGACGTTACTGGCCATCAGGATCTCCGCCCACACTGGGGCCCAAGAAAGGCCCATGGACCACACAACCCCCGAGTATGTACTGACCCTTGTGAAGAAATTTTTATCACGTAAAAAAAATCCAAATCACGAAAAAATTGTCGCCATTGAAGCAAGGTCTGGCGAGAACGAAGGATGACGTATGGTTTCTCACGGCAGCTCCTGTAGAGTTACTACGGTGTCTCGTGCAGTGTGAGGTCTTGCTTTATCATGGAGCAATCATGGTGAAGACTGATTCACGAGTCGGGGCTGTTTCACTGCCAGTTTTGCCATCATTGTTCGAAGTTCGGCATAGTAAACATCTCCTGTTATTGACTGACCAGACCTGAGAAAGCAATAGTGAATAACACCATGAAGAGGCCACCAGACAGTTACCATTACCTCTTTATTGATAAGCTTTGCTTTAGGGCACTGGTTCGGCGTTTGACCTGGGGTCAGCCATTGTATTTTTCGCTTATGGTTATCGTAAACAATCTACTTTTCGTTACATGTCACAATCCGATGTAATATTCCTTCATTCCGCGTCGAAACTCGTATTCAAAAATGACTCGGATTTTTGAAATTTCCATCTTTCACGTCTAAGCTGAATACAAAATGGAAGGGTGAAAATCGAATGTTGCACATTTTTTAAAAGAAGAACCTTCCACGTATCATTTGGAGAAAGTTTCACACAAAAATCTCAAACCATCACACCATTTATATAAATTAAAAGTATCTATTACTATCCAATGGCAATTTCATACTTTAACCCCTATTATTATATACTTAAAATATTTTTTTGCAGCCGACAAAAGTTCAAAGTCTGATTATAGTAGATATATCTCCAATACCTAGATCTCCGAATCCTATAGATTCTGCATTTCCAAGTCTCCTAGCGGCCATGAAGAACGTCAACTTTGAAGGAGCCGATAGTGGACATAAAGCGAAAACCATCGCGAAGAAATCATTGGTAGAAGCTGGATTTGATGAAAGGAGTTTGGGTTTTATTTTAATGAGTATAGGCGAACGATCAGACAAAACTTTTGCATGGAAATATAACTTAGATGCTTTGGCGAATAGTTTTAATGAAATTGCTATGTTTCCGGACGAACTTAAAGGAAAACAGTACACAGGTCCAACCTTGTTTATTGGAGGTGGTAAATCGGACTATTTACGGTAAGACCTTTCTTAACTACGAAGGTTAAAAAGTTAAAGTTAAGAGATTTGTATACAATGGATGCTGCAAAATCAGTTTCTTAACAGTTGCTGTTTAATCGTGAAAAGGCAAATGAAATGTTAGCGGTAAACATAGATTTTTATAGCAAACATTTCAAACAAGTACACGGGTCACTTGATGATAAGTGACTGCCGCTGCCCATGTACACCTGCAAAATCATGAGTTGTCGTCCTTTGAGTCCCCATCTCCAGAAATGGGGAGAGGGAATTTTAGGTAACGGTGAAAAAGCTACGAAAGAATTGCTTAACACCGGTTTTCTGTGAGGACATGATATTATTCCGGTTGAGCCGGCCCATTCGTGCTGGCTCTCCCACAACCTAAACATTTATAGCACAAAACATTTCTACGTTAATAAAGCCTAAACACTTTGTAGGTTGAAGCTCGATACTTACTCAGTTCATAGAAGTTTTGCTATTGTTAAGAGTGTTACGAAGGGGGTAGTTTATTCCATGGGTGTCGTAAGAACCGTCTCAGAGAGCAAACTAAGTAGAAAAACAGTACTGCAAAGAGAAGCAAAACTTACCACAACCCCTTTATCAACCCGTCTGGCCATTGTGGTCTAGTAGGCCTAAACCTCCTTTTTAAAAAGAGGCCTATGTCGAGCAGTGTACTATTAAATGCTGATGATGATGAATATAGAAGAATTAATTTTGAAATTTGCTGTCTTGTGATCCTGAGTTCCACTCCGGATAACGAAGACGGCAATCTTATAATTAATTTATATAAACATTTTATTGTAGTACTGTTTTCTTTCAGAAAATCTGATGAACCAGCCATCAAAGAGTTTTTCCCTCAATCGTCACTAACATACATTGAACACGTAGGTCACAACGCACACTTTGAAGATCCATCGGCTTTTCTTAAAATTGTTGTTGATTTTTATGCTAAACATTTATGATATTGTTAAGTAGACATCTTTTTTTAAATAAGAACATTTTTGCAAATTTTTCAAACTGTTTTATGTATAAAATGTTTTACTTCTCATAGCAAAAAATAAATGTCAATAAATAGAAAGAAATGCAACTGTATTTTGTGTTATTTAAATTGAAGTTTACTTATTATTTACTTATATATTTACATCCACCACGTATGATTTTCAATTTATTATAATCAGTCTAAGTAAAATCAGTAAATAAATAACTTTGTTATCACTATGTACATTATCTAGATTTGAGTTTGTGTGGTTGAGCTATTTATATTTACCCAGGTAGAACTACTCAATCATCTCCCAAAGTATTTGAATGATATTTTTATTCAGTCATTGACAGTGGTGTCTTAAACAGCATTTCATTACCCTTTGTGTCCTGAAGCACGTTTTCTTTCGTATTAGACAAGCATTCATGCTTTAGGTAGATATCTTCGGTTAATGGATTTCGATTCAATTCGATTATCAAAACAATATAATTGATCGTCCCCGACCCGTAGTCTAACCGCTGTGTCCAACTGGTTGTATCACGGGTAAGTAAAGTTATCCAAGGTATAACTAACGCTTGTGACTTCTGAGTTGCAGACGTTCATGGGCGGCGGCAGTCGCTTTCCATCAGGTCAACCGTCTGCTCGTTTTCCCGCTCTTCTTTAAAAAAAAGGTATGTGCTGTCTAAATATGGCGAAATACTGTTTTTTGTGGTGGTTGTAATGTGGATGTGTAGTGTGTAGATTTAAATGTTATGTTTTCTCACCCAAATCGCTGTTGTAAATGCATCGAAAAACACGTCGACATATGTGCATAAATAATAACATTACACAAAGTCGATTATTCTGATGACTCCTTTGTCATAGTTAGAGCAGAGATATTGAAAGTGAGATGTTGATTAAGTAGGTGAGTTAAGAAGGGAGTACAAACACGTCAACGCGTTTTCTTACAGGTAGCCATGACGATAGGAGGATATATGATCATAGTAATTTCGTAAGTTGAATGTGAATCGAATGCAATTGTTGAGAAGTCGGTCTAGTTTATTAAGCAGATCTGCATTCAGGTCGAGGTAAGACACATCACCGTAGTCTATGACTGGGAGAACCAAAGTCTGTATTAACATCGTCTTCGTATTCGTGGGGAGAACATTTTTTAGGCGATAGAGGCCACGCAAAATGTTCGCAACCTTCTGACTGATACTAGATACTTGTAGTTGCCAACTCAGAGTTGTGTCTATGAGCAGGCCGTGATCCTTGACCGATGGACTAATGGGCAATACTGTATGATCGAAATTAATGATACCATCTGGATCAATTCTCCTCGTCATTCTAGGACTCCCTAAGATGATCGCTTACGGTTGGTTACACGGCAGATTTTTATGGTGTTTTGATCACGGTTAATGCTAATTATAGCTTCGTCCAAATATTCAATTCTTGTGTAGATCTGCATACAGGTGAAACGAACACTGAAAGTTCATGAGGTATGAAATCGATAAATAGTAAAAAGAGAAGAGGAGAAATAATTATGATGTGTACTTTATCTAAACAAACTTGATAAGCTTTGATTTTTTAAATCTACTTTACTTCAAGCTGCTGGTTACTACACGGTGATTTTGAAAGCTTTGAGTTTGCTTTGAGTTATTTATCTGTAACAGAAGCTATAAATAACGTTAATTTAATAAAATATATATTTTTTTTATCATCAAAGTCGATATTCATATCGATTACAGAGAAAAGGTGAGAACCAGTAGTAGGGCTTTTCAATCGCAAGTAGGTAAATACTACGAATAGAAATACTATACTCACGCGCAAGGTCAAGGACGTTTAAATTATTATTCGCCGGAGTGTAGTGCGTGCATACCTGGACAATGAGTTTAGTGATCGGTGGATAGGACGAGGAGGGCCAGTGCCTTGGCCACCTAGAAGCCCGGACTTAACGCCCCTGGATTTTTTCTTATGATCGGAAATAAAAATACTTGTTTATACACGGGAATATGAAAGCCGTGATAATTTACGCATTGCGATAGTGGACGCTTTTGATAAAGTGAAAAGTGATAGAGATACATTAAGAAAATTAAAAAACAATTGCATTAAACGTGGACGTTTGTGTATTGAATGCAGCGGACTCCATTTTGAGCAGTTGCTTCGATACAGAGAAGTGTAAATAGGTATGTAAGTTAATTATTCTGTAGATAGCTCCGATTTTTTAAATACGCTTGAAATATTTACACCTACAGTCCGTTGATAAATTGATTTGTTGTGAAAAGAACAATCGTGATTAATAATCGAAAAGAAGTTTAAATAAAATAGGTATTTCTGACGATCCTAAGCCCGTGTAAAGTATGAAGGACAAATTGGAGTCTATCTACGTAAGTACTCGCTAGCTCGCGCCTATAGGTATACTTTTATCAGCTGCTGTTAGCGTCAGGGGTACGCAGCGGAAACGCTCACGGACGTGTTTCATTCATATAAGATAATGAATGAATGATCAGTCCATTACTACTTTCCAAGTCGATCGAGTAAAAATGAATATTAAAACTGAAACTTTTTTTTAGACAACATTACAATTGATTTTATCATTTTTATTGGTACTACAGATGATTCCAAATTATAATGTTTCGTTTCCAAAACGCCTAAAAAATCACCGTGTATAAAACTCAATTTCAATTATACATAATAATTTTGTCTTGTACTTTGCGATCTTTCTAGGGTGAGGTCTATGCCCAGCAGTGGACTATTAAAGGCTGTTGATGTGATGTGATGTGTGCGATCTTTAATGGTCTCAACTCTTAATATACATACATACAAGTAAACTCTGAGATCAAGACGAAGAAAGTACTTGCAGAGTACGCCCCGGTTAATACACGAAGGTCAATTTATAAATTTAACTAAGATTTTTTTTCTTATATCATGTCTTCTTATTGGAGTGTTTAATGTAGGTACTGTAAACCAATGAAATGAAATAATCCAATTTATTTTCTTATAAGCAATGAATTTATTTTATCAAATTGTTATTTTTATTTTCTATCATAAAACGGTTATAACATGATTATTTCTCCTGTTTTTTCAATTGTTTGTCAGTTATTGTCAAAATTCGATGCAAGTTAAAAATGAGTTTTGATAGGGTGTAAAACCACATCAGAATTCAAGTTTGACTGGAGCACACGACCAACTTTAGATATTTAAAAAAAAGGGTTAAACTACTTTAAGTGTTAAATCAACTGTTAAAGAGATTCATTGTATAAAAAGTTGAATTTTTTGATCGTTATAATATCTGTTCTATTATTTACAAAGATTTCTCCTTTATTTGCTTTACATAAAAATTACTGTTACTTGCACATGAATTTGCTGTCAATAAAATTCTACAAAAATTCTTAGCTAGATAGTAGAGTTATGTTAAAATCGTAACAACAAGGGTAATAAGTCGTGTTTTTTATCAAACAATAATACTTGGCGAGCGAAATTTAATCTGTTAAAGTAACTTTTTGATAATAGGAACTTCATTCATAGTGCTCAGTTAGTGTTTTGTCATAACTTAAGATCACGTTTAGATATAATCAACCCTAAAATACCTCCTTCGTCACACTCATCACACCGTATTCGTAACATAGTGAAAAAAAAGAGTGTTTACAAGTTAACACACATGGTGGTAAAAACAAACAAACCTTTGAGGTAAAAACAAACAAAGACAAGGTTTTATATAAGAACATAGTTAATAATAAATGTTTTTGGAACAAAGGTATTATTCTAGAAATCTTAATTTAGTATAAAGCTTTTCTATTGAGTTTGATGATATATCGTGGGATGGCAGCAACGTGGACATTTGTGTTTTTGAAGTCGTTTAAAAATGTTAATAGCCAGCGCTGTTTGGAAGCATTAAACAATCAAATTAGCTAATTAAGGGTTACTTATACAATGTATTAAAACTATTTTGACTTGCATATTGTGTGGTGATCTTGACTGCTAAGCCAGAGGTCGTCGCTTTATTCTTACCTTGGACAAATAATAATTGTTTGATAAGCACTATAATTTTGTTTTGTATTTCTGTGTAATTTATCTAATATGTATGTACTTTGTAATATATGAGTATGTTATCAGCAGTCTGGTGAATAGTTGTTTTGAGTCAAATTTAAAGAAAAAGATTATTCCTATTAAGAAAGAAAGAAAACATATTTTATTTCTAAAACACACGACAGTTCTCATATTAGAAGTAAAAGTAGCTGAAGGAGCACTGTTTTATGAATTGCCTGATTTTCGGCAGATCTAAGTCGATATGATGGTCGACATTACGTACATACTACGGTGCCCCCGTAGCCCGGCGCATGAAGTTATTCTGTAATGCTTATAGCCTATAGAACCTGTGGTGCTTAGCGTGTGCGTAGATTACACTACCACACGTCATGATTGATCTAACACATGACGTGTGTTTATTATTAAGTGCTTTGAACATGAGTTTACTAAACTATGAAGTCGACCTAACGTTGACCACAAAAAAACTATGTTACGACCAATGTTAGTCGATCGTCAAGGATATTTGGCCTAGCCCAAGAGATAGCTGTGTCAATCCGTTTATCTCGGGCCGAGTACAGGCTTGCCCAGCGTGATTTTCGGTCTACTCGACCATATTCATCATATCCAAGCAATTTCAAAAAACGAGTTTCGCTTAAATTATTATCATCATAGACTATTTAAAATCTCAACATTTATTATTTTATTTATGATTTATATCTCAATATTTATAGGTTTTTTAGATAATAGAAAATTTCTAATTGTATTTATGCGAATTAATTTTTTCCTTATATTAATTTATTTGTATGTGTTAATTATTTATTTATAATCATAGTTATTTATTATATTTCATATTTTACATCAATATACCCATCTCTTCAAGGTTTGCCAATCAGCGTTAATATTATGTATTGTTATTAGCATTTTTATCCACTCTATTCATATACCGGGGATAACTATTATTGGCCTATATAGTTA